AATAAATTTAAGAAGTAAAGTATCTTAAGTTACTTTATTAATTATTAAACTTATTAAAATTAGGAAGTTATTTAAAAATTTAAGTAGTAGAAATAAATATAGTAAGAATAATAATAATAGTAAGAAAGATAGTAATATTAATATTTTTTTTAAAAGAAAATAATAATTAAGAAAATATATTATTTTAAATAAGTATTTTAAATAATTTTTATTAGGTTTCTTTAGCTTATATCTTCTAGTACTTAATTATACTATTTTTCTATTAAATATAATTAAGAAGATTAGTAATAATAGAATATAAAATAAATAATTTATAAAATTCTTCTATAATAGTAGTAGAGAACTAGTATATTTTAGTAATATATTATTTTAATTTATTAGGAATATTATATAGGAGGGTTTTTATACTTTTAGGTAATATAGGTAGTAAGATAGGTATAATAATAGTAATTAACTCCTAGTAAAGAGAAGCTATGTAATATTAGGGGGTAGAATTAGATTTAGATATTTATTAACTAGAAACTAACTAGATAAAATAGTAGAATAGTAGGTGTTAGATAATAGATAGGATGTAGCTTGAAGAGCTATAACAGGATCAAGGATAATATGGCTTAAATACAGGAATAAGGGTGGATAGTCAAGGCAGAATCTAACTAGATAGGTACTATGGCTTCGCACCGTGACAATATGAACCAATACTACTACAAACCCCTGAGGAAAACAGTACTATTAAATAGTTTAGTAGCTATATAATCTAGACTGCCTGCATAATATACATATAAGTAAAAATAAAGCTAATTATATAATTATATAGTATAGATATAGTAGTCCATATTTTGAATAAGTTAGTTAAAGAAAATAATAATAAAGGAAAGCTACTTATATAACTTTTTTATAAAGGATTAAATATTCTAATTAGAGATATTAATTTATAATATATTTATATATAAGAATATAAGATATTTATAAATATCTTATATAAGAATAAGGTTAAAAGTATGAAAATATTACCTAGAGTAAAAATTAGTTAACTAGTTAGATATAATAGAGATTATATCTATAAGATATAGTATCTAGATATAGGAAAGATAATTTAGTTAAGGAATATAATATTTAATAAAGGTAATATTAATAAAATAAATAGAATATAATTATAATTTCCTAATAAACTAAAACTAAATAATAATAGTCTATCTAAAGTAATTATATTTATTAATACTAAAAGAGAAAGAACAACCTATAATAATATATCTTAAAATAATATTATTCCCCAAACCTTACTATTAGTAAACAATAATAAGGTTATTACAGGAAGAATTCAAATATTAATACCTAATCCAGCCTTACCTGAACCAACCCTACCTGACCCAGAGGCAGGTATCAAACTCATCATACCCAAGTAGCCACCTGCCTCTAGGGCTACCCCTAGGGCTATCTCTAAAACTACCAAGCTTATTATACCAGAGCAGACATCAGCCTCCAGGGCTATTTCTAAAACTATTGCCAAGCAAAATAATCAAGCAATTAGTAAGAATATAGAGGAGATAGTAAGACCTAGTATAGAGAAATAATTTAGGTAAGGTAAATATAAAGAAATAATTAACTATTTTACTATAAATAATCTATATACTAGTTAATCTATTTTTAAAAGAATACTAGTATTATAACTAATATAAAGGCTTCTAGAATTATTTACCTAATATAGAAAGGTCTTACTAGTTTTAGAACCTTTTAAAGATAACTATACTTTAATAACTCTAGATATATTAAAAAGAAAGTATTTAAAGATTAGAAAGTAGATTAAATTTAATATTAGGAATATAGAAATAATTAACCTAGTAAAGGTATAGAATCCTGCTAGTAATAATACTAGTAGTAGTATTACTACTTTATAAAAATCTTTAAGATTTATAAAGAATTAATACTAAAGTATTTATTTTAAAGATAAGTAGGCAAAGTAACTATAGAAAGAGGAAGTAAAATAAGAATAATAATCTTAATCTTAGTTTATATTACCTTTAAAAATACTTCTAGAAATACCTTATCTACTAGAATCTTATCTAAAGCTAGAAGAATTACCTAATATAATTACTATAATATTACCAGATCCTAGTAATTTTATACTAGAGATTAAGCCTATAAAGACTTATAAAGTCAGAATCCTATAAACCTATACCTAAATAATAAAGTTATTATAAAAGGATTACTAAATATAAGTAATATAAAATTAAATTAGTAAGTTTAAAGCTATTTAAACTTATAAATTTATACTATTACTAAAAGATATAAAAATCTTACTAGAAAAATAGATATATAACTTAAAGTTAGATATAAATAATAATATATTATAATTCTATATAAGATAGGTTATATATAGAAACTTCTAAAAACTAGATATAAACTTTAATTAAGTCTACTCCCTAATAGTAATAGATACTTTAGTAAAGCTATTTTTAAGTATAATTACTTATTTTAATTTAAAATAAGTATAATTTAATATAGTAACTACCTATCTTAATATAATAATTAAGAACTGAAAAATCTATATATACTAACTAACTAGTTTTAATAAATAAGATAGTATAGTATATCTACTACTCCAAGCCCTATATAGATTATAATAGTCAGTATTTTTTTAGCATGAGGAATTTTATAATATTCTAGTAAAAATTAGTATAAAAGTAATTAATAAAGACTTATACTTTTATTATAATCTAGATTAGTAGCTAATACTTATTATCTATATTAATAATATAATAATTACTAGCCCTAATAAAGTAAATATTTAATAATTTATAAATAAGCTAGAAAGATATTTTAAATTAAAGTAACTAGGTAAACCTATATAATTCTTAGGATATAATATTTATAGACTACTTAGTAGTCTAATATTAATATTCTAATATACATATATCTAAAAGATACTCTATAAATAGAATTTCTATAATCTTTAGCTATATTATATACTAATAACTCTAGAATAGAAATTAACTAGAGAGATACTAGATACTAGTAGCATTATTCTAGATACCATGTGTGCCTCTGCAGGTAAAGATAATATTACCTATTATTAGGAGTTAACTAGATCTTTAAATTAGATTACTATTTAGACCTGACTAGATATTTAATATATAATAATATAACTACTATAAAGAAATTATAATCCTACTAAATTAAATTATAATATAATTAAATAAATTTTCTAATATTTAAAGAAGATCTTAGACTATATAATAGTCTTAGGTTATTTAGATAATCTATTATATATATATATTAATACCTCCTATATAGATTATAAAGATAAGAAGTTAATAAAAAACTTTATATTTTTTATATTTAGAGTATTAATTATATAGAAATTAGTAAAGTAATTATTAGTTACTCTAAATTTAATTATTACTAAATTTATTATATAGGATATAATAATAAAGCTAGCTATATAGCTATAAAAACTATATATAGTTATTAGACTAGAAAAGTTTATAAAAGATATTATATTTTTATATATTAATTTTATAAATATTATTACTTTAATAAAAAAGCTAAATTATATATCTATACTTTATTAGATAGATATTTACTACTTCTTTATTAAAGAGGCAATTAAAAATAGCAGAATTTAGCTATAAATAGTAGGTAGAGAGGATAATATTACTAATAAGCTAACTAAAGTATTACTAACTATAAAATTTAATAAATTTATCAAGAGATTAAGTTTTAGCAAGTTAGAGATAAACTTTAAATAGCTTCATAAAATAGACATATTACTAAGGGGGGTGTATTAGAGTGCTGCACTTAGTAAATACAACCAGTACTACTATAAAGCAGCATCACCATAAAGAAGAAGATAGTAATATGTAACTATTCTATATATTTAAGGCTACTATTTCCTTCTAGATCTTCATGCTTCCTCCAAGCATCTCCTTCTCTCTATTTCCTAGTTAGACTAATTGAATCCATTTCGGTCAACTTTCTACCGTCATAGTTTGACAACCTCTCATCATATCTTAGGTACATACTTAGGGAGTAGATATACTTAGGATTATCGTTTGTAGTTCGTCTTATCTATCGTACTTTACCAGATGTGACAATACCGTACCTACATGGATGTATCCTGATGTACTCCGTATTGCTGCAGATTGACCGCCTTCGAATCAACTCCAAGAAAACAAGTCAATGAATGACTGGAGGATCTCTTGAATCCCTTACTGATCTCGACTTCTAAAATACCTTCTTGCCAGCTGGATTGTGCGTTATCATCATCATCATCATCATCATCATCATCATCGTGGACCAGTCAGCCTGACCGCCCGCTTCCTCGCACTTGACCATCGAGTCACCAGCGTGCGTCACAGACCCCCTACTTAGTACTCTCTCTCTTCCTCTCGGGACTCGACTTCCTCTCTCTCCCTCTCTCTCTCCCTCCCCCTTTCTCCCATCTCCCTCCACCAAAAGAAAAACCCTCCCATTTCCTTCTTTATTATTCTCTCTCCTCTCTTGTTTGTGAATTCCCTGTGGTCTGGACTATGACCATGATTCCCTAAATTTGTCAATTTACTCACGACGTGAGGACGCCGTGCACCCTCCTGCCCCAGAATAGCTGGAGCCGCCGTCCGCCCGTCAATGCGGAGAAGCCCCCAGGGTTGTCTAGACCACACCCTTCAAAAATTACTTCCTGTTGCCTGAATACTCCAAATAATGACACAGCTGCCTGTTGCTTAGAGCCTCAGATACTGTCCCCTTCTGGCTTTGTTGTTCGTTTTCTTTATCACCCCGTTGAGCTCTTTTGTTGCTATATTTGGCTGCATATCAACCTCCTCGTGCTTCTCTCCAGTTCGTGAGCATGGCCGTCCGCCCCCGCTCCGTCATCTCTCCATTTCCTTCCTGATTCGAAAAAAAAAAATAAGAAAATAAAATAAAGTGCGTCCGAATAGTCGGAGATTCGGGATTGGAACCCTTTGCAGCGATCATCTGGCGATTTCCCACCTTCCACCACTACTATGCACCAACATCCTAGGTCGCCTGCTCCGGCAGCGCCCATCTCTTCTACGAGACCTCGCTCCCAAGATCGCAAAGACCCGGACCCACGACCAAATTCCCCAGCTTTCGACCTTAGAACACATCCGAATAGAGGCCTGGGGATTGAAACAGAAAACGATGTCGCGGATGCCACCCATCGTTCACAGCCTGGAAAAGATGCGATAGCCAAGCTCAGTCAAATCATATCGGTATGCCACGAATTCGATCTCAAATGCATTTTTTGCTGACCTCGTTCTGTCTTGATGTAGAACTACCATACCAAGGCCGCTCTCATTATTCTACAGTCTCGTGCCGAGCTTCCCCCTTCGTTTACGAAAGGTTCCGACACACCGAGAGTGAATCGCTGGGTGCGTTTACTTTTTACTCTTATCTTAATTTTTTTTTTGGCGTTTCTCCATATGGTATTTTACTCGTTCATAAGCTGATACCTTATCGCATACACAGTTCAATGTCGAGGTAGAGGACACAGATGTCCTTCGAGAACACCTGCGGACCTGGAGGACATGCGATGCTACCGACAACCGACCACCCCCGTTGATCATCGAGACATATCTAGATACTCAAGGGCTCACAAACAGCCAAACCCTTGTTGTGTTGGATGAGAATGGAAAGCGATGGGATGTTTTGGAATCTCTCACCGCTTCTCAGAGTGCCCCCCCCGTGAAGCCTCCTTCATCTAGAGCCGACGATGTTATTCTGGAGCGATGGAGGGTTGAACTAGGGGATATGCCGGGTAAATTGCCGGCGGATCTAGGCTCGATTCTACCAACAGTATACAAGAAGAGCATCGTTCTTTTCCGATCTCTATTTACCTATTCAAAATTCTTGCCGGCCTGGAAATTTATTAAACGCAATGGCCGGTTCCGCACAAACCCTGCTTTGAGAATCAAGTACCGCATCCTGAATGATCAGGTCCCCCAAGAACCGTCCAAGCCAGACCATTTGACCATTCCCTTGTATGAAGGCAACAGCAAAGTGGTTGATACGTATAGTTTTGGTGTCACCGAATCGCCTGCGGGCCCGTTTTCCGTCCAGGTGACTTACCGAACGAGCTGCGATTTCCGTGTCGATGACTCGGAAGCCCTTTTAAGCTCGCGGTTCATGGGAGCGGACGATGAGATCTTCCGCCCCTCGCTACCATCCCGGGGCTTGGATGCCAAAGCTGTGAATCCCGAAATTGGATCGGCTCCAGTGGAAAAAAGGCCCGTCGAAGACCCTGATTTAAGTCGAGCATACGGAAGTCTATCCACCTTCCATCATGTCGGTGCTCCAACCGGGGCAAGTCCAATCTCAGCCCTTCGCGCTGCGAGAGAATCAGGCGCTTCATCCCCCTCTCCCGCTTCATCCTATCGAAAATCGCTCTCGGTCGCCAAGGCCAGTCCTGCAGGGCGTGCGGCGATTCTTGCAAACGAGGGAAGCCCATACGTCGCTAGAAGGCCCTCGATTTCCTTCCAACCATTCAAAGCCCCCCCATTGTCCGCTTCTCCTTCGCTGGTGGATCCTCCCCTTGGAGCGTCTCCTCGTACGGTAGGGCCTGTCCGAGCCTCCCTTTCTGAATCCAAACATATGCCTCCTCCTTCCATGGCTGCTTCGGCCCGTAAGTCCTTGTCATCAGCGCCTGATAATGCAATCCCGTCCTCAAATTCCGCCTCTCCACGACCCGCTCCTATCTCGAGATACAGCAGCGCTTTCAGTCATCGCCGAGGAAGACCATCCTCGGGAGGCATTAACCGGATCGAAGACGATAATTCCAGTGGCAAAGCGAGTGCAACGTCTTCAACCGCCCAGCCTGGATCTGGCCTACTTGCTGAGATTACTGGGACAAGTGCGGATTCAATTCATGCGGACGATGAGAACATTTCGGAATTTCTAAAAATGCTCGATCTGAGGAAAGACTTACTAAACCCTTCTTCAAATCACGCGGCTGCCTTGGATGCCGTCTCACGTAGAACTACAGCTACTTCCGCTGCTCTATCTCGCTTTCAGCGCATGCGAGACTCTAACGCCGCGCTCTCTGATTCCATGTCCTCGTCGTTGCTCTTGCAACGGTCCTCGAATTCCTCTAGCAAGCAGCTTTCGGGCGTTCCGCCAATGGCTGCAGGTACATCTATCTCCACGGCTTCATCTCCTGGAAAGCCAATATCTCCCCATACGCCGCACACCCCTGCTATACCATCTCGCTTGAGTTCTCACAGTATAGTGGATTATAATAACCCCGAATCCAATCCTCGGGGCCTCCCTCGTGAAGCCCCCAGCTCTCCCATGGAAGAAACTGTGAGTGATGAAACTCCTGTCGAACACCATCCTTCTACAGTGACCGCCATTCCCATACCGACATCTCCACCGTCTCTTTTCCCCGCAACCTTTCGCCGCTCCAGCTCAGCGGCCAATCGTCGAAGCGCTACCGCAGCGGATGATGAGGAAATTTTTAATATGCGCAGTGTAAGCCTAGGAGCGGAGGAGCCTTCCCATACGAGTCTGAGTGCGTTACAGCGACAGCACGAGTACGAAGGTACGGGGACCAACTTGGCTCCTTCCGGCCGTGGAGCAAGGCCAACCGGAAGAGATAATGCAAAGGTTCTACCAAGCCCGGCAACACGCGAAGTAGGCACTCAACAAGGTGTGATGACGTCTGCGCCAGCATCTTCTTCTTCTCCTTCCTCAAACCACCCCCTCTTCCAACGGCGACTCAGCCATTCCCGTGGTCGGGGGTTTTCTGGTGGACCTCAACCTCATTCTCTAAGCTCTGGTTCAAGCAGCGCCGCGCGTGGTGGTGGCATCATTCCTTCTTATCTTGCTGAGCAGGATCCTGACCGTGATGCCAACGCAAGTGGAAGCAATAGCGGTACTTACGTAGCTGACGAGCGCCGAGCCGGACGACGATCCAGTGCTGGCCGTAACAATTTTCAAAGCACGCAACCCGAAGAGGACGAACCCTTGTTATTTGTTATGAGTGACTTTGGGGCGTCTCGACGAAGCCTTGACGAAGGCCGACAGGGCACTAATGACTCGAGTGGAAACGCTGGCTCGAGGCGAGGAGGCAGTGGAAGACGAGGCGGACTTTCTGGCTTCCACGTCTGGCCTTGAACGCCTTTCGTGGCCCCCCCCCCTCACTGAGACTACAGAATGTGTGTAGACAGTGAGTGTGAAACAGCATCCCTGGAGGATGAAAGATCGTGTAAATATCTCTCTTGACTGGGTCACTACTCCTCCCACACCTGCCTATACTGATACTGGGGCTTGAATTCATTTGTGTTGATTACGCTCTGACCACAGGGAAGCCAACATCTATACCCCCTCTTTGTGGTAACTTTCTTTCTTTTCTTTTCTTTTCTTTTCTTTTTTTTTTTCACCTACAAGCATATACACCCTGATATTTTGACTTGTTCTAGTTTGACCATGTTTCTCCAGGGTGGCTTTCTTATAGACTGATCTGCTAGCAATACAAACAGTACCAACTGGAAAGGCGAATAGAGAATGGGCACGAACAGTTTTTCATTACTTTTACCTGGGCTTTCTCCCCCTCCTTGTTCCTCTCCTCTCTTCTCCTACACGTTGGCCATTGGGTCTTCTTTCAACTGATATATTGGTCATGTTTAGGTTTGGCTCTGATGCCTTGTTCTCTTCATGTCCTGGGATATTTCAGTGGAACCTCCCCCCTCTTCTTTTTTTTTCTCTCTTATTTCTTGTTTCTGTTTCACATTTTCCATATATAATTATCTAAGGCGGGTTGATGGTGTCCTTTTTTTTTTTTTTTTTTTTTTGCGTTCTGAGTCCCATTTTGGGGTTTTCCGGCTTGAGGCTTGATGTCGCGGACGGCGTTTTTGGAATGAATATTTTGCTCAAGTCAGAAATTAAAGCATGATGATTATTACCTATTTATATATCCATACAGTTGAAATTATGAAGTGTGACCAGTTACTTTGTCATATTAGAAGAGAAAATACATTATTATGTAACTAGAGGATATCTGTGCTTGGAAGATAATTAACATGTAAAAAAGAAAAAAAAGAAAAAAGAAAAACACAGGGTGAATTAAAAAGAAAAGAAAAGAGAAAAGAGAAGTAACTGATGACGAAAAAAGGGAAAGGGGAACGAACGGACATATGGAAATAGTAGGCTGTATTTCGTTCCCATGATGTGATTGAAAAAGTGACTCCAAAACGACCTGGGTATGCTAAACAAAATTCAACCTTGAACACCCACGAACGCCCGCATTTGTTGGTCAATGAATTGAAGAAGGAAGGGGGGGGGGGGGGGGGAGAAAGTGGCATAGCATAAGCTTGGGATTGAAAACAGAAATAAGAGGAAATCATGTGAAGAAAGAAGAGAAAGAAGGAATCTCAATCACAACGATTCAGGAAGAGAAGGTTATGGGTGTCTGTTGTACATTCAACCTGATGTTGCGACCTCACGACTTTCCCACATGCGACGAATCATCATTTCTGCTTCGTTTGGCAGGAGCGAAACCTCGGGCTCTTCATCAACTGTAGAATTGCCGGGTGCAGCTTCGTCTGATGTTGATAGGAGGCGTTGGGATGGGTGCTGAGATCCTTGATGTTGAGCTGTTGAATCAGCGGAATCATTCACAAGGTCTTCAGGGTCTTGGAAATATGTTTGGGAAACCGAGCCCTGCATGTCAGGTTGTCGTCTGCTCACGAGTTGCCGAGATTCAGATGTATTAACGTTTTCGCTTTCTCCCGTCTGGCGTTTTCCATCCTGGAGAAGAAATAAAGCCGGCGCTGACATAGCGGAGTGGATCAGTGCGCCGCGTGACTCGGGGTTGGGGTTGGAAGCTTTAGTGTTCTTAAGAATGGCGTTCAGGCGATTCAGGCTATCACCTGTGGGCGACTGGAACCTCCGCACCACTGTGAGCTCCATCGCAGTCTTCTCGTATGCTTTGCGGATATGTTTCGTCTCATGCTGGTGCATCACCCCGCCATTTCTTGAAGCTCCATTCATAAGGGCTCTCGCGGCGTCGAACGGACCCGAGCCCGTCCTAGGTGTGCCACTGATATAGGTCGGATCCATTGCAGATGGAGAAGCACTTGCCGGCACTCCATGGGAATCAGGGGGAGAAGTGTTCAACGCAGCTGTTCGCTGCAACCAAAGCTTCTGCTGGGTACGAGAATGAGGCTCCGTTCCAGGCGGGCGGGAAGGGGGAGACGCTTTGGACTTTCTTGAGGTTGTACCCCTCTTAGGGGAAGGAGGTGTTTGAGGATGGTAGTGGGGTAGGAATGACGACGGCGTATTTGGGTCGGAGTCGGTTCTGGAAGTGCCAGTTTTAATAAATCTTGATACGCCACCCTCGATGGAGGACGAAGTTGCGTGTGTTTGACTTCCCGGAATGAGCGCTTGTGCAACATTAGCTGAGGAAAGAGGTCGTCGCAGGCTATCATGACCGGAGGCAAGGTTGGTTAGAGAAGCATTTCTTGATATAGTATCCACTGGAGCGGGAGCAGCGGTGGCGGAGATCGAAGACATGGCTGGAGGGGCTTTGGCAGAGTGTGACGGGCTGAGGAGACGAGAAGCAATGTCGCTGTGGTCAGAAGTGCGTTCTGTATCCCCACGATGCTCGTCGGAGTCAGACGATTGTTGAGGCTGTGGATTGTGATCGCTGTCGTGGTCGTGGTCCTCTTCGGACGAATCGTCGTCATGGAAGCTCCTACTGGTAGATTCTGGGAGGCTAGTCGCTCGAGGAAACTGAGGATAAGACCGCTTCACAAATGTAAGCGGGTCGACTAGCACTTCCTGATTCTCCTCGCTGTCTTTGGACTGGACGACGGAACCCCGTCTCGTACTCTCCGGCGACTGAGTTGTGTCCTCCCAGTCACCGTCGTCGTTGTCTGAATCTACCAGTTCAAACCCCACCGACTTCTTCTTTCCCGCGCCAGTTTGGGGGCGGTCCGTCACCAGAGCTTTTTTCGTTATAACACCGGTGGACGTATTCCGCCGAAGAGCAGGGCTCGAGTAGTTCTTCCTCATAGATGCGGTAGTGTTATTTGTTCCATCCACTGCTCCATCCCAGCGAACGTGATTATGACTGCCACGGGGTGGACTCGCTGCGGGCGTTACGGGGGCCGATTTCTTGCGCTGATGTAATTTATTCAGGTTCTTGCCAAATGAGGGGTTGCGACCGTGGGAGCGATGGCCACCGACAACGTGCGGTCGATGAGGTCGATGGAGGGTCCTTTGGGTGTGAGAGGAGTTAGAGAGAGACAAGTCACCCTGGGAAGAGGAGGAGCGTGTGACGACAGCGTGGGAGGAGACAGCACGGCGGGCCAGGCCCGGGCGCTTGACAGGGGAGGAGGTGTTGGAAGATGTCGGCATGGCGGCGTTACGACGAGAACCAAATCGGGCGAGGAGCAGCTACCGGCAGAAGAACTGGCCGCAACGATTGGAGGGCACACCGAACACCCGGGGTTTGGCTCAATCCGGAGGGTTCGATTTTAAACCCAGCGATAATGACGAGTAAGTATCACAGCAGAGACGGGGTTGTTTGTGGGTAAGTATTCGATTGATGACGGAAAAGAAGCAGGAGAAAAGGAATTATTATATCCTTTTTTTTTTTCACTGGACAAGCGTGGGGAGGGACGAGGCAATTGGTGAGAATATGACGAAAGACCGGGGACGATAAGAGTGGAGAGAGAAGAGGAATGAAGAAGAAAAGGAAAGACGGGAGCGGGAGAAGAGGAGGAGGGGATATTAGAGAAGGGAATGAGCTTTAAACAGCCAGTTGGGAGAGCGAGAGATGAAGAAAGAGTAAAGAGAGGATTGAAGAGGGGAAGAAAGGAAAGAAAGAAGAAGAAGAGGAAAATCCGAGGTTGGTTTAGTTTAAGAAGTGAATCTGGAGGAATGGTATGTATGGATGGATGTATTGTTACGCGTACTAGAACCTGGTCTTGTCCAGTCACTTGGAAATCAAAAATCTTCCTACAGCTTAAAAATGAACACTGCAGACAAGAAAAAAAGAAAGAAAGAAAGAAAGAAAGAAATGGCCTAGTATCATGAAATGATTGGAAGGGAACCTCGAGGCCAGAAAACAATCAATTCATCTGGTATCATAATTGTCACAGGGAAACAAGGACCATAACACAAACAAAATACCAAAAAAAAATAAAATAAAAAGAAGGATCGGGCCACACTACAACTCAATCAAGCTCTCTTCTACGGCGGGTTTGGATGGCGCCGGTGGCTGATACTGTACGGGAGGGGCAGGCGCGCTGAGAGGGGAGACATCACCACCATATGGACCCTGGTAACCTGGAGTCGCCTGCGGATACCCCTGGAAATTCGCTCCCGATGAGGGGGGCTGTTGGTGATGGTAATATACTTGGGTTGGCGGCTCCGGTGGTTGATGCTGGAGGACGGGTGGGCCAGTGGGAGGGGGAGGACGAGAATCTGTCGGCTGCATATACCCTGAAAGAGCACCGTGGTCGATGGGAGGTAGTTGATCGGGAGCGGGAGCATTCGGGGGAACTCCTGTTGGCTGATATTGAGAATCTCGCCTGGCCACGGGCGATCCTTGATAAGGTGTCTCAGGAGGCGGGAATGGGTTGGCATCTTGTTCCGGATAGGTGGGATTACCATAAAACTGGGAGGGGGGTGGCGCTGACGTAGGATAAGCTGAAAGATGGTTAGGGAGCGTGTTGGTGCTCGAAAGCTGAGGGGAGGTGATTGGCTGAGGATTTCCATTCCAATACATACTGGGGGACATAGGCTGTGGGGGGTGCTGTTGGTGTTGCATGCTGGGGCTGATCGCGCCACTGCGAAGGCCTGCATTCTCCCGTGGTTCTGACGGTGGTTGGGCGTAAGATGTGCTGCTGGCAGGCTGGGGTTGTTCGGCACCTGAAATTCCATAATAAAAGTTCTCGGCTCCTGTTTTCGTATCGGCCACATTCGGGGGCATGGATGGATAGATATTCGGATATTGAGAAGCTCCCGGGAGCTGTCCATAACCTAGAGAATGCTGGGAGTAGGCATTGGATAGGCGTTCCTCTAGCATGCGATCATAATATCGGACAACGGTAGACAGCTTGGCATGCACGTCAAGCAGTGTATCTAGAAGCTCTTGGTCAGTCTCGCCATTCCATCATCAGCTAAGGAGACTGGATTACCGTGCTTGCTCATAGTTTCACCATAACTGCGGGCCAACTTCGGCCGAAGCGCTCCGACGCTCTCATACAGCTCCTGAATCTGGGGTTCCCGGAGGATGGTCCCCGGCGGTTGATGTTGTAATCGGTCAACCAGAGTGGCAAAAAGATGGATATTCTCTACCTCGACAGGGCTCAGCTCATATGGATTCTTGGGCAGGGTGGTCGTGGTGTGCATTGCGCGAGGCGAAGAGTCTGGGACAGCAGTGTTCTTCAAGGCAGCCGCATGCTTCTGCTTGTGCTCTTCCATATCACGTAACGATGCCTCTATGGCAGCTTTCAAATCCGCATCCTCCTCCTCATCGGTGCTGGGTTGATTGGCCGCTTTCGGGGGCTCCTGGGTCGGCTTGGATTGTGGAACGTAACCTCCTTTATTTTGGACTTCCTCTAAGCTCATTTGCAAAGCTCGACGCAGGTCATCATCGAAGCCACTCTCCGCCCTGGCACCACGGGGTTCCATTGCATTTGACTTGGTGATCGAGTTGTTCTTGAAAGCCGACCGGTCTGCCAGGGCACCCTGGAGGAATGGCTTCGAAGTTAATTTGGCATAGCATCCATCGTCAACACGGACCGGCTGTAATATTCCTAGGTGGGGCAGAGGAAGGCTCTTGCTGGAACACTGCGCATCAAAGACGTTACCGCAATTTCGGCAATGGTGCTTGCGGTTCATGAAACTGAACGCCGTACGGCAGCGCATACAAACGTCGGAATCAATCCACTCTGGAGGCTAGCATACGGATGATTCAATGTCAGTATTGTACCTGAGAGTATATAGGTAGTAGACTCCGCTTACCGCACTGCTCTCCAGCATGCTCCCGCTGATTTCGGTCTTGGGTGGGAAACGGAAACCTTCATTCTGCAACTTTCGGTATGTTTCTCCCAAGTAGCCGAGGTCGAAGCGTCCTTGAGCCGCCATGGCCCAGTCTTGAATCAGTTCCAGCATTTTATCTTGCACATTGGAGTTCAAAGGGACACCTTCGGCCTTAAGAAGCGAGACCAGGTTGTCCATGAACTCTCTCGACGCGATTTCTGCCAGGAAATGGGTTCCGCCATTTTTGACGCATGTATCGGTTAACTAAGCAGAGAGATACAGTTAGAATGTGTGATATCGGTGGGTGGTGGATCAGGGAGGGGTGGAGCCAACCTTGAGGGTCGCAATTTGAATATTTGGATTCTTGTTCTCTAATCGTCGCTTCAAGGATCGCATGGCATCTTTTGGTTGGACACCCTTGGATCGAATCAGGTCGGAGATCTCTAAATTGAGAGCGATATCCTCTCTGAAAAGCTAATTAGCCACATACTGGTCAGGGAGCTGGTCCCAAGTCCAACCCTTACAGAGAAGATGAGGTTGCACGCTCGACCTGCTCGTCGAGAGGCGAAGTCGAAGAAAACCACCCCGCCATGCTGACGATGACGAGCAACGAATGCGCTGGTTTGGTGATGACGAGAATTCCGATACCTAATGACGCTGGAAGCCTGGGGATGGAGGAAGGCGTACTTGATGCGGGGAGGGAGAGGTTGAAGGCGGCGTAGGAGCTTGTATGAGATGGCAAGGGACTTTCGGGATGTCGGGGAGGGCCGGAGGAGGACGTATTGATATAAAGAATCGATGAAAGGAGGGTTCAAAAGGGCCAAAAAAAAAAGAGCTTCTTCAAGCGGAAAGCATGGGAGTTGAGAGATATCTGCCTCCAACAAGTAGCTTGTACGTACAATGGATGTTGTGTCGCCGCCTCCATTTGATGGCCTTAATTGGCCTGGGTGCCTAGCCAGCTGAGTCAGCATCCAGGACATGTGGCGTCATAGGCAAAGGCGGTGTGTTTCACGGCGTATGCAATACAGGACAGTACATCCTAAAAGAGAAACATACGCGGCAGAAAAAGGCGGTGTCCCGATTTTGTCCCATGGAAGATCAGGTGTTGCGTATCGGTATTTTACCGCATACATGATTACCCCAGACACATCCCGCCAGGCATATCCGATTCAACTCAAGAATAACTTAGTATACCTAACCGTCTCCCCACTAAACTCCAATCTGCGGATCGGAGGTGAGAAGAGGAGGGAGGATCAATCTGGTCTCTTTCCAGTTCTTGCACCCGCTCTTTTCGTCTGATCCCTTGGTCTCGTATTTTATTCACTCGTTACTTCGTCCTTTTGGCACATCATCCCGCGGCCTCACCTTCTGCCGTTCCCTTTTTCTCCAGCTTCGAATCAGAAGCTAGGCCAGGTCATGATCTGTGAAGCCTCCTCTTGACTCTTCCTATAATGGCCCCAGATGCAGCGACTCTGCCGTCACCGCCAACTTTTGCGCCGGGGGAGAGTATCAGCCGTCGTCCCCTCAGTAGCATCGTTTCTGGTGGGAGGCAAATTGAGGGACCTGGGCCGCATCAGAACGGTATCCCATTACGGTTTCCGAATATTAAGGATCTTCAGGATAAAGCGGCTGCCTTGGAGGTAACTGAATCTACACCGGTACGTATTTCCGGCATGGAACACGGACGCATGTTGATTTCGCTAACGAACGTTGATTGCCGATGTAGCTCATTGAGTTGTTGACGACGGCACAAGACGCCATCTCGAGATTTAGAAGCTTTGCAGAAACCGATCAACTCGGTAGCGCCTATGTACAGTATCTTCGCGCCTCCGAGATTACCATCAACCTCATCCCGCACCACCCAGATTATCGGACCGCTACCAGCCAGATTCCTGGATGGCACAGACAATTTTCAGAACTGATAATGGCAAGTTCACCATGATGGAAAGACCTTGTGTTGTGAATGCGAATTTATTTTCAGGGACCTGGGCTAATACTGAATCCTATTAGGCCGTGCGAACCAAGCAGGGGACTATGGACACAATCAAGCAACAAATTCTGGAGAATAACCTCATGACTAACGTGCAACCTGTCGGCGCTTCTTTGCCCAGCTCGCGGCGACCGGCACCTCATGTGATTCCTGCAGGGACTTTTCAATCCACATCTCTGCGTGGTCGTCAAAATGAGACGGAAAACAGTTCTACACGAATGCCTAGTCCTTCGGATTTCCAGGCGTTCGACCTACAAGCGAAACCGCAGAGGTATTCGACCCCTCCAGACGCACTTGCCCAGCGATTCGCTCGGTTAAAGACGACATCTCCCCCAACGAACGGGTTTAATTCAACGCATGAGGGCTTAAATGACACCACTCAGAGATATAATGAAAACCAGTCTCCTATTCCCTCGTCGTATACCTCTCCCGAGCCATCACATGGGTCGATCCTGAATTCTCCTCCCAGACGCCCCTTGGGACCGCGCAGTATGGGGTCTCCTCATAATGTACCTACTTTGCCTCCTAAGATTCCGATCAATACAGCACTTCCTCGTGCTCCAGACCCCGCCTACAGCCCAATATGGACGGTGCCTTCGCAACCTCCATCAAACCCTCCGAGAACCTCCACTGAGATCTGTCGTCCTATAAACCCGAGATACTCCCAGCTTGCTAACTCGCCCCGCGGAAGTCCAAGCCGCAATGATTTGGACGATAATCCTTATAGGTCCCGGACTCCCAACGGCATTCATGTCATGAAAGAGCCGAGTAGCTCAGCTGATCTACCCCACAATTCGACGATTGGTGCACAGGATCTGCTAGAGTATCTGCGTCGATATAATATTTTGTTGATTGATGTGCGTCCTCGAGATGATTATGACGGTGGTCATATATATGCGAAATCAATCATATGTATAGAGCCCGTTGCACTGAAGGAAAACGTCTCTGCGGAAGAGCTTGAAGAGCGCCTGGTGGTCTCTCCTGAATATGAACAGGCACTGTTCGAGAGGCGCAATGAGTTTGATATGATCGTCTATTATGACCAAAGCACCAGCTCGAATAGCTACCTCGCCGGCCCACCGGTGGGTACTACTGCACCCCATCTCAGGGCTCTCTATGATACACTCTACGAATTCAACGCCTATAAACCTTTGAAGGATGGACGGCCCCCTGCACTTCTGTTGGGTGGTCTTGATGCGTGGATTGACCTTTTGGGACAGCAGTCTCTTGCTACCTCTTCTACTGCCGCTGTAATCGCATCTATTCAACCAAAGAGACCTGTTGTCAAACCGGGTCGCCCGCTGGGAAGAGTTCCCACAATGGCCAGTGCCAACTCGAGCTTGGAGGTCCGAAAACGACGGCTCCGGAAACTTGAGCAATTGAACCCCGAGGAACTCACGGAGTGGATGGAGAAGTCAAAGACGGAAGAAATTGACACTAGTGCCTACATTGAAGAGGAGGAAGCCCTCGCGGAAGAGTCTGAGGAGGACCAGAGGGAAGCAGAAGTCCCGGCGGCACCGTTTGTGCGCTCGTACGAAGATTTCCTACGACGGTTCCCCGAACCGCATGCTATTCAACAGTCAATGGTAGCAACGGCGGTTCAGCCATCCGCTCCATATCCAAACTATGCCGCTCCCATGCCTCTTGCCCCGTCACGACCTCCACCTGCAGTACCACGTCGGAGCTACAGTGGCGTTTCGGATGGTCGACAGATCCAACCTACCTTGGCCCGACAGACCTCGGCGACGAAGACGGCCCTGTACACGTCGAGTTCGATAATCAATCGCCTCAAGCTTCCTCGAACGGGGCTGGCTAACTTTGGCGTGACATGCTACCTGAATTCGACGATCCAATGCTTAAGCGCCACGGTGATGCTGAGCAAATTCTTTATCGACAACCGATTTAGGTATTATGTGCAAAAGAATTGGAAAGGGTCTCAGGGTGTGATGCCTGGGTTGTACGCCAATCTGATCCGGTCGATGTGGAAGAATGATGTGCAAGTGATCATGCCTACTTCCTTTCGGAATTTTTGCGGGCGGCTGAACCAGGAGTGGGCAATCGATCGGCAGCAGGATGCCAAGGAGTTTTTTGACTTTGTTGTCGATTGTCTGCACGAGGATCTCAATATCAACTGGCAGAGAACACCGCTTCGGCCGCTGACCTTTGAGGAGGAGATGCAAAGGGAGAGAATGCCTGTGTCCAAGGTCTCCAAGATAGAATGGGACCGGTACTGCCACCGCGAAGAATCCTTTATCTCGTCACTCTTTGCGGGACAGCATGCCAGTCGACTGCGGTGTACAACCTGTAAACGGACGTCGACGACGTACGAGGCTTTCTACAGCATCAGCGTGGAGATCCCCGCCTCGGGGAAGGGCGACATCTACCAGTGCCTGCAAAGCTACTGCAAGGAAGAGATGCTGAGCGGCGACGAGGTGTGGAAATGCCCGTTCTGCAAATGTGAGCGGGTGGCGACCAAACAGATCATCGTCACCCGAGCCCCCCAGATCTTAGTGATCCACTTCAAGCGATTCTCCGCCTCCAAAACGCAGAGCGCGCGCAAAATCCACACGCCGATTGACTTCCCTCTCCACGGGCTCCGAATGGACGATTTCGTGTTCTCGCCGCCGGGCGGCCAGGTTGCCGTCCGCGAGACGCAGAACACAGGGTTGCAGGATACAACCTCTGCGACGGATCCTCCTTTCACGTACGATGCATACGGGGTTTTACGACACCTTGGGTCGTCGATGGGGAGCGGCCACTATATCTCTCTCGTGCGGGATGCATCACGGCAATGCTGGCGGAAGTTTGACGACGGGCGCGCAACGGATTTTAAGCCGCGTGATCTATCATTCAAGGATCGGTTGCAGAACGAGCAAGCGTATATTGTATTTTATGAGCGAGTTCCTGCGAAGTAAGAGCAAAAAACCCCCCCCCCCCCCAAAAAACCCCCCAAAAAACGGGACTGTTGTTGTTCGTATTAGACGTCGTCCTTCTGGAAAGAACGAGTGCTATGTGAGATGCGATATTATGATTTTTCTTTCTTTACATAACCGAGTTCAGGGTGTATGGTAGCGTTTATTTGCGAGGATATATAGAACTATTATATTATGTATTCTGTGAGAATATATTCTCATACTATATGGTGAGGAAATTCCCGATTAGGCAGTCTGCTCCTCAGGCACTCTGTTTCTCTGACTTTCTGAACTCTTGTAATAGAATAAACCCTTTGAATAGAAATAATTGATTCTTTATTAACATCACCAGTAGTTAACTCACCCACTATCTACCTCAGTAGTTATGAATGTTAACAGTAAACTATCCCTGACTAAACAAAATTACACCGTCTCCGATTCGCAGAGAGGTGCCTGTTCTCTCAGGCCACAGTTGACCCTGGTCCAGTCGGGGAGCGTCAATAAGAAAACAGGAAAAATGAAAACAAGAGGATTCTCGAGATCTAAAACAAGATGCAGATTCTATTCTATCCCGAGTATATCTTTCGGATCGAATTTGCGACATTACCTGGACATTTGATACTAGTTACCTCCAGTTTGGCGGAGAAGCGGTCGGATCACATTCCCCCAACTGATTGTCGGCCCCCGAATTTCTTCTCTCTCTCTCTCTCTCTCTTCACGTTCTTCTTCTCTTCTCTTCTCTTCCCTTCTTCTTCTTCTTCTTCTATCTTGGGCTTGTTCATTCTTATTTTCATCAACTCTCTCTTTGCTTTGCAGTTCTTGTGTCTCATTCATCCCTCCTGTAAGTCTCTCTCTCTCTCTCTCTCTGTCTCAACGCTCCCCTTTCCTTATCCTCCTGCTTTTTGCTTGTTGCAGGACCAACTCCCAATTACCGCTAGCGAATTTCAAATTTCCCTTGCACTCTTCTCTTACCTAGCCTCCGTCGCTAATCTATCTTCCCCCTCTCCCGTCTCCAGTTTATTCCACACCATGGCTGCCGACAAGGAACTCACCTTCAAGGAGGTTGCTGCCCACAAAACCAAGAAGGACCTCTACCTGATCGTCCATGACAAGGTCTACGACTGCTCCTCCTTCGTTGACGAGCACCCGTACGTTTCTCTGCCCTGTCCAAACGCTTGAGCCCGCACCACTAACGACTGAATGAACGAATCCAGTGGTGGTGAGGAGGTTCTGCTCGATGTAGCCGGTCAGGATGGCACCGAAGCCTTCGAGGACGTCGGACACAGTGACGAGGCACGAGAGATCCTGGATGGTCTGCTCGTTGGTACCCTCAAGCGCCTGGTACGTTCCTTTCGCATCTATCCTGCCCCTCTTGACTCCACTGGGACGTATAAATTAACAGCATGTGCTCTTTCTTGTATTAGCCCGGCGACCCTGCCCCCGCGGCCAACACGCAATCCTCCTCTAACTCTTCCGGCCCCAGCGCCGCTGCCGGCCTTGGGGTTGGTCTGTACGCCTTTATTCTGATCGGTGGTGCTGTCGCCTACGCTGCTTATCAGTACCTCGTAGCCTCTACGGCTGCCGAGGCTTAGTAGACGCGGCTACGATGGAGAAAGCGAAGACAAGAGAGGGATATGCGAAGATGAGATACAAGTACCATACCATACTATACCATATTATACTACAATAATAACAAACAAAACTCCAAAAAAAAAAAAAAAAAGAGAGAGAGAGAAAGAGAGAGAGAGAGAGTGTGTGTGTGTGTAGATTCCCAAGATAACATATATACATTTATCTAATGAGAGAGAAGAAGAGAAGAGAAGAGAAGACAAAAAAGACCTCGCGTCTTATTTTCCATTTTCACTATTTTTTTATTTCTGTCCGGTAAAGCGAGGAAGAAAACACCGCAACCCTAATCCGTGAAACTGACTCCTACTTTCAAGTGACACCAAATATATATGTATATATATATACTACTAGTACACACACCAGAGTACTATAGTCACTTAATTTAATCCCCAGGTAGAATTGATACCTACCTCCCTTCTCCGACTGAAATATATCTCGGTATTACATCCATACCCCCATTTACTAGGAGTTAGCTCTCCTCCGCACCTCAGTTCGTTCCTCACCGGGATTTTTCCGAGATTTGGAAACTACTTTTTTGATTCGGATTCTGGGTTCTGATTTATTTGGGTGCTTGGATTCTATTTCGGTATGTTATATTATGTTATATTATATTATATTATATTGTATTGTATTGTATTATACTGGTTCACTCGGGTCCGGAATCCGACGGGATTTTCACTCCGGACTTCTATCTCCATACTCCGTACATACAAGGCTTATCTATCGAATAAATAGGGACGAACTTGGAGGTACAAAAATTTTGTTGATTATCTAAATGTAATTCCAATGTATAAGAGTGAAGTAGTCAGGGCAGGGCAATGCCAAGTTAAAAAAAAGGGGGGGGAAGGAAATATAACACATTCTTTTGATCAACAATACAAAATATAGAAAGAAAGAAACCACTTCCTTAGATTCACGGCACTTAGATCTCCCATGCCTTCACTACTCCCTTTGAGTTCTTCAGAAAGAAGAAGAAGAAGAAGAAGAAGAAGAAGAATATAAAAAAAAGAAGAAAAAGAAGAAAAACAGAAGGGGGGAAGCAAAGTCAAGGAAAATCATCTCGAGCTACCGTTCAATCCGGCGCGAACGGCTTCCAGGATCAGATCCCGGGCCTGCTCCAGATGTTCTTTGCCCCCCTTGATCTCGATCGCCTCACCCTTGGCCTGGTCCTTGGGGACGTTGATGCGGCACCCAGTTTGCTTGCGGATCGCATTGATCTGGCTACCACCTTGGCCAACCACGAATCGGTAGGTCTTGGGATCAGGCAGAATAAGGTATCCAGTGGCAGACTGCTGCGAGGCGGAAGCGATAGCCTTCTCCAGAGCCGCCTTGGCCTTTGTCACGTTGTCTCCCGATCCAGCGAGAACCCACGGGATCGTCGCAGGCTCAGTAGGATCACTATCCACAGGGCTGTGATCAACAACCTTCCAGGAATGAGCCTCGACACCCTCGCTAGGCTCGTCAGTAACCAGGGGGAGCGAGGAGGGTCCATTAACAGCGCCACGAGAGTCTTCTGCAGCAGGCTTATCCGGGACTTGTTGACCAGCATGATCCACCGTCACCTGGTAGTCGTTGCGAAGACGACGGAAGAAAGAGCCATTGCTAGAGATCACATGGTGCAGGTTGCAGGGAACTTCAACAGTCACACCCTGTTGATCCTTCAGCATAGACAGAATATGTTCCTTCGCCTCAGCAACAGCTGTGCTAGGACCCTTCAGCTTAACATCGGAGCGACCGGAACCTTGCTTGGGAATGTCCAGAGTGATGTTGAACTGGGATTCAATACCGCGTCTGGTATCGCCCCCGCGGCCAATAAGAAGACGGTGCTGCACAGGAGGGATCTCAACGTTGACAACAACCTGGTCGTCACGCTCCTTCACAAATTGTTCAATCGCAGCAATGATCTTCTCCACAACAGCGCCATTGCCTTCGAGTCTAATGGTGGTCTCGCTGCTCTCGGGACGAGGGAATTTGACAAGTCGCGAAGCACTCGAATCGGCAGGGCCACCGGCCTCAGCGACGATCTTACGAATGTTGGCGCCTATGATGACCTTGGTTAGCGATAGGAAAATTGGAATGGCGAAGGTGGGGGGGGGGGGCTTTCAAAAACTTACCACCACCACCAATCAAAGACTTGTGGTACTTCTTCTCAACTTCAATGCTGCGCGTTACAGTGGCGTCGAATTCGCTCGACCGCGTCTGCAGAATCTTCTTTGCTTCCTCGACCTGCTGCTTGGTACCCTTGATCTTGATCTGCACACGGCCAGAGGCATCCGGTGCATCATTGACTCCTGGAACATCAATTTGTGCACCAGTATCGGCGCGAAGTTTGTCCATCTCGCGTCCACGCTGGCCAATTAGCGATGGTATTTGGCTCTGGGCAACAGAGACCGTTGCCGAGTGGGAATGATCAACAACCCACTGCAGCAAGCTAAGAAGCTCATCACGGGCGGCATCCGCACCCTTGCTAGGTCCTTTCACGATAACTTCATCGACACCTTGCTGGGGTCGGGTTGGGCGTACGCTACCAGCCTCACTGGAAGTATCCGCAATGGACTGGTCATCGCTGATTGCCAAGGCTCTGGGGAACTGAACGCGAACGGAGTATCGGTCCTGAAGTCGGTTGACCTGGCTACCCTTTTGTCCGATCAATTCACGGTGATACTGGGCAGGGATCTTGAGAATATGAGTTGTCTCGTCCTCCAGCTTCTTCCCGAGATTGATGATTCTTGTCTTCGCAGCATCAGCTTTGGCCTTAGGTCCTTTAACCTCGACCTTGCCATTCTCGACCTTGATATCGACATCGAATTCGTCGCGAAGCTTATTGATGTTCTCACCCCTCTTGCCAATGAGGAGGTTCGCAAACTTCTGGGGGAAGTCGAATAGGGTTGTGTAACCCCGTTCCAAGTCATCCTTCTCCTGTTCCACGACAAACGCTTGCAACTTCGCAGCTAGATCATCTACCAGGCGGGAAGGACCACGAAGAGCAACATCCGTGTGAGGAGTCGCTCCACCGTTGCGGCTGGGGCCACCTCCAACAAGAGCACGGACCGGAATGTGATCTTCACCCAATGTTTGTTGCTCACGAGCGATGAACTTTCGCACCTTTTCTTGGTACTTGCTTGGAATGACGACTGACTTGGTCACAATGTCATTTTGGTCACCCAAAGCGCCCAAAAGGCATTGCTGAGCTTCGAGAAGCGCCTTCTCAAAACTGGCGAGCTCGGCTGCCGAAGGGCGTTGACGGGGGATCTCAAACTGAGGCGAGCTGGCAGAAGGACCTTCATACACGAGAACCACATCAGGACTGTCAACGTCTTCAGGGACAAGCAGGTGAACACCATAGTCATTGCGCAGTTGAGGAATGGTGCGGGATTGCAGGTAAGGGTGGAAATAGGGGTCAACAGAAATATGGCGGAGTCTGGCAGGAGGGTGAGCCTGAACCAGGTTCATGATGTCAGATCGCGCACGGATAGTGTTCTTTCCATCTCTGGAGTAAACTTCCCACGTAACTGGTCCATCCGTAGTAGGGGAGAGGGCAATCCGCGCATCGTACATGTTTTCTAACTCCTTGATGATTTGTCGCTGCCTAAGATAACGGGTAAGAGCCCGAGCATGGGCGTGAGGCCCTTGAGGGGCGTTGGGGTGTTGACGCGACAGGTCAATGCTAGCCATTTGCATGCTGGTGGCTAGGTCCATGGCCCGGTTGATACCGCTCTCAATACACTCAAGCGGACCTGTGACAGTCAAAAACTCGGTGTCATCGGATGGAGGGGGCAGCACAATAGCACATCCAGTATCAGCAAGGAACTCATGCAGCGCATCAGCGTTATCGCCCAGGATGAACTGGTGCTGGCCACGGTTGATGGCAAGTTGACGAAGAGTCAATTGGCGCTGCAAGCCGGCGGCAAGCCTCTCAATCTCAGCGCGAGCTTCCTGAGTGGCATTGCGTTCTCCGGAAATATTAATGTGTCTGTCAGACACAGGGGCAAACTGAACGTGGCCAGGATCGGCTTCCTGGGGTGGTGGCTGGCTTTGCCATGTATCATACCGTGGCACATGAATCTGGGCCTTGGTGCGCTCCTCAATGTTCCTTAAGTTTGAATTATGAGGACCGGCGATGAAGGGGAAGAACTCGGGTGGGATTGACCTCAGGCGCAGGTTCATGTTCGAGGACCGCTCCTTGACAATAGCTTCGATTTCACGGCGCGCCATTTCGGCTGCGACAGCATCACCTTCGATCAGTACGTCGATAGTATCCTCATCGTCCTCTTCTTCTCCCGTCGATGGATCCTCTGCACGGGGAACTTGCACACGAGCACCTGTGCGTTGCTGGATATCTTGAACGACAGCTCCTTGTCGGCCAATGATGTGAGGTCGGGCAGAGGCAGGAATTGGCACACGCACAGATTGCTGAAGGCAAAATTAGTTTTAAAACACCCCACAGCCAAAAAAAAAAAAAAAAAAAATGAACAGGAAACTTACCTTTGAACCAACTTGCTGGGCCACCTGCTTGAGGGCTTGTCGAACCGCCTCCGCGGAGCCCTTGCCCTCAAAAATGATGGAGCCACCGGGTCCTCCACGCATATCAACATTGGCCTTTGATCGCTTGGATATATCGCGCAGAATATCCCGGAGGGGCTGTTTCAGCTGTCCTCTCTGAAGCATCTGAGAAGGCGCTAGGCGAAGCTGTTCCATATGCTTTCCGGGGAGACTCATAATCCTGGGGACATCGGACCCAAAACCTCCGGGACCTAGTTGATGGTGAGAAACAGGGTAAACCAAAATAAGGTACAGTATTAAGGGCGAAATGAAGACGTACCAGCTGGCGCACCGCTGGGAACACCATTGGCGACAGCCGCAGCGGCGGAACCCTTAGCACCCCAAGCAGATGCAGCGGGTGCCTTGGGCTTCGGACCACTTCCCAGAGCAGGAAACAATTCCTCAGATTGTACATCAAGCGTGGGCGCCTTTCTAGGAACAGGCTTTGGGTTCAATGGCGCATCAGTGGTCGCCGGTGTCGGAGCCGGCGCGGGGGCAGCAGCAGGGGCTGAAGCGCTGACGGTGGCGGACGGGGGAGGGTGTTGAATATCGTCTTCATCCACAACTTCCTCCACTGTTGCCTTGTGCGCCTCATCGCGTGCATGCTGTTCCTCCAGCATGGCAGCCCTAGACTTAGAGCTCGATGCTCCGCCATTCACAATGGCGCTGGGGCCCTCGGAAGCCATGATTGGACGATCGGGGGGATTTTTAAAATTCGAAATGAAAACCTGTGGAGAGGGCACAAATCACACTGACACTCGAGAAAGTTCCGAGATTAGCACGACTATCGCACTAGTAAGAGGTCAAAACTTACCCGAAGACGTCAGCGTCGGAGTGAAATGTAGGACCTGACAACAGAGACCAGATAGAATAGAACGGGTCAAAAGGAATCAAATCCCGGAAAAAAAAAGACAGAACCCGATAGAATGGATGCAGAATCTTCCCCGAGAAAATTAGCAGGAGGAAGAAGAAAAAGATAAATTGCTAATTGCACAGGCTAAAAGCAAAACAGACACTGCATCACAAAAAGCAGGCGGAGAGAGAAGATGAGAAGAAAGAGAGGTCGAGGTGAGTAGGAGGGGGAGGGGAGGTGAAGAGAGAGAGAGAGAGAGAGAGAGAGAGAGCGAGTGAAGAGAATTGACAGCTGGAAGGCTGGTTGATGATGATGGGGGACTGAGAGAACAGGAGGAGGAGAGGAGGAGAGGAGGACAGATTGAGGGCGTGAGTGGTCGGAGTGGAAAGACTGGGGGAGGAATAAGTCGTTCCCTTTTCCATTGGATGGCGGCGGAGCCGAGAGAGACTTACCGGAGTAGGTACTGGTACGAGACGCGCGCTGGGAGTGAGCCTCAACTTGAGGAAAGGGTTTGTTTCTTTAATTCTTGAAGATTTATTGGATTCATTCAAGCATTCAGATCTACTTATTTTTTCTGGTGAGTTGATTTCCAAATGAGAAAAGTGCTGGGCTGGATTATTCCCCTTCTTTGCCAGTGTTATGGTGGTAGCCTACCACACACACTTTACTAGGCCCGATAGTTGGCTACTCTCTTTCGCTGAGGTTCACCTAGGTAGGCAATCAAGTAAGCCTCGACTTGGGAAAATTGGAAGACACCGTTCTGTTTTCTCTAGGGAAATAGTGTTTTATCTGCGGTGAACACTGGTGTTGTTGTTATTGCCACAGGTATCCTCCTCCCCCGAAGCCAGCATCCATCGAGGGGACCTTGGTTTCGACTCGAGTCCAGACTCCAAGATAGCAGACCAGACCACTTGGGGGATCTATAATAAACCCTCCGTTCCTCCAATTCTACTACGCCTTTGCTTTCCTCTCAATCTTGGGAATGGCAGGTTTTGCATCCAGACACGTGGTTGAATTCTTAACAAGAAGTCTTATACTATCGGGAAAATGTTGTTGCCTTCCGCGCGGCCGGTCTTTCGAACCGAATGGAATATTTCATTTTATTCGTACAGTACAGCCTTTGTACATTTTAACTCATCAGGGGCGAATCTCCGCATCCAAGTCTATCAATTGATTCAATGCACCCTAATTCAAAGCGAAAATACTCTTGTGTGGCTTAACAGTCTCCCTGCGGACTTTCATCTATGTTCTTCCAGAGGGCCTTCGCTGGGCAGTTTGAAGCCTGTCGTATCGCCAAGCCTTGTCTTTGCCACACATTCTTCTGATGATTTTAAAGGTGGCAGTGGGACGATCCGGACATCAATCGATCGTGGTGTTGCGTCTGGATAGGAGGTCACAACGGTCTTCAAGTCCTACTGTTCTCACCTAACCTCCTGGCCCACAGGTAGCATTGCGTTATCAAGGTGCCGAAATAGGGGATCGGTCCTCTAAATAAGTTAAAATCTCGTCATGCCATGTGCGAGGACGATAAACTTTCCGTCCGTGCGAAACTCAAGACGTACGTTCCAAGTTGGCTGCGTGACGATCTGAATCCTCACATATTTTTTCGAACCTCCACACGCTCAGGGTTGTGTTAGAAATAGATTAATAGACGGGTTAATCAAGGGGCCCTGTCAAGTCCATCTCCCAACAAGATCAAGAAGCCCAACGAGGGACCTGTAAAGTAGTAAATGATCTGTATTGCATGGATAGATCGGTGTATCTCGACAACTTGACCAACAACTCCCTAGGTACGGAGTACAGTCGATTATGATTTGACAGCTGGACGTTTGCAATCCAGCAGAGCAGGGAAATTTGAAAATTGACTGCTGGAACGACAAGGCGCACGCCATGTTGTGGCGAGCAGGGGGAAAAATTTGTACCTATCTGGCTGACTGGTGACAAGTTGTTTTTGGGAGGTGATTGTTCCTGCAGAATTACATCGAGTAATTTAACTGCAGCTTGGAGGGATCGATTGCTTTTGTTTTTATCCTTCTTTCGCTTCGGGGTTGGATGTGGAATTCATCAGTATGGCCGGTTAATACACGTCATGTCATACAGACCTCGAACAATAATGTGACAGGGCGCCTTGAAGGAAAGAAATTGGATTCCATCGGGGTCAAGACAAGACAGGGTTAAATAACTAGTACTCAATAAGAATAAAATAATGCCTATAGCACAGGCAATAATAATGCCAGTGTGTGTGAATATTCTGTGGAGGAGAGGTGGAAGTGGGCAGGAAATGAGATCCGCCCCACTTTCCCAGTCCGGCATTGGTATAAAACGCTGGGAGGTTTACTTGATGGTTATTTAGGTAGGTTCGAAAATATCATTACCTAGGTCGGTATACCTGTACCGGAAGAGGCACCATACCATATCTTCTTGCTTCGTTGGCCTTACTCCAGGGAAATTATCTCCGTGTATCAAATTTCAACTTTCAAGCCTAAAAGTCTTAAGGGGGTTGAAGAGAGGGGGTGATGGATCATGGTACTAATAAGGGAATATGCACTACTGCTAGCTTACTGGGTCCAGGACGTGTCTAGAATTTTTGTGTCTTATTCGACTTCCCATTTCAGACAGTATCTTGAGTGTTTGAGACCAGTGACGTATGTTTGGACAAAAGTACCTGGTTTAATTATTAGTAGTAGTAGTAGTAGTAACTAGTAGTTAAAGTCGAAGAGTTGAGCATGGATATAGAACGAAAGAGGATAAATTTGCGTAGGAAGGAACCTCAATACTCTGGTAAAACCATCAATACCAATTGCCAGCCAGGTGTTTTCTGTCAAGTGGATGTTCTTTGTCGTCCTTCTCCTCCTCCAGTAAGTCTAATAATAATCCATCGCGGTAAAAACGTTCGTATGTAATTTCACAGAACAGACCGTTTCGCTTGTCGCTTCAACAACAATTGACTCTTCTCTCCTATCGCTGGTCCAACCTCTCTTTCTCACAACCAACCTGTCTAGCTAACTAAATAATTAGTTAACCATCATTCATCCAATTCTCCATCTTCTTGTTTTTTTCTTTTTTTCTTTTTTCTTTCCTCCTTCTCTACTCCCCCATCTCTCACATCCTGTATATTACTGACAGCTGCATCACTCCTCCTTGTCTCCTGTATCTTATTGCTTTTTGCTGTCTTGCAGACCCAGTGTGCTGAGCTGTCGGTTATCTGCAGCTTCCTGCATCCTTGTTGATTGCTCTCTTTCAACTTTTCAATTTATTACCAAGTTACCCGGAAATCTACCTGTCGCGCGTCTCATCCACCCTCCCTCTTATCGTTTTTTATCCATCAGCCATTCTCCACGTGCTAACCGCCTGCCGTACGGTCGCCCGCGGCAGCCAGCTTCTTTCGCTTCCCTCCCTTGCGTCGTCCATCTGGATCTTCTTGCATCCCATCTTACCACCGACCCGTCGTGTTATCTATCTTACCATACAGTATCACCTTCCGATTTCCACTTACCTCTTCTTCCCCGGAAGGGATTGTGTGAGAGAGAGAGCCTGAGAGAGAGCACGCACCGCCTCACCTGGTGGCTTCCCCCCCTCTCACCCTCCAATCAATCGGTTTAGTCCAACTCATCTTGTTACCAATCGACCAATCTGTCCCTCCCTCCCCCCCCTTTAAAATCTGCGCGCCATGAATCACGATAGTTTTTCATCTTTGAAATTTCGTCGCCCGTCCAGCAAACTCCACAAGGACCCTCCGAGTTTTAGTTCACGAATCCTCAGAAGTGAGCAGACCAACACATCACTGAAACGACACCCCTCCGCGCCTAGCTACCCGCGTTCCTCAGCTGCTGGAAGTAGAGAACACCTGCGCACTCGATCTAACGCATACGGCTCTTCCTCATCCTCTCTTGACCAGCATAGTGGTGGACCATCTCCGGTTCTTGCAGGCAACGAATCTGGCTACTTCCACAGCAACCAAAATCCCGCCAAACCCCGTCTACCCTTCTCAGGACGGTATTCGCTCAACGACCAGAGTTCAGATGAATTGATTGGCGCCCCATTCGACTCCCGGGCTATGCTCAGTGCATTGGACGAGAATACTGCTGAGTCTGACCGAAGTCCTTACGAACGTCCCCCCGAGAAACCCCCGACCCTACGCTCCCAAACCACTCCTGATCCACGAGGTTTGAGACAGTCAGCGAGTTTTACCGCTCTGCACAACCGTATGGAGACGTTTCCAAGTACCACCAGCAATGACCGTCCGACGAATGCGAAACGGTACTCCGACGAAACCACCACGGTCAAACCGCTGGGGACCGGACGAAGCAAGAAGAGTAGTTTCTCTAGCTTTGTGAACAGTATGCTAGGCTCTCCCCGCGGTATCAAGATTTCTGCCCCCGAGAACCCAGTCCATGTCACCCACGTTGGCTACGATAACCAGACGGGCCAGTTTACTGGCCTGCCGAAAGAATGGCAGCGATTATTACAAGAAAGTGGTATTTCAAAGAAGGAACAGGAGGAACACCCACAAACCATGGTTGATATCATGAGATTTTATGAAAAGAACGCCCGTGGGGATGATGAGGTCTGGCATAAATTCGATCATGCATATCCGCAGCATCAAACCATGACCAGCCCTATCTCCCAAACGGGTGGACCATCACCGTATGGCATTCCCCCGCAGCGGACGTCTCCTCCTACAAGCCCTCGATTCCCGCAAAACCATGAAGGCAGTTTTGAAAATCCACGTGCTCCACCCCCTATCCCCCGTGGAGCTCCCGCGGCAACCCAGCCCATGTCCCCGCCCCTAGGAAGTATGGTGCCCAACCGTGCACCTCCTAAACCCCCAACTCCGGCCAACTTGATACCGACCCGTCCTGCACCGCAACCTCCGACCGCGAATTCCTACTCTAGCATTCCAACGCGGCCCGCCGTTCAGGATGCCCATAGTCCCCAGTTTACCACACCCCCAATTCCAGAAACGGAACCCCTGCCATCGGAATCCTCCCGGAGTCGGTCAAATTCCAAGACGAACGGCACTCAGGGACCATGGGTACCACCAGCTAGTGCGGTGGCAACTCCAGCACAATACCAGCAACAACAGGAGCAGGCTATGGTGGCAGCTCAGCAGGCCCTGGCGAACAAACAGCTTGAACGTAGTCGCAGTCAACGCCAGCAACAGCAGTCTCCCCGACCGGAACAACAGAAGCTGATCGTGCAACCGGCACCTCCTCTATCGCATGCATCGCCGATTGAGGACTCTGCTACTGCCCAAACTGCGCGTGCTGCTCCAGCAGCACGTCCCCGCCAACGAGCTCGCCAAAGCAATGCAATGGATGTTAGAGCTCGATTGGTCGCGATCTGTACACCTGGCGACCCAACCAAGCTTTACTACAACCTCAACAAAATTGGTCAGGGTGCATCTGGGGGTGTTTTCACCGCATATGAAGCTAACACCAATAATTGCGTGGCCATTAAGCAAATGAATTTGGATTTGCAGCCGAAAAAGGATCTTATCATTAATGAAATCCTTGTGATGAAGGACAGCAGACACAAAAATATCGTTAATTTCCTGGACAGCTACCTTCATGGGTTGGACTTGTGGGTGGTAATGGAATATATGGAGGGTGGCAGTCTGACGGATGTCGTCACATTTAATATGATGAGTGAAGGACAAATCGCCGCTGTCTGCAGAGAGGTAAGCCCCCCCCCGGCGATGGACCTAATTTCCTGTGCAGCAGCTTATGTGAATCTTTAGACCTTGAGTGGCTTGCAGCATTTGCACTCGAAAGGTGTAATCCATCGTGATATCAAGTCCGATAACATTCTTCTTTCGCTGGATGGCAATATAAAATTGAGTGAGTTGTCATTTTCGATACCTACTCTTGACTTTTCGCCTCCCGATCTGACGATTGCATAGCCGACTTTGGCTTCTGCGCTCAAATCAATGATTCCCAGAACAAACGAAACACCATGGTTGGGACTCCATATTGGATGGCCCCTGAAGTCGTAACAAGGAAGGAATATGGCCGGAAGGTCGATATCTGGAGCTTAGGGATTATGGCTATTGAGATGATTGAAGGAGAACCTCCTTATCTCACCGAGTCCCCCCTCCGAGCCTTATACTTGATTGCTACCAATGGCACACCTACAATCAAGGATGAACATAACTTATCGCCGGTCTTCCGCGACTTCCTTCACCTTGCGCTCAAGGTAGACCCTGAAAAACGAGCGTCAGCCCATGACCTGCTCAAGGTATGTCCTTGTCGTCCTCTTGACTTTTTTTTCTGAGCTGTGGCTAAGGTTAATTCATTTTCAGCATCCCTTCATGTCTCTCTGCGCGCCTCTTTCTCACCTATCCCCCCTTGTGAAGGCGGCCCGCATTAGCAGAGCGCAGGAAAAGGCGCAGAAAGGCGGACCTTAGATCTCGCCTATCCTGCTATCTCTATATGTTGATGTTCTCCTCTCTTCTCTCAGATACCCATTACCCTCAAATGTTTCATCTTATGCCAGATTACGAAGCTCTGGTATTGCATAATGACGCCCCTTTTCTCTCTCCTTTTCTCTCTCGAACGTCCCTTTCATTACGGGCTCCCCGGCTCCCCGGTTTTCAACGTAAATGTGATAGATGGCGATGACTTGACGGATTTTCTCTAAATATTCCTCTGATTTCTGTTACTCACCATGGGATTTGCAGGCCTTTACCTCTTGATTTGATATTTCGTATATTCCCCTCCTATATTTGACGGCTTTTTGCATACCCTTAGTGTTGACATTATACCATCATTTGTGTTGAAACATGATGGAGCGCTGCTGTACGTCCTCCTGAGCCTGCTGTCCTTCCTGGTTGCGAGTATTTTCATTCGCGCTTCTTTCCCCTCCGCATCGCCAGATTTGTTGTTGTTGTTGATGATGACGACGATGGATGAGGATTCACTATGAGCTCGGCTGTGTTCTTTACGTATTTATATGGTTTCTATGCCTTGACCTTGGTCTTTTCTCATTGTACTGGGTTTCACTGAGGCTCTTGATGATTCATGGGGCATTTTTCGACTGCTTATGGCAACTCAAATAAAAGTGCATGGATTTTTTTTTTTTTTTTTTACCCAGCTAATAATATTCTGTACTGGCGTTGGGGGCGAACAATAATAGGTATCCACCAAAATTTGTTTATCCAAGTTGCTCTCCATGTAGTCTAGATAGATAGTTCAAAAGACCAAAAAAAAAGGTAGACTCATTAAAGAGACATCCACCCAGGGGAATTAATCTAGCACTCTAGCAGCCCCCTCAGGACCCGTTTAAGGGGGTTGCTCACATAAAAATAGGACGGGCTGTGAGGCTGTGAAAATGACATCGTCATAACGAGCTTGCTGGGAACGTGCGCTTATTCAGCGTCAGGGACCCTTTCAAACCAACTGCTAAATCGTCGTCACCTGCTTGGGATCAATCAGGTTGCAGCCATTCTTCAAATAACCCTGAATCTCTTCTTTTATCCATTCTTTTCAGGTGGAAGTTTGCCTATCTTTGTAACCGCTTTTGTTGGGCATATACACACCACAATCCATCCTGATCGAGACACCCAGTTTCAACCCTCTTGGTGTTTGCAGTGCGTTCCCCGCACCGGGTGTGTTCCGTTGGCCTTTGAGAAGTAACCCGAGCTCGACAGCGACAGTCAAGCGACCTTCAGCTACCAGAATCTACCTTACCTAGCGACCGTATATCGATCGCAGCTTCGAAAATTTGCCGGATAGGAAGCTTCTTCAATTTTGAAGGAAGGATTACCGTCCTTTAATCCTGACTTTAGGCAGACAGCCTTCAACGATACCGGAACAAGACGGTTTGGTTTACAGCAACACAGTAACAATGTTTCGCGCACAACAGAACGCCTTCGACGATGCAGTCGGTAAATACCCCCTGTTGATGGTTCGCCTGTCTGGTAGTGTCCGATGGGACGTTTTACGGGGCTTTGTGCAACGATACTAACAGTTGTTTTTTTTTTCTTCTATACAATAGCCAAGGCGACTGATGAGAACTTGACCTCCGAAAATTGGGAATTTATTCTTGTACGAGGCCCTATTGGTGTTTACACGACTGCGGAATTCGACTGCGTCGAGGAGTCAACGATCTGGTGTCTGATTTTGCGTTTATAGGATGTATGCGATAAGGTCGCTGCTGAAGAGTCTGGGTACGTTGCCTGGCCCTTCGCGTCGTGGCTGGTGGTTTCGTTAAGTGATCCCATGCTGATTCAGAGTTATGGGCTTAGTGCAAAAGATGCAGTCGCTGCTTTGATCAAAAGACTGGCACATAGGAACGCTAATGTGCAGCTCTATACTCTAGAGGTTTGTTCCCACACCAGTTAGAGACTTCTTCAAACTGCTTACACATCCTGTATAGTTGGGCAACGCGTTGGCGCAAAACTGTGGCCCAAAGATACATCGCGAACTGGCGTCCAGAAGCTTCACAGATGCTCTTTTGCGCCTTGCGGCTGATCGGGTAAATGCCACCTTCGCCTTCCTATGGGCAGATAGAAGTTAACAATTGTCGAATTCATAGAACACGCATCAGCAGGTGAAATCCAAGATCCTGGAACGTATGCAGGAATGGACGGAAATGTTCGCTAGTAACCCGGATTTCGGGATCATGGAACAAGCCTATATGAAGTTAAAGACCCAGAGTAAGTTTTACGAGACCAAGTTTGGGTGTTGTCTTGCGGCTTACAATTTGTGAAACAGACCCCAACCTACAACCTCCATCGAAGCCTGGCAAAAGGGAAATCACCGATGTAGACCGTCAAAAAGAAGAGGAGGAATTGCAGATGGCCCTCGCACTTTCTATCAGAGAGAAACCTTCTACTGCTCCCGAGCCTAAGGCTGAATCTAGCAATGCTGCCGGGGCTCCCACAAACCATGCACAGCCAGTGCAATCCCAGGCAGTTCCCTCGGGTACCTCTGCTGCTACTGTCTCACGGGTCAGAGCACTCTTCGATTTCCAACCGTCAGAGCCCGGTGAATTACAGTTCCGCCAAGGAGATGTCATTGCCGTCCTTGAATCGGTTTATAAGGACTGGTGGAAGGGTTCCCTGAGAGGCCAAACTGGAATCTTCCCTCTGAACTATGTCGAGAAGCTTCCTGATCCTACGGCCGAGGAGCTTCAACGTGAAGCTCATATGGAGTCCGAGGTGTTCGGCCAGATCAAAAATGTCGAGAAGCTGTTAACACTTCTGAGCACTCGCAACTCAGACTTGAATGTGCAAGATAACGAAGAAATCACCACTTTGTACCACTCAACCTTGGCGATTCGCCCGAAGCTGATTGAACTTATTGGCAAATATTCACAAAAGAAGGGTATGTTATTGTTGACTTCCCAATGTGTCCTTCTTTGTGGGCTCACGGATTTGTAGATGAATTCACTCAACTCAATGAAAAGTTTATCAAAGCTCGGAGGGACTATGAATCTCTTTTAGAAGCTTCAATGTCTCACCCTGCGCAGCCCCAGTATTCCCGTCCCGGCCAGCCTCAGCCGCAGCCTCAGTATGGGTATCCTGGATCGGGAGCGCCTATGAGTTATCCTCAAGGACCGCCACCCCAGCATGACCCCCAAAGATACTTCAGTCCCCGTCCTCAAGGTTTGTACTAATTGACCAACAACTTTCTGAGCACGGTATTAAACATATATAACAGAGAATCAGTCCCTTCAGCCTAACACCTCTTACTACCCCCCCACTTCCCAATCGCCTGGACCAGGCCACACGCCTCCTGCTGCGGCATACCAACAGCAGCAGCAGCAGCAGCAGCCTCCTGCGGGAGACTCCTACCAACCAGTTCATCATCGCCCCGAATCGACATACGAGAACCCGCAAGAGCTAGGAACATCGGTGTATGACTCACCTGTCGAGCATCCATCTAACCATCGACCACAGTATCCACCGCAACAGCCGCAACAAACACCGCAACAAGAGTACTCGTCTTACCCTCCTGACGATGCATCCGGCCCTCCTGGTGGCGAAAACCTTGTGAACCAAGCGCCTACCCCTTATCCTTCCGCTCCCGCAAGTCACCCACAGGCACCCATGCATCAACCTCCTCCAGTCCCTGGTGCCGCGCAGAATCCCACTCCGTATCCCTCACTGAGTCCCGCTGGAGCAAACTACCAAGCTTACCAACCGTCACAAGCTGGTATGCCGAATGCCAACCCAGCTTCATACTACCGGTAATGCCTTACATCTTCTGGAAATCTACTTTACGCTGGCGTCGGTACGATTCAACCTTATCTGTATTGCCTTTGTTCTAGGATCCAGGTTTGACTTGACGAGCCTATGACGCGTTGGTTACGAGTCGCGGTGGCAGTCTCGGGGGGCTTACCTCTGTATTTATTGCTATTCTTATAGCCCGTTATTTTGCTCCTCCTACTCCGCCATAGTGATTCCTTGTGCATTTATTCGATGTTTTCAGCTGAAATCTGAGAAACAGAGGATGCTTATCTCTCCCGGCATTCCGCTCTTAGTGAGAATTAAGATAGAGGATTTCTTCCTTTCAACGGTGTCGAAGCCTCCCCGGTATTTTGTAGGTGAGCTCCATACAACAGACTCGAATCGAGTGGCATAACAGAGAGCCATTGCGCTTACGCAACTTGTAGCTGGTAGTCCCATCTGGTTTGTTAGGATATACAGACTTGCTCTGACCAACAACTAGTTATCTATGATGTTACTCTTTTCATTCAAGGTTACTTTCTACAAATCACCAATTCAATATTTCTCTCAACAAGAACACTACCTAGATAGTGTTGAATAGGATAATTAGGCGAAAGCGTTCAGTATAATCTGGCAATAAAAGCGAGATTCGTCAATTTCCGCTCTTTTTTACCTAATAGAGTCTACTTTCCTAAGTAGGAATAGTACACTTTGACCCCGACACCTGACCAGCTGCGAGTGAGAGAGATACAGACTTGCACCTGGGAGACCTTTCTTCCGCGCTTCTCGAGTGTGGACTGAAGGATAGTCAGGTAGTAGTCAGTGGTCGGGGGATTTAGCTGAGTGGAAAGTGCCTGCCTTCCCCTACACGCCTCTTGCTTTGACGGTCGGAGCGCAGCTTACTACTGAGACGTTCCTCCTCCCCCCCCCCCCCCCCCCGCGCCGCACCTTTGCCAAACGATGCCTGCTTTTGCTTAGCTTTCCATATGGGCAGAGCCAGTTTTCCTCTGAACAATCCCACACGAGTGAAAAATATTGGTGTACTGGGGCACTGCTCTGGCCTGGGGTTTGGCCCAGGCGAAATAATACCAATGCCATGGAGGCTGATTGGGATGAATTGTCGCGCATCGCGCTCCCTCCTCCGAGCTCGCATGCTATGCCAACAATCGCGACGACAATAGCCTTTGATGATGTGATGGAACTGTTGTGGATAGGAAATGAATATGTATGTATGGATTATTTCTTGGGGGTTCCGAGTTGGATGGGGGAGAAATCGGACTCCGTGCTAATTGATGTCGGTGTCTTGCTTCTTGCTAGGGTCGAATTACTTCCTTCTACGGGCCTGAACTGCAACGGTACACCTCTGTTCGAGCGCATCCCGCCTCCGAGGGCCCGGTCCGGCAAATATTGTTCCATGAGAGGGGGGTGATATCGCTTTCCTTGAATAGCGTGCATATGATTACGCGACGCGGCTTGACACAATGGCATATTAACCATGAGGAAATTACGGATCTCCGATGTATGAGCTTTACGGCCCAAACAAACAGAATCATCGTCGCAGGATGCCAGCGCGTGATGTTTACTATTGATATTGATAAGGGGGTGATCATCGACAAGTTACCCACAGAACACCACTATGTCATGATGAAGAAGAGCCGGTATCTCTGTGCCGCCACAGATACGGGCTCTGTGAATGCACTGAGTTTGTCTGACTTTAGTGTTGTCAAGTCCTGGAAGGCACACGGGACCGCAATCAATGATATGGATGCGCGGAATGATCTTTTGGTTACATGTGGGTTTTCCATGAGGCAGCTTGGATCTCCCATCGTTGATCCATTGGCAAATGTGTATGATTTGAAAACTTTGTCACCACTACCACCTATCCCGTTCCATGCTGGAGCTGCGTATGTTCGTATGCATCCGAAACTACATACGACAAGCTTCGTCGCCTCGCAAACTGGCCAAGTTCAGGTCGTCGACCTAATGAATCCAAACGCGATTAATCTTCGACAAGCAAATGTCTCCTTTATGTTGGGTATCGACATATCTCCTTCGGGAGAAGCCCTAGCTATTAATGATGCAGAATGCTCCATTCATTTGTGGGGATCGCCCGCGAAGATTCACTTCAACGAGATGAGTAAAGAGGTCGAGTTGGCGGATGCTACCCCACGACCTCCCTCTTTGGACTGGTCCCCTGAGACCCCGTTGAATATGAGCGGTATGCCGTATTACCATGAGCGCTTGCTCTCTGCATGGCCCAGCCATCTTGTTTTCGAAGTCGGCAGTCCGCCAGCCGCCATAGACCAGTCACTGCTTCCCTATCTTCGTCCGGCGGAGATGGGGCATTATGCACCGAATCCAAAGAAGGGCCGACGGTATCAGGTTGAGAATACTCGCGCCCTGGCGTCTTCAGAGTCCGCTCTTATTGCGCCCAAGTTTTTGAGTGAGAAGGCAAGGGAGCAGAATAAGACAAACCCCGATGGCACGGCCGCCGACGCCGCCGACGCCCTTGCTGGCGCCAAGATCAGCGGAGAGGCTGAAGACGACCCTCTCCTTAAATATAGCAATGTTGAAATCAAGTATAGTAGATTCGGAGTGGATGATTTCGACTTTAGGTAAGAAAGAGTCTTGCCCGCTCTTGATATTGATAACCCTCTTAACTCCTTGAAAATAGATTCTATAACCAGACTACATTTTCCGGGTTGGAAACCCATATCGCGAACTCTTTCACCAACTCTCTTCTGCAACTTCTCAAGTTTATCCCCTTGGTCCGAAACATCTCCCTCCACCATGCAGCGAGTTCGTGTATAGCCGAGAATTGTCTCCTTTGCGAGATGGGCTATCTCTTTGATATGCTGGAGAAAGCAAACGGGCAAAATTGCCAGGCGACCAATTTACTCAAGACCTATAGCAGCTTCCGTGAAGCTTCAAATTTAGGGTTATTTGAAGAGAATCTAACCAATAAGTCTCTGTCGTCGGCAATTCAGTCTGTGACCAGGTTCTTCCTAAGTCAAATTGCCCAGGATTTCCGTAAGATCCTGCCGAACTCGGAGGATCTTGACCAGAGGCTGGCGACTATTGCGTCGGAGTCTATTCGATGCATGTTCTGCCAGAATGAGATCGTCCGACCTGGAAATTCGCTCGCCAACGAGCTGGTCTATCCCAATGTTGATATCAAACAAGCTCGCAGAAACCCTGCGTTCCGTTTTTCGAATATCCTACGAGCAAGTATCGAACGGGAGACGCAAAATAGAGGTTGGTGTAACTACTGTCGACGGTACCAACAAGTGGCAATTCGAAAAACTGTTCACCGCATGCCTCTTGTTCTGATACTGAATGCGGCCCTGGCGACTCCAATCTGTCGACGTCTTTGGACGATCCCCGGCTGGCTGCCCGAGGAGATTGGCATTGCTCTCGACGGTGGCCAGGTCCTGTGTTTTGAAGGAGATGATCTAAGGGTGCGTGTTCAGGCAAATATGCCCGGGCTCATGATTTATGAGTTGGTGGGCTTGGTTGCAGAAATTGATATACCTGAACACCAAAAAGCACACCTAGTTTCTTTCATTAATGTCTCTGTTTCTTCTCCAGAACATGAAACAAAGAGCAAATGGCATTTGTTCAATGATTTCCTTGTTACAGAAGTCGACAAGGATGAGGCGTTACGTTTCAACCAACCGTGGAAATCACCATGTGTACTTGCATACCAAGTCAAAGACGCTCGCCACGTTGTTGATGACACTTGGAAAAATTTCCTTGATACCACCCTGCTTTTCCGCGACTGGTCTGTGAAGTAAGTTACTCCCTACTCATGCATGAAAAAAAAAAAAAAAGGTATTCGATAGATTCTAACAACACTCTCCTGTAGTTGTGGTCGCCCTGTGGAATCACGGGTGATGCTTTCTGAGCAAGAGAAACCCACCCCCGGCACCCCGGTTGCGCTCGACACGGAGTTTGTTGATCTCGAGAAAGCAGAAATCAATGTTAAAGCCGACGGCTCCCAAGAGATTGTGCGTCCCAGCAAAAGCGGTCTCGCTAGGGTGTCAGTCCTTCGAGGCTCGGGGATCCAAGAAGGTGTTCCATTTATCGATGATTATATCTCCATTAAAGAGGCTATTGTTGACTACGTGACTCAATACTCGGGAATTAAACCCGGCGATCTGGATCCAAGAACCAGTCAACACAATGTGGTTCCTCTCAAAGTTGCATACAAAAAGCTGTGGCTGCTTCTGAATTTGGGCTGTGTTTTCGTGGGACACGGCTTGGCCTCGGATTTCCGTAAGATTAACATCCAGGTCCCCAAAAAGCAGACAGTCGACACCCAATATCTGTTTTTCCATCCCGGGAAGAACAGACGACTTAGCCTTCGATATCTAGCTTGGGCTGTGTTCAAGGAGTACATCCAAGAAGAGTCAGCAGATAATAACCAGGGACACGATTCCATAGAAGATGCACGCATGGCTCTCCGTCTGTGGAAGAAGTTTCAAGAATACGAGGACGCCGGGATTGTGTCTCAAATCCTGGAAGAGATTTTCCGCGAGGGATCCAAGTTGGGATTCAGACCACCACCGCGCAACGGCACTGCTATGGTGCTTTCTCGGCCCGGGACAGCAGTTACAATGCAAAACAATAGCGGTCGCAACACCCCTAGTACGCCTGAGGCTGGAGGAGCCACGGCGGCAGTGGCAGCCGCAGCCGCAGGAACAAGTGCACCAGCCACACCACGACAAGCATTTAGACGATCTATTGCGTTGACCCCCAGCAATGGCAGCTTTGCAGGGCCTGGGACGGGAGATTTCTTTGGCGGTAGCCCTCTGAAATAGGCACCCCATTCTACCCAAGGGATACGTCTCGACTGACGACATCATCATGAGTTGCACGGATAAGCGTACGTGATATGAATTTTTTTTTTTTTTTTTTCAGTTACGCAATAAAGAAGAGTGGCATTTTGATATGCTTTGGCTTTTACCTGCTTGGTTGCATGGGATGGGAGTAGTAGTACCTAGGTAGTGGTCTGTCTGGTTGATAAAGAGACACACGGAAATATCATTAAATTTCTCTTAATTCTATTCCAATTATCCGCATTTGCGTTTCATTCAATGTCGTATGCTGTGGCTCAGCTGGTGTAAATTGTGACTCAAGGGTACTCCGTATAGTGTCTTTTGTATGGCAAAAACATACAGAGCGGTCGAATGGAAAATGACGTGGAGAAAGAAAGAGTTCCGACTTCAATCTCCCCGAACCCAAAACCTCAACCCAAGCTCTGCATTTAGATCTTGACGCTCTTTCAAGGCCTTGGGTAGCCTAACTCCATCGCTCTTTTTACCCCTTTATTGCTTCATTACCTTCATATTCCCCTTCCTCTTTAACCCCCCTCAACAGCTACGTTTGAGCCTTCTCCGGCGGCAGCCTACGTACCCCGCCCCCCTCCTTCTGAGCCAGAGAGCCATGTCACGACATCGTATTAAGGCCGTAAGCTACGACGAGGATGACTACGATGACTACGATGATGGCTATGACTCCCAAGATCCTGGGGAGAAGGAGCTTCTCGAAGAGTGTACTCGAGAAGTGCTCGCCCAACTACTTAGCGGCGAGCCTTCTGTGGCTGCGACCCGCGAGGAAGTCCAAGAGGCGCTCTGGCATTATTACAATGATGTAGAGAAGTCGGTAAATTATTTGAGAGGTGGGTTGGGAATTTGTTCTTTACTCTGAGCGGCCTGTCTTTCTTTACCTGTTGGGGATTTTTGGGGCCATTTGATGCTGACGATGCTGGGTTTTAGGCAAGAAAACAAAAGAAGTGAAAACGAAGCAGGTGGTTGTGGCGACGACAACAAAGGCGAAAGGTAAGCGGTCCTGTTTTGGTTTTGTCTTGTTTTCGATTCTGGATTCTGTCCTTTTGTGTCTTTGATGTGGTTGGGCTCTCGGGACTTGGTCTTCGTTTTTGTGCCGGATTAAATGTCGAGGAACATGTTGTGGGCACTGCGACAAGATGAAATGGAAAGTGAGTATGTGCGGTTCTTTATTCTGGGGTTTTCTGATCGATTAAACTGACTTCGTTTCATCGCAAAAGCTTGAATCCGTTCTAACAAGCTCTTTTCTCTCAGTGCCTTCATATCCTGCTCCTCCCACAACTTATAATACCGCGCAACACGCTCATTTCTCGGCTGCGGAGTTTTTTCGTGACTGTCCCTGGCTGGATGTACCGGCGCATCGAAAGGCAGATATTCTTGTTGAACCATTATATCCTCGACTTGGCCTTCTTGGTGGTGCTCCTGAAAACCCAGGAAAGATGTCGAAGTTGGCTGCTTTGGCCGCCGCGCGCAAGAGGAAGGAGGGTGAGAAGGGTCCTGCTATCACCACACCTACGGTGTCTGCGGAGGACAAGAATGAACCGGCTGCAGAGCAAGCCAAGGGAGTTCCGCTGTCGCTTCGTGAACGACTGGCCAGCAGTGGAAAGCTACCCAAGCTCGCCGAGCGCCCCCCGTTGCTCCAATCTTTGGGGAACGGGCCTCGAACGGGAACCTTGTGCCAGAAGAAACCCTCTCCTGAACCACAACCGAAATCTCCTCCAGCGGGAACTGGATTAAAGGATTCCGCCATGGACGCTCCTCCTATTGCCGAGAAGGAGGAAGAACAATCTACCGTCAATATCCGTGCACCGCCATCAACGTTCGCCATGACTATTGTCGGGGGGGACAAGAGTCTGAAGACGACCGAGCCCAGCCACCTATACACGAATACCCTTGATCTGATCAAGATCTACGGACAAGACCTTGCTGAACCTTTTGACTTTGCAGGCCCTAGCCCCGACGATGTGGTATTGAATGCACAGAGCTCAGCTAAAGGTTTGGCTATTCGGCGAAAGCTATAAAATCCCTCCCCTAATGGAAATGCAGGCTTCAAGTCGAAACAATCTGCCTCAAAGCCGCAAGGTGATAAGAAGGGCCAGTCTGATTTGGCAGGCGAAATGAATACCTTGAGTGTTGCCGAAAAAGTGAATGTGAAGAGCAAGAACCTGGATGTTCTTTCTGAGTATAAGAAAACGAAACGGAAGAATGCAATGAATTTTGTGGTTATTGGTTTGTTTCTCTCTCTCTATCTCTCTCTTACTCGAAGAAGTGAAAAAAAAAAAAAAATTGCTGATTAGAATAAAGGTCACGTTGATGCCGGGAAAAGTACACTCATGGGACGATTACTCGCTGATTTAAAGGCAGTCGACCAACGAACGCTGGATAAGTATCGACGAGAAGCGGAGAAGATTGGGAAAGGATCTTTTGCTCTTGCCTGGGTTATGGATCAAGGCACTGAGGAGAGGGCTCGAGGCGTGACGATCGACATTGCGACAAGCAAGTTTGAGACGGAAAAGACGGTTTTCACAATAGTGGACTCTCCCGGCCATAAGGATTTTGTTCCGAATATGATCGCGGGGGCCAGCCAGGCAGATTTTGCGGTACTTGTTATCGACTCTAGTATAGGAAACTACGAATCCGGGTTGAAGGGCCAGACAAAAGAACACGCTCTGCTTGTCCGGAGTATGGGTGTGCAACGCATTATTGTTGCTGTGAATAAGATGGATACCGTTGAGTGGAACAAGGATCGTTTCGAAGAGATTGAACAACAAGTTTCGGCATTTTTGACGACGGCCGGGTTCCAAGCCAAGAATATTTCGTTCGTACCTTGCTCAGGTATTAGCGGTGATAACATCACCAGACGAAGTGATGATCTGAATGTGTTATGGTACAAAGGTGGTACGCTCGTCGAAGAGCTTGAGGCCACCGAGCCGTATTCCCATGCGATGGATAAACCGCTCCGCATGACGATAGGTGATGTCTTCCGGGGTAGCGTGCAAAATCCTCTCTCGATTTCCGGTCGCCTTGATGCCGGCAGCTTGCAAGTAGGCGACCACATTCTCACTATGCCGAGTGGAGAGACCGCCACGATTCGAAGTCTGGAGGTAGATGGAGAATGCAGCGACTGGGCTGTCGCAGGGCAGAATGTGGTTTTGCACCTGGCTAATATCGATCCTGTCCATCTTCGCTCTGGCGATGTTATTTGCCACGCATCCTCCCCTATCCCCAACATTACCTCGTTCAGATGCAAAGTCCTTGCATTTGACCACCTACTGCCTAGGATGGTCGACATTCATCGGGGACGCCTTCATGTTCCCGGGCGGATCAGTCGACTAGTGGCAACGCTGGATAAGGGATCGGGGTCGGTCCTGAAGAGGAAGCCCAAGATTATCCCACCCGGTGCAGTTGCTCGGGTTGTTGTTGAAATGGAGCAGGCAGTGCCGTTGGAGGCGCCGACGAGGATTGTTCTCCGCGCTGGGGGGGAAACCATAGCTGCGGGATTACTGGAATAAAGAAAATAGATTTTTTTTTTTCGATATCTATATATGTCTTCTCTTGAAACTGGTCCCAATATTTTGATTTTTAGGGTAATCGGATTCCATTCATATTTTTTCTTCTTTTCTCTTTTTTTTTTACCTTTCAAACTCGACCGTTGGGTTTGAAGAGAGTTCTTTGTCCGGATACGTGATCTACAAAGCTGGGTCAGGGGCAATCGATCGATCTCGCCACTTCAGGGCGTATGTCCTGGATATGGATGCCGTGACAGACAGTAGTTTCCTTTATCATGATAAGGACAAGTGTACACAGGGACTAAATATGGATTCTCTGGAGTACTCAAGTATGTATATCTGGCCCATATGTTCTGACGAGTTAGTGTCTTTGAATCTGCCTATCAGGGACCCATCCTAGTTTGGTGGAGAGTGTCCACCATTGAAGGGTGGGGATCCAGCGGATTCTCAACAAGTTAATCATTACTACACCGTAAATAACTGAAAAAGAATCAGCCATTCATGTCAACTTGTCAACCAACCTGGTTGTTGTCCACGTATCCAAAATTGAGAAAGTCGGGTGGTCCCGTGAGGACGTGAAGATTACTTAATCAACGCTAGACCTAATGGGGAATCCGCCACTGACCCCTGCAGCCACTAGATTGTTTTAGGCGATCGTCTAGTCCTGATACGGCATAGTGTCTCCAAACCGCCCGGAGTTCCACCGGCAAAACCAAGGCGGTGAATCACAGCGCTGAGTCAGCCGTGACCCTGGTGGCGTCGGCAGCCAATGAGAGCGCGAGGAGTAAACCTGAGGTGTGCAGGCCGCGAAAAGGCCAGCATGGCCGCTGCGCTTTCTTTGCCGCTGGGATTCCATACAAGAAGCTGCCCGCGGAGCATCTCAGTCCTTCTCTCTTCTTCTTCTCCTCGTCGTGTTTCTCTCTCCCCCATCGCCCTCTGGCCCTCCCATCCTCTTTCTCTTCTTTCTGCTTTCCTCTAGCATCCTCGTGGTTAGGATCTTGGAAGCCTCTTTCGTCTTTCGGAGCCGGCTTTCCTTTTTTTTTTACCTGGTCTTTTTTTCCCTTCTTGGGCTGTTGGAGGAGGAGTCAATTTCCCTCGCTACGTGTTCCCAGTATTGGAACCCCCCCTCATATTCAGAATGTCGCGCACAGCTGGTCGTGGTGCGGCTAAGCCGTTTGCTGCTTGGACCACTATCTTCTACCTGCTTCTTGTTTTCATTGCGCCTCTCGCGTTTTTCGGAACTGCACACGCTCAGGATGACTCGGTACAGGAGAATTACGGAACAGGTATGGGTCAATTGAGCTGTCTTGCAAGGGCGCGCTGCTGACTGGATATCCTTTTTTAGTTATTGGTATTGATTTGGGAACCACCTACTCCTGTGTTGGTGTGATGCAGAATGGAAAGGTGGAGATTCTCGTCAACGACCAGGGAAACCGTATTACTCCTTCCTACGTCGCCTTCACAGATGAGGAACGCCTCGTCGGTGATGCCGCAAAGAACCAATACGCAGCCAACCCCCGCAGGACTATCTTTGATATCAAGTGAGTTCGCTTTTCCCCGTGTGTGCGTGTGGAGACGTGTTCTAACCCGCTCTAGGCGATTGATTGGTCGCAAGTACAGTGACAAGGACGTCCAGAAGGATATGAAGAACTTCCCCTTCAAGGTCGCCAACAAGGATGGCAAGCCTGTTGTTACCGTCGACGTCAACCAGGCCCCCAAGACCATGACTCCCGAGGAGGTTTCCGCCATGGTTCTCGGCAAGATGAAGGAGATCGCTGAGGGCTACCTTGGCAAGAAGGTCACCCACGCCGTTGTTACTGTCCCCGCTTACTTCAACGACGCCCAGCGTCAGGCTACCAAGGATGCCGGTACCATCGCTGGCCTCAACGTTCTCCGTGTTGTCAACGAGCCTACCGCCGCCGCTATCGCCTACGGATTGGACAAGACCGGCGGTGAGCGCCAGGTGATCGTCTATGATCTTGGTGGTGGTACCTTCGATGTCTCCCTTCTGTCGATCGACGATGGTGTCTTCGAGGTCTTGGCTACCGCTGGTGATACCCACCTTGGTGGTGAGGACTTTGACCACCGTGTCATGGACTACTTCGTCAAGCAGTACAACAAGAAGAACGACGTTGATGTTACCAAGGACCTCAAGGCCATGGGTAAGCTCAAGCGCGAGGTCGAGAAGGCCAAGCGTACTCTGTCTTCCCAGATGTCCACCCGCATTGAAATCGAAGCCTTCCATAATGGCGAGGACTTCTCCGAGACTCTGACCCGCGCCAAGTTCGAGGAATTGAACATGGACCTCTTCAAGAAGACCCTGAAGCCTGTTGAGCAGGTTCTCAAGGATGCCAAGGTGTCCAAGGGTGATGTCGATGACATTGTGCTTGTTGGTGGTTCCACTCGTATCCCCAAGGTCCAGGCTATTCTGGAGGAGTACTTCAACGGCAAGAAGGCCAGCAAGGGTATCAACCCCGATGAGGCTGTTGCTTTCGGTGCTGCTGTTCAGGGTGGTGTTCTCTCTGGTGAGGAGGGAACCGAGAGCGTTGTTCTCATGGACGTCAACCCTCTCACTCTCGGTATTGAGACCACTGGTGGTGTGATGACCAAGCTCATTCCCCGCAACACTGTCATTCCTTCCCGCAAGTCCCAGATCTTTTCGACTGCCGCTGATAACCAGCCCACTGTCCTGATCCAAGTTTGTAAGTATCCAATTCCTTGGGTTATTCCGGTATCCCGTTTTCGCACATGCTAATTGTGTAATCTACAGACGAAGGAGAACGTTCCCTCACCAAGGACAACAACCTTCTCGGCAAGTTCGAGCTTACTGGCATCCCCCCCGCTCCCCGTGGTGTTCCTCAGATTGAGGTCTCCTTCGATCTGGACGCCAACGGTATCCTGAAGGTTGGTGCTAGCGACAAGGGCACCGGCAAGGCTGAGTCCATCACCATCACCAATGACAAGGGCCGCCTGAGCCAGGAAGAGATCGAGCGCATGGTGGCTGAGGCCGAGCAGTTCGCTGACGAGGACAAGGCCATCAAGGAGAAGATTGAGGCTCGCAACGGCTTGGAGAACTATGCCTTCAGCCTCAAGAACCAGGTCAATGACGAGAACGGTCTTGGTGGCCAGATCGACGAGGATGACAAGCAGACCATTTTGGACGCTGTCAAGGAAGTGGCTGACTGGCTCGATGACAACGGTGCCACTGCCACCACCGAGGACTTTGAGGAGCAGAAGGAGCAGTTGTCCAACGTTGCCTACCCGATCACCAGCAAGCTGTACGGCTCTGCCCCCACCGAGGAGGACGATGACAGCTACGGCCACGACGAATTGTAAAAAAAAAAAAATAACTTAGAGGGATTTTTGGAGTTTGATAATGTTTTTTTGAAGCTGGGGTTTTTTTTTTTTTTTTTTTTTTCGTTTGAACTTTTTTTCATCTTGACGTTGATCAAGATCCAAACCACCACCTATTCTTAGTTCTAATTAAGATAGGCTCTTCTCGCATGATACCTAAATATGCATCTGATTTGAGACTTGACTTCACGTAAAATGACGCCATATGGAGGCTATATATATATCTATATATGGATATATAGAATAGTTTCATGGGGTTTAAACCCCCCCCTGCTGTTCAATAAAATCCCTCACAACCTCCAACACCACCTGATGATCATCCTCCTGCTTCAACCCACTCACAACCACCACCCCCACCACGCCATCCACGCCCCTCACCCGCACAGGAAACGCCCCCCCATGAATCGCATAATCATCCGGCGTCCTCCCGCCGGCCGAACTGGCCAGCGCAAACTTCTCCACAAACGCCGCCTCCACGGTGGCCACATCGGCGCCGCGCCGCCCCGCCAACATCTTCTGCCGCATCAACCAGCTCGACACCCCCCACCGCAACACGGTATTCCGCTTCCGGCGCACCCACGTCTCATTGTCCGCGACGGTGCCGGGCTCCGTGGCGCACTGGAAGATCACGTGCGGCTCCGTGGCGCCCGACAGCGAGATGGAGATCAGGGCCGGTTTGCGCTGCGACGGCGGCAGGGCGAGGATGCGGTTGCGGAGGGCGAGGCCGAGGTTCCAGGCTGTTGTTGCAGTGAAGGAGGGGAAGATGACCGCTGTCGAGGATTCTTGGGCGGTTAGGTCGAGGAGCTGGTTTTGGTTAGTTGGGGTTGGGGGGTTAGAGTAGGAGGTTGTTTTTCTTTCGGGGTCACACCCCCGGGGGCTTACATCTGTGCTGGCTGGTTGGAGGAGCGTGTCTTCCATTTTGTACCTCGATATATAGATTCTGGGACGTAGACGTGAATGGGGAATGGGATGGATGGATGGATGGATTGTTTAGGGGAGGAAGGAAATGGGGAGAGAGAATATATGTATCCGTATATATATTGGTTGGGGGAGGGGAAAAGTGGGGATTCGGACTTCTCTTCTCCATTCCATCATCCATTACTACATCGGATCAGGAAACTCAACACAAATACCCTAGGGTAGGGTACCTAGGTAACTACTTTATGTCTGTTACGCGATCATATCAGGCTGAGTGGGAAAGATCCCATGAATCTCCTCGACGGGCAGGCCTTCGAGCCTAGGAAATCATAAATGTCTTCCAGTGGGGTTCAGGCAGCTGCTGTCACCGGAACCCAACCTCGTCTCTAGGCCTGCAGATCCCTGTGACAACGGTAGCGACGAAGGTGAGCAGATGTGTTGATTTTTATCCAGGGTTAACCATCTGTATACTTTACAAACCAACTTAGCTAGTTCTTATATCTTAATATTGGATTTGATACATTGTTCGTTCCAAGTACTCCGGACAAAGCATAACAACAACCTGACGGAATGAAATAGATATCTATACGTATCTATATTTATCCTGTTCCTTCCAAGCAGCATATCAAATACACCCAAAGGATATATATGACAACAGAATGCAAGCCAATTACATGTTTATCACATTCAGAACCTCCCTGGCTCGGGTCACATGATTGCTGGCAGCCCTATATTATTGACAAACTGCAGCTCGATCCTATGGTCGAGGATTATTCCAAGGTTGTCTATCTGGGACAACAAGGGGGAGTCCGTCAAGATAAGCCAGATCCAGGCGGTTTATTAGTCCTACTCGTCCCATGCTAAGATTCGTGACCGTCAGGCTTTACTCCGGAAAGGTCCATGTATTCGATCTTATTCTTCCAGAAGTTGTATGGCGGCTCATAGCAAAGCGTGTCCATATACTACAACGCGTTACACCTCCAGCCCAGTACCCATGTCTCTATGGATACGAGCTCACCAGGAGCTTTGAAAGATGCTTTGAAACACCAGATTTGGTGGCTTGCACGATCTGGAGAAAGCTCCGATCTTCGCTTTGGCCTATTTGAGGAATTTTCCGAGCGAACTCCAAATATTTCTCACGAAACCCCTAACTGGAAGCGTTCCTCTCCAGAAATAAACAACTCAATTGCCGTGCATGATTTCGTGGCTTTCTGCAGCAATACTTGCCAGCGATTGATGGAAATTTCCCCGCGCTAACACTTGGTTCGATTTAGGATCCTCCGCATTTCCCCAGACCCCATCCGTACAGCTTTGTTAATACTCCGGCGGGATGAATCTATCCTCGAAGCTCTTCTGAAATCCCGAGTATAAAAACCCGGTGGATCGCTCAATTATGGACAATGGCAATCACAGCACAGAAAACTGGCTCACAATGTACCGTTTGCTTCGTCTTCTTCCGCTGGTAGCGGCAATCACAACCGCAGCTGCAAGACCGGGATCTAAACCAGCTGCTAAACCCACGCCTTACTCCAATGTCGTCGTTTTCGACCCTCCCAGCAACTACACAATCCCGCGCACCCTCTACGCACGCAATGAGCAATTACCCAACGGTGACCTCCTAGCCACCTGGGAAAACTACTCCCCAGAACCCCCAATCGTCTACTTCCCCATCTACCGTTCCACCGACTTTGGGGAGACCTGGTCTCCGCTCTCCGAGGTCCACGATACCGCTAATGGCCTGGGTCTGCGATACCAGCCGTTCCTCTATTCTCTCCCAGAGCGCATCGGCCGTTTCCCAGCCGGAACCCTGTTGCTCGCAGGAAGTAGTATTCCAACCGACCTGAGCTCGACTCAGATCGATCTCTATGCCTCGCATGATAGCGGCCGCACATGGAAGTTTGTCAGCCATATTGCTCATGGCGGAGAGGCCGTTCCCGATAACGGGTTGACTCCTGTTTGGGAGCCATTCTTGATGGCATAGTACGTATATATCTAGATGTCGCTGTTGCTGAGCACATTGTAATGATTCGGGAATGAATGCAGCAAGGGCAAGTTGATCTGCTACTACTCGGACCAGAGAGCCAATACGACCCACGGTCAGAAACTGGTCCACCAGACCAGTAGTGATCTGTTGAGCTGGGGACCTGTCATAGACGATGTGTACGTTTCCCCCCCTCCCAAACCTATGCACGGGTATATGCTAACTGATAATAGTGCATACCCCACCTACACAGATAGACCCGGTATGCCTGTTGTCGCCAAGGTACTTCTTTCTTCTCCATTTTTCTTTCTAGAAAGCCTAGATCTATCTATCTAACCCTACCCTAGCTCCCCAACGGCAAATACATCTACACCTACGAATACGGCTCTTTCTTCGGGACATCCTCCTACTCTTTCCCCGTGTACTACCGCATCAGCGCCGACCCCGAGGGGTTCACCGACGCAGAGCACCACCGGCTTACCGTCTCCGATGGCACAGCCCCTACCGCCTCGCCTTACGTTGTCTGGACCCCATGGGGTGGCGCCAACGGAACCATCGTCGTCAGCTGTGGCTCTCTGAGCACCGTGTTCGTGAACCAGGCTCTCGGCGAGGGCAAGTGGACTGAAGTGGCCACCCCCGAAGCGTACAGCTACACCCGTTCCCTGCGGATCTTGAGCGAAGACCCGCGCATGCTGCTGCTTAATGGTGGCGGCGTTCTAGGCGGTACTAGCAATGCGGTTACTGTCAGCGTGATGAATCTGGAGGAGGCTCTGGCTGATCTGTAGAAGATAATTTCAATAGCGTTGAATAGCATTCTTTCTAACGAAATAACTATCTAGAGTGTAAATGTACTGTCCGCAGGCAATTCATGAATCAGACCTCCCACTCACGAGAATCTAGATTCCAGAGGCTCTCTTTTTGCGGCAACCACTCTATTTTAAGCAACCAAAGACAGATTCAATCCATTGCGGTGATTACGGATGGTGAAGGTAGTGCGACCAAGCAGCGGTTCATGGATCTTGTCCAGTTCAGAGATTTACGACCACGACTTCGAGTCTGTCAGGGAGTGTATTAAAATCCACGGCCATCAACTCCAATAGGGTTTAGGGTTAGGGTTATTCTGCAAGACAGGCAATTAGTTGGCTTTGGGTGTTCCATTCCACCTGGGGATGGTAAACCGACTCCATTCATGAAAGATGTTTACTTTCTCGCCAGGGAGCTAGATGGGGTTGGTGAAAGATCTCTTCCAAAGTGGTTACGTAGGAGAGCTGGACGTTGGGATTGTGAAAAAATTCTTCTCATCAACCACCACTGCTTTGCCCACACATCATATCACTCCGGCAGCTTTCACCTCACCCAACACTTGGATTCTGAATTCACTTCTGAATTCACTCCGGCTTTCACTCCTGACTTCACTTCTGATTCCCCTCGACGCGTTCCCTCGATATCTTTTGCATCTCCGAAGCTGTTGCGAAACCTTGACTCTTTTAGTCCCCAGCCGAGTAAAAGCAAGGCAGGCTGTGCGCAAGCCCATCGAATCGAAGATAATATGCCATGAATGAATCATGGAAGGTCTTCAAGATGATCGTGAGATATGACGCACTATTTCTTCGATCTCACACTTCTCGCCGAGTACAGCTCGACCACACCACTTCCAGTCAGCGTATAACCCCCCTGTCTTGCTCCTTTGGAACTTTGCTCATAACACTTCAGCAGTGATGGCGCATCCTCAGACGACGATCACTCTGGATCAATTCCGCCAGGCATTCAACATAGCAGCGGAACACAGAACACGGAAGAATGACGACAGTAATGCGAACAGTCATACAGACCATTTTCACTCCATACTGAACCCCGGGAGCCGAAGAAGTAGTCAGTCCTTGATCCTGTTAACTGCACTTACACCTTCTCGAAGGCTGGGAACAAATCATGCAGACGTAAAAGTTCTGTGTTCCGCGGCTATCTTGAATGTCTGGCGGAATTGATCCAGGGTGATCGTCTTCTGGGGGGCTATCAGCATGCCAATGTCCGGTCCACGCATGCCCTGTTGGTAGACTATGTCCGCAGGGCCCCCCAGCGAACTGTGGTGGCAGGCTTGCTGCCCATGTGTCGATCGCTTTTAGCTGGTCCTGGTCCAAGGGGCGCTGGCCCCAGCAATGGGTCCAATTACTTGATTCTGCAGACGTCCAGGATGGCATGATTAGGGTTCCTCATGTGGCAGTTTGGACACTGAAAGGTAACCAGGCCGAGCCAGTGAACAGGGCCTGTGGGGATCTCTATGCACATCTACTACGGGACGTCTATGTACTAAGGACCGGTGCAAGCAAGAAGGTAATAACAATATACTATAGCACCCTCATATTCCGCCTCATATCCCCTCATACCGCAATATCCCTATATTGCGGCTCACACTCCGTCATTTTTCATTATTTTCTGGGTTTCCTGCGTTGATTGATATGCCTTGGCGGGCGCGCATCTTGCGCCGTTGCGCCGCTATTCCCGCCTGAAGCTTGGATGCTTTTTGGCTAACATCTTTTCGTATAGTATCGTCATGCCAGTAACTTCCACTGGATCCCCCGCCGCCCCCGCGCAAGAAACCTTTGCCTGGCTGGTAGTGAGCGCTGTTCTCTCCTTGATGGAGGGAACCCGCCGTGTGAGCGTTGCGCACGCGGTAAGAGATCGAAAGAAAAATAATAAAAATGCCAGATTACAGATAAACAAATCTGGGGGCGGAATATACCTACCATAAAAGAATGGACTATCCTAAATTTACAGATCTCTACTGGAAGCTCCTCTAAGATCGGCGGCCACAGTAACAGATATCACGGGCAGTCAAGAATAATGAGCGCATCGATTTTGTCTTCTCCAAGTATGAGCTTCGGGTCCTTAACTAGGTCCATCAGACACCGGTCGGCTACACAGCCGTGTTATCTGTTAATGTGGCCGCCAATTTCCACCAGGACCAGCGGAAAGCGATCGACACATGGGCAGCAAGCCTGCCACCACCGTTCGCTGGAATGAGCTTGATACTGCATACCCAACCACATCGACTGCGCTGGGCCTAAATTGAATCTCAACGTGGACCCCCTCCCCCGATCCAGAAGGAGAACGACGGGCCATTCCGCAGCCGCAAGCCCTAGATCCGTTCTCGCCGCCCCTTCGAGATTCAAGTATCCAATTCCACGGACATCTTGGTCTTCCCAATCCGCTTCTGCGTCTACTCTCCTCTCCGTTAGAGAAAATCCGAAGCCCGGCGTACCGTGATCCGATCTATGCTACCTACTTGCGTGTGTCTGACATTCCGTGCTTACTCCCGCGTATGACCAAGAAATAGGCTCCTTCACGTACTATACTATATACCAGCCTATTAGAAGATTAGCTAAATTATACGAGAGGGTTAACGTTTTGATATTGGTTTGGATTACTCGAACAGGGTCTTATTCTTATATATTGCTGGAGATTGCATGGCTAGGAATAAGGCTAGAATGCTACTATAGCAGTAATGTGTGTGCAGGTGCTAGAATCCAAATCCACCGAACTATTCAAGTCTTCCCTTTTTGGCGATTATGAAGCTCACGACCCGAATAGGAAACTGAAACGATCTCGGCAATGTATCTGGAAAGGGAATGATCGAGAGGGTTATGTATCTTCATAACTTTATGCTGGGTTCCTGAGTTGTTTTTCATGGGATTCGAGTCGCCTTCTGTCTCACGACCATACCTAGGTAGTCCATGTGCGCCCTGATTTCGAGCGAATCGATCAATATCTCCCTGAAATTGAAGCAAGAGCAAGAGCAATAACATCTGCTGTACTCCGTAGATCCTCCTGAAGAGATGCAAAGGCGGTGGGGGCCTGCGTGTTTCGCCTTATGATGACCCACCAGTAACGTACGTACCTGTGATTCTCGACTTTACCCTCAGCGTTCATTCTCCAAGAAATTCGATCCTTCTCCTTTTCTTCTGACAGACAGGAAGAGGAACTGTTGATCAGTTCCCTTTCTTCTTGCTTTCTTCCTTTCTATCTCCTCTTCTTGCTTCCTCGTCTGTTGCTGCCTTTTCCCCTATACCCCGGACTTTTATACCCACACTCCTTTCCCGCCGCGCGCTTTTCGCTTTTGTTGTACATATCTTCCTTCTTCATACATACATACATACATACATACCTACCTACCTACCTACATACATATATATTCATGTCCGACTTGACCAGTGAATAGATCGCGCGATCTCAACATGGCACGCCGTTTCCTCTCGACGTGCAGCGTCTTGCTGCTTTCCCTGGAAGCAGTTGCGGACAACTGGCCGTTCATGACCCTCCGAACCGAGCCGTTTCTCCCTCCTCAGGTCCAAGTCACCAAGAGCGGTCCGACAGATCCGGGATACATTTTTGTCGGTCCTCGAGGCAACCAAGAACTGGGAACAGCGGCCCTTATCTACGATGAAGATGCCAATTTGGTTTACCAGGGACCCCGGGAGGTCGCCGCAAACTTCAAGGTGCAGAAACTCTTTCATGAGGACGTGATCACATTTTGGGCTGGAGAGATGACAGATTTGGGGTTTGGATACGGGACGGTTCACATTCTTGACAACACCTACCGCGAAATTTATACCGTCAAGCTTCAACAGCATTTCGTCGCCCCCGACGGCGTTCCCAGAGACTCGTACATCGATCTCCATGAGAGCCGTATCACGAAGCGAAACACCCTGCTAGTGACGGGCTACAATGTGACTCAACGCGACCTCACTAGTATCGGTGGCCGCCCCGATGACTATATGCTCAATGGAATGTTCTTCGAAATCGATATTGCGACCAACGAGATTGTCTATTCGTGGAGCGCGTTGGATCATATCGAGGATATTCCCCTGCAGGGCTCGAAACAGTTTTGGTCTGAAGATGTGGGAAGTCAAGCTAAACCATGGGATGCCTACCATATCAATTCGGTTGAACTCATGAAGGACGGATACATGATCTCTGTCCGTCACTACTGGTCGGGCTTTTACATCCACAACAACGGTACTGTAGGATGGCGGCTGAACGTACGGGTATTCTCTGCTTCCTCTTATCGAGTCGATCTGAATCCTTTTTATTATAGGGCGAGATAGGCGCTGGCGACTTCCAGATTGATAGCGGCTCCGTTTTCTCGTGGCAGCACGACATGCGCGTCTACAACGAGACGGCGGAGGGATTTGTTTTGAGTTTGTTCAATAATGCGAATAACCCTAGCGAGGCAGTTGCCCCGACGACTGGAATCAGTTTGAATGTCGACCTGGTCAACCGCAACGTGCATGCTCTGCGCGTCCTGAACGACGAGGATGATGTGATCCACAGTGTCAGCCAAGGAAGCTACCAGCTTCTGAGCGACGAATCTTCTCATGTCGTCTTAGGCTACGGCTCCATCGCAAGAGTCAAGGAGTTCGACGCCAATAACAAGGAAGTTCTGACGGTCCAATTCGGCGAAGACAACGCGGTTGCCTCGTACCGTGGCTTCAAGTGTGAATGGAAGGCCACCCCTTTCTGGCCTCCCGCACTGGTCGTCGAACGGGCGGGCCCGGATTCCGTCCGGGTCTACATGAGTTGGAACGGGGCTACCGAGTATGACAACTTCGCCGTCTACTATTCCTTGTATTCCGATGGCTCCCACAACAAATTCAAGGCCATGGTTAAGCGTACCGGCTTCGAATCCACGACCGAACTGACCGGACTGCTGCCAACCGGATACATGCAAGCGGTTGCCCGAAAGGGCGATGTTCCGCTTGGTACTTCCCCCGTTGTGGCGATCATTTCTCCCGCCGAACCGCCGGTAGCTTCTCCCACTGTAGAGGTATAGAGAAGACAGACAAGAACGGTCGCTGGCCGCATTCTTTTCACACCCGGTTACACCATGGTATCTGACGCCATGAATGGTCTGTGTGATTCTGTATATTCGATTCCTTGCCATATTTCATTTCATGCCTTTATATTCATGTCTCATGTACATACGTTGGTTTTGCTCTGGGGGGGGGGGGGGGGGGGAAACAATGAACTAGATCGTGCTTCCGTTTAGAATCCTCCCCATTATTAACTACTTTCACACAAGTATACCAAGGCTGAGCCAATCCAACCCGACCTTTTGATTGGGATAGGTATATGTTCATCAAAGTCGAGCGGAATATTTCCCAGGTCCCTCTTGCGGGAAATTGATCTCTATGCAGAATCCCTCCCCAGTCCTAGTAGTACTATCAGGTAGATTACATCGGAATCTGCCGGGTACAGTGCATGGATTATAGCACGGTTCGACGAAATGAGCAACTATCCATGTTACAGACGCATACGCTAAAAATCTTATCTCGATCAATAATAGATCCCCGGCGCGGTGCTTCAATGCAATGTTATCAAATGCCTCAGTTAGTTGGTGGAAGTGACATGATCACGTAGCACGATGGCGAACTTCATTGATATTGTCTCACGCAATATAAAACTGTAGCCTGGCTTGTATTGTACAGAAGTAGGTTGATCGGTTCGTTTCTTCTTCTTCTTCCTTTAGGAATGAGACTGCTTTGCATGGATGGAGATGTTAAAGGCGGTACACTGTAATTAGAGAGGGATTATTGAACAATGCTAGAGAATGCAAGGTCCGAATTCCACGAGGGTATGAAGCCTAGTCTGTAGGAATTGGGAAGGGGAGAAAACACCAGGATCTTTCGGTCATGTTCAGCCTAATGACGAACGGAAAGGGTCCCGGGAAATGCACCGACACTGAATGTTTCGATGCAGGAGTTCATACCCTAGCTTGATAGAAGAAGCTTGTGTCGTACTAGCTACTATATGCCAGTAATGCAGAGACCCGAGCCTGGATGGACTAGTTCATGCAGGTACACCTGTCCTACCTAGATTTATCTTGAAAGTATGGCAAAAATTAGAGGTCTCTTGCCTCAGTCACTCTTTGGTATATGGGACTAGATCGTGAGGCCATGGAAGGGACAAGGACGGGACAAGGACGGGGGGACGGCGTTGTATTACTTCAATGAGATCAATTGCAAGACGGAAGGTCGACGAGGCCGGCGAGGGTTATACAGACGGATGTGTGACTTATTATCAGACCAGTAGTCCCTTTTTCCTTCGGGACAGGCAGTGAGTCGCCCTTGAACAATTGAGGCTTGTGGCCTAAGTGAAACACGAAGGCACGGTAGATTTCTGAGGATAGGGAGTGGCGAAGAGGGATATAAAACCTCGAGAGATCCGACCAAGGAGTTCGGCATAGAGCACCAAAGAAAATACCCTACTGTCCAAGTCATATCATCTGAACATAAACAACAGCACAATATGCATTTTAACTTTGTTGCCTTTCTTTCGCTTGTCCTAGCATTAGGAACATCCGCTGCGGGAGCAGGTCGCCATATCAAGCTCACGAACAACACTATGTATGGCCAGGCAATAGTCAGGAACCAGTGCAAAGAGCCTCTGTACTTGTGGTCTGTGGGCCGGATGATCAGCCCCCAGATAGTCATTCAGTCTGGCCAAAACTACTCAGAGGTCTTCCGGCGCGATCAAAAGACTGGTGGCATTGCCATCAAGATCACCACTGTGATGGACGGATTATACAACAGCGCACCACAAACAATTTTCGCATACAATCTGGTCGATGACATTGTTTGGTATGATTTGTCGGATGTCTTTGGGGATCCGTTTAGGGGAGAACCCGTGACCCTGATGCCGTCGCAACCAGAGATCCGGTGGGAGGAAGGGGTTCCGCCCCGTGGAAGCCAAGTGCGAATGCAGGAAGCGTCAAATGATTTGACCTTGACGATCTGCTAAAGCGATGTTGAGGTAGACACCAGAACGGGCCGGGGAACGGGAGTGTTGACTTTTGAGTAGCCAGAATGCAAGAATGAGAAGTGAGGAGTGAGGAGTGAGGTAGTAAAATCTGAGACGTGAAATCACTATGTACGGGTAAATGTGATGAACAAAAGGAAATCTAAGGCACCACGAAATGATATTCTTTTTACCCAAAGCCTTGCTCTCATGACCTGTAGTATGTTGAAATTAGTAGGGTACAATACAATCGGAATTTACAACTTTGCACTTGCTGACATGCCCAACCAGGGCGTGACTTCCAAGTGAAGGCTTGTATTATTTGACTTTATGAGACCGGCCTAGCACCAGGAAGATCGTCGAACCATGGGTGACGCAACGCATCCACAGCACTGATGCGCAAGTCCGGCTGAAGTCGTAACATGCTCTGGACCAGCTCGAGACCTAACGGATCAATTCGGGGAACAACGTGTCGCATATCTTGCGGCACATAGATTGGAAAGTTGTTTTTATACTCAGGAAACTGCGAGACTCCCGGCCAGGTGCGCTCAGTAGGGGTTCCCGTCACACGGAAGATCCTTTGGAGTTGGTCCTCATTAGTAGTGCCGGGGAATAGAGCACGTCCGGTAAACATCTCGGCCACGATACATCCAATAGACCAAATGTCGATGCTGGTGTTGTAGGTGCGGCTGCCCAGAAGCACGTCTGGAGCGCGATACCACAGGGTGACAACTTCGTTAGAGAAGGTATTGACAGGGATTCCAAATGCACGTGCGAGACCAAAATCAGCAAGCTTAAGCTGTCCTTTGGAATTGACTAGCAGATTTTGTGGTTTGAGATCGCGATGGAGAATACGATTATCATGACAGAAGGCCACCCCACGCAATAGCTGGAATGCAAAAGACTTGATAACGGCAGGTTCCAGCTGCCCATGGTTGCCGTGGGTATCCATATATCGCTTCAGATCTTGGTCCATGTACTCGAAGACCAACATGAGCTTATTTTCGGTGTGGATCACATCATACAGGGACAGGATGTTATCGTGGTGTAGTTCCTTCATCAGGGAGATTTCTCGGATCGCCGTGGAGGGAGTTCCTTCTTCCGAATCGAGGTGAATCTCCTTCAACGCCACCATCTCCCCAGTTTGGCAGTTGCGGCCTTTGTAAACCTGGAGGGGTAGGTAGGTGAGTTAGGGGGGATCATCTCGAGGAATAGAAGGACGGGAGTCTACCGTGGCATAGGTGCCTTCACCTAGCTGCTGAGGTTAGCGAAACCACGCGAGACGGAGGGTAATTAATGACCTACCTTTTCCAACTGTTGGAAGGAGCTGGGATGTGTTCGAGCCATCGCGCGCTAAACTAGAGGGGTAATAATAAAGATGGGAGAAGAGTAGATAAAGAAAGAGGGTCGTCTCGAGGATGATAACAAATTGGCGATATAACTATACAGAGAGAGACCACGGAGGTTGATATAGATAGTTGATGAAAAGGGTAAGACGAGGGGTTGATGATGGTTGAGGAGAGGAAGAGAGTTGTTGAAGTGAATGAATGAATGGATGAATGGATGAGGCTGGGGAGATGGCGCGGGATTAAAGGAACCTGAGGCAACCCCACTATGTAATACCACACCACCCCGGTTGCCTGAGGTTCACAACAGAGTTTGGAATATGCAGCTATTTAGTTATTCATTTGCAGGCAACTAGGATGTTTTAACTAGAAAGTATCATAGACTTGAAATGTAAGAAGATAAATCCGTCAGATTCCATACGCGTCCCTCTGTACAGTGCTCAAACTATCGAGAGACATACGTACCTCAGGTACCTGGCACAACCCATGTTATTAACTAGCAGGATCTAGTACAATTTAGAGAATACGGAGTACTACGAGTGAGTGAGTAAATGTATACATATAACTTAATGAACTACTCCGTACCTTATTTCGATCCACAATTCAATCTCTAGAAAATCCCCAGATAATCCCTTATTGCCAGCCTCGGCCATCTCTCCGAATCAACACCCCCGCATTTCGAACCCGCGGATCAGATCGCGTACCTACTAGGACTTACCTAGGTAGTTACTCCAGGACCGTCACCGACTCCACGACTCCATCTCCATCTCCAACATCTACCATCGTATAAGACCTGATCCTTTCCGGAATTTCTTTTGTGATTTACTCCCTTCTTCTTCTTCTTCTTCTCTCTTCACCCCCCCCTCCCCCATCATGGTCCCTGCAATCCGTGTACCCCCTTCGGCGGCCAGTAGAGCACGCAATCTGCTGCGCACCGTACAATACACACATCCTCCTTCTTGTCCTTGTCATTCGAACCCAAATCATCATCATCACCATGCCAGAACTCCTACTTTAGCTGACCATGTTCGTCGACATATGGCTACTCCCACAGACCCCTCACGGGAGAAGGAGTACGCCTTCGAAATGGCTGCCTCTAGTATCCGGTTCGGCCCAGGAGCCACCAAGGAAGTCGGCATGGACTTCGCAAACATGAAGGCTAAACGCGTCTGCATTGTTACAGATAAGAACGTTGCCAAATTGGACGCGATGAAACAAGCTGTGGAAGGTCTGTCTCGTGAGGGGATTGAGTTCACAGTATATGACCAAGTTCGGGTCGAACCAAAGGATAGCTCGTATGTCCATGATTACTGGATAAAAATTGCAATTCTAATATACGAAACAGGGTCAAGGAAGCCATTGCATTTGCCAAACCCTACAATCCAGATGCCTTCCTGGCTGTTGGTACGTGAGACAAGACAACTTTTGCAACCCCGTTGGCATCTCCCAGTCAGCTGACTCTCCAGGTGGTGGATCGGTCATCGACACCGCAAAACTCATGAATCTATACACTGTCTTCCCCGAAGCCGACTTCCTTGACTTTGTCAACGCCCCCATTGGCAAAGGTCTTCCAGTAACAAAAGCCCTCAAACCTCTCGTCGCAGTTCCCACGACCGCCGGTACCGGCTCCGAAACCACTGGAACCGCCATCTTCGACCTCGTCTCCAAGGGGGCTAAAACGGGGATTGCCCATCGTAACCTTAAACCCACGCTAGGAATTTGTGACCCTCTCAACACACGGACGATGCCTTCTGCAGTGCATGCCTCTTCGGGTCTCGATGTTCTGTGCCACTCTCTTGAATCCTGGACGGCAATCCCTTACAACGAACGCACCCCGCGCCCCACAAACCCCATCAACCGCCCCGCCTACCAAGGTGCAAACCCTATCTCCGACATCTTCTCCCTCCAGGCCCTCCGCAGCACGGTCAAGTATCTTCCTCGCGCCGTCAAGGACCCGGATGACTTTGAGGCCCAGTCCCAGATGCTGCTCGCTGCTACACTAGCTGGTGTCGGATTCGGAAACGCAGGTGTCCACCTCTGCCACGGCATGAGCTACCCCATCTCCAGCCAGAACCCAGGCTACAAACATGCCGGGTATGATGTCGACTACCCGATTATTCCCCACGGGGTTACGGTTGCCGTGACTGCTCCTGCCGTCTTCCGATTTACCGCTGCCTCGAATCCAGACCGCCATCTTGCGGCGGCTGAGGCCTTTGGTGTTGACATCTCGAATGTCAAGCGCGAAAGTGCCGGTGAAGTGCTCGGTGAGGCACTGGCCAAGTTCCTTGCGGATTTGGGCGACCAGCCTCTTGGGTTGAAGAACCTAGGCTTCAAGCCTTCTGATATCGAGTCGCTCGTAGAGGGTACCCTACCACAAAGACGTGTGTTGATGCTTGCTCCCAACCTCAGCAGTGAGTTGGAGGCTGAGAAGGATGAGCTCAGACGTCTACTAGAACAGTCTATGCAGTATTAAATATAACCACTCGTCACCCTCCCCCACAATTGTATTCCCCGTAGATAAAATTCTAAAATGTCTTGTGTTGCGATGGTCTGGTCCATCGAACCAATTGCCCGCTAAAGCGAATAAAATATACCAGAAACAAAACCAAACAGAGCAACGTGAGTTGAGCTAAAAAAAAAAAAAACAATACCTTAAGTTCTATACAGCTGAAATGAACCCTGGAAAAACAAAGAGAAAAGAAGGCGAAAGATATAGCTATATATAGATACAGACACAGATGCAAAGCAAAGCAAAGCAAAGCAAGACCCCAAGTCCCGCACAGTCCCAAAAAGCCTAGATATATCTACAGCCATCCTATTCCTAGATTCCATACATATATGTGCACCCTATAAATCCATTTCTTATTCCAAAATCATGGCAGCTCCTAGTATATACAAGATGGTGGAACAGGCCTGGCTATCAAGTGCCGCATGCCGTCTGCGTGTGCCGCCCAGGCGTCCTTGCTGGTCTGTGAGTGTATCTTGTATCTTGTATATACTCGTTGTGTATAGCATGACATTGGAGTTGAGAGTACGTGTATAACTTCCTGCAGTATATATACATATATATATATATATCCACCTGAAGAGGAACTCGAGAGGGGAATATTGTTGACTTGTCTGTTAGTATAGACGGAGTCCAAGCTTCACTCAGCTAGTAATCTTAGATTCTGGGGATTCTCCTTGCTAACTAACATTATATAAAGAGGGTTATACACGGTCTCCAACACCATCTCCGAATATCGAGGAGAACAGCGTCTGATTTACAATGACAGATCCAATATCACTATTTAGGTAGCACATCACCAGAGGTATTAGAATGCACTTGGTGCGTGGGGCTATAAGTTCCCTGAGCCCTCCCTTTCAGACCGCGAATGGCGCGTTGTAGGCCGCCTTTCCAATTCCTCCATGGCTTTCGCGTTCTCAAGTTGGTGTGCCATTGTATAATTGAATTCACGTCGAATGCCACCCAAACCAAGGGGAGAGATACCGCCGCGGAACAGCCAACTAGTAGGAATTAGGACCACCAGGAGGATAATAACATCTTGATGGTATAACAGGACTTACAAATAATCGGGAAAATCCACCATCCTTGGAATAGTACCGCGTCTCCTTGGTGTGGAAAGTCGGAAACGTTTAATGCAAATAGTGAGGATAAGAATGAGAGTGGAAGCTTTTTTGTCCGGTTAGCAAGATAAAATGGACATCCACGGGAACTCGCTCGTCTTCGAACTTACGAAAATAATGGTCACCACAGTAAAGACCATGATTGTGTTAGCTTGCTTCCCAGTATCCTCAGCCTGTTTACGCCCAGTCTCAGCTTCTTTAATGCTCGCCTGTTTCTGCTTCAGGTCCAAAAGGCTATCCAGCTAAAGATGCAGGTTAGCACGACGTTGATTTCCAGATCTTGTGATAAGCTTACTGATTCCTGGACGGTCTTTGCCTCTGAAGCCATATCCTCAAGGTCTTCCTTTATCAAACTGGGCGTGCAAGCGTGGAATTGACGGTTATCCAAGTCTTCCAACTGGAACAACTGTTTCCATACCGTTTCTTGGTCAACAGCCAAGGCAATGAGAATGTTAAGTTCGTCTCGAATGTCCTTGATTTCCCGGAGAAGCTCGGCCTCCTGGAGGATATTATGGTATTGAGTAGCTGGAGAATTGCCGTTCGCACTGCTTTTTTCATCCTTCAGCGACTGTACAAAATCGGTGTAAAGCCCACTTTCGCCATTTGCCTGTACACAAGAGTTCGTGAGAATGTGAACCGCCAGAATGGCTAATTATCAGTTAAGAAACTGACCATGTCTCGAATATGTTCGCGAAACACATCTAAAGCCGACTTGGAATCAATGTGATTTAAATCCTTGATGAAGAGCTCTGTTTGTATACCAAGCATGAACTCCATCATGGATTCAACCGACTTGGGACGTTGGAAGGTACCGTTGTTCTCGCGGAAGGCCATATTTTCAAACACAATGTCCACAAACCCAGTCGACTGATCTGTTGCAGCCGTAATTATGGTTTCTATAGTCATGTTAACACGACGTGGCATCAAACAGCCTCCGTCACTCACTTTCATCGATAACCCATAACCATAACTGGCCAACCACCAGGATGGTATTCGGTGAGTTGAGTTTGCGAGAGACCACTTGATCATCATCGCGGGATTTGGTGTCGTGCAATGCAACATAGTAATACTGGTCAAGAGTCATTGTCTCATGGCGGACTGGCTTTGACTTCCTCCCTGATGACAACCTCTGAGTGCTCTCATTCGGTTTGGGATATGTCTTTAACGGCTTCTCCCCCCACGCCAGATAGGGTATCTAAAGTTTTGTTAGCTATTGAGAACCGAGGAAAAGGGAAGTACTGTAATAAGCATACATACATAAAGGGCTTGTCGTTTTCTTTCTCTCTTGGCCAAAATTGGTAGCGGGTTGGGCTTTTGGTCGTGCTTGCCACTGTCCTCCTCTTCGCGAATACTAGGTACCACAGGATCTTTGACTCTTGATTCTGCACGTTTCTGATAATCCCTGGGGGCCGCAGAACGTCCTCTCCTCTCTCCCGGTCCAGTATTGTCCACCGGGGCTGGTACGTTGGTCTCTGGTTGGATGTCACTCTCAACTACTTCCCGCTTCACGATTCACAAACCACCATCAGCAGTCATCCCAGGCTAATGCGCGAATACAGACATACTGAATACTCCGGTTTCATGTAGTTCTTCTTGCCGCCAGCAGTTAGCTGTGTCCAGCTCTCTCGAAGGAACGCGATCAACTCCCGATGTTCCTTTTCTGTTTTGACCCCATCCGCGAGAATCCGGGTAACAAGATCCTGCAAATGATTGAAATTAGAAATGCTGCTTGCTCCCTTTGTCACGGATCATGTTTTGCATGGAGACTTACCTCGGCTAGTTTTGTCTAGTACGAGCACTGCTGTCAGCCTCTTTTTCTTACTAGCAGTCATTTTAAAATCGGCACCAACTTACGTCGTTTACAGGGACATGCACCCATCTAAATTCACGCCTACCCACAAAGGCCCTCTCCTGCGTGACATCATCGCGAATCTCGCCTGTGGGCTCGGTTTGGCCCTTCCCTGCTTGGCCCTTTGTTTCCGCTGCAGCCTTTTGTCCTAGCTTAGGCGCTGTAGCAGTGCCGGTAACGTTTCTGTTGTCGGACTTGGAAGGTCCCTTCGCTTTTGTTTCGTCCTGGACCCCCTTACCGGTTTTAATGAATCCTTTGAGTGCCTCGAGGTCGTGGTGATTTTGTCTTCTGGCCTCTACCATAATTTCTTGTGGGCCCTTGCCATATATGATTTCCTTGAGAGACTGCTGGTTGAAGTGCATTTCCACTTCATTGCCGGTGCGATAGAAATCAACTATTGTTCCCTGGAGTTCTGGTATGTGATAACTATCGGCTGAAGGGGCCTGAACAAGAGCATCGTCGTTCGTGTTGGCGACGTGCGCCAGTATTGGAGGAGGGTTGTGAAGCAGGTTATTTATTGTTTGATTGGGCTTCAGCTTCAGAATTTCAACAGCCATCGACAGTTCCTTTGGCTTCGAATGGCCGCCGTTTGATAAGAGCCACCAGACAAGCACCGGCTGGGATCGGTAGACGGCCCAGTGTAGGACTGTCCAGTTCTCCGTTGCGGCGTTGGGTTTTGCTCCTTGTTCCATCAAATACAGCAAGGTGCCCTCATTTCCAGGTCTTTCAAACTGAGCGGCCATCTCGAGTACTTCCCCTGCCTCCACGGAATAAGGGATCTTGAAGCCAGGGCTATTCTTTGCGAATTTCCGACATTCTTCCCATAGAAGCTCTTCCACCATTCTCTGTCTCCCTTTCACGGCCAAGGAGAGGGGCGATTCTCCGTCATCATTTTTGTTTATGATGAGTTGTATTCTTTGCAGTTGGGCGGTTTTATCTCCTGGGAAACTTGCGGTTAAACTTTTAGCGCAGGTATCCAGGAATACCTCGACAGCAGCGCGATGTCCATTTTCGGCTGCCACATGCATCGGGGTCAAGTCTTGCCCTGAATGCGCGGAAATATCGGCACCATGTTGAAGTAGCCATTTAATCATGTCGGAATTCCCAAACCGAGCTGCTACATGCAGTGGTGCGCGTTGCCCTTGGGACCATTCCCTCACGTCCCACTTCTCGTACTGCAAGCACTTTTCGAGAAGTTCCGTCTTCCCGTTGACGACTGCCCAGAATACAACAGGTTCAATATCTGCCGAGTTATCTTCGTTCTCGTCTAAATCCCCAAGAAAAGTTGAAAGAGCGCCTTCAACCCGGGGAATTTCATAGGAAGTTGCAAGGCAGATCTTGGATTTCAGAGGATCCTCGGGAGAATAAGCCTTTGTTCTCAACAGGTGAAGCATCACTTTATAATGATTCTGGCTAGCTGCATCAGACAACGCGGTACTGCCCTCATCGTCGCGGATTGTGACATCGACCTGCTCGTCCGAGATCAACCGTGCGACAATTTCGTCACGTCCGTTAGACGCAGCCAGTTGGAGCGCAGACCAGTTATGGTCGGCGGTTGCGTTTCGATTGACCAACTTGCCTTCTCCAAGTTCCAAGAGCCAATTGACAAGATCAATGTGACCTTTCTCCGAGGTTGCATGAAGTGGCATAAATCCATCATTGCATTGGATATTCACGTCCGCACCATATTCCACCAGAGTTTTCACCACTTCCAGATGGCCATTGCGTGCCGCATAATAAAGCGCCGTACCATCGCCATTGGTTTCAGTCGCACTAACATCCTGAGTATACTTCAAAAGCAGCTCCATAGTCTGGACATGGCCATTCTCGCAGGCAATGAAAATAGCCGGTCTCCCGTCATCTGTACATTTTATGTTGACATCCGCACCCTTATCCAACAGCAGCTGGACAACCTCAGTATGTCCATTCTGTGAGGCCAAATACAGCGGGGTTACGCCGTCCGTCTGCCGTGTTTTGTTTGGATCGGCCTTGTGCTCCAGGAGCAGCTTCGTATTTTCGAGGTTCCCGTTGTACGCGGCAAAATGAAGAGAGGTAAATCCATCGTTATGCGATATATTAGGGTCTGCCTGGTGATCTTGCAGCAGGAGCCTCACGATGTCAACATGATTATTTTCTGAGGCTGTGTAGAGTGCTGTAACGCCGTCTTCTTCTCGCGCGTCCACATCCATGTTATCGTAGGTAAGGATATGTGCGCACATTGCAGCGTTTCCTCCGTACGCAGCACGATAAAGTACAGCCTGTTGGCTTTTACTCACATAGTGCACATCACCTCCAGCGCGCGCAAGGATATCGAAATTCTCAATATGGCCGTATTCGGCGGCGATAAGAAGGGGGGTTGAGCCACCGGACGGGGTTTGGTCGTTGGGATCTGCTTGATGTTCTAAAAGCAACTCCACAATCCGAGGGTTCGGATATGCAGCGGCTTGTATGAGGGGGGTGACCCCGGGGGTCGACTCAGTGTCCCCTTGAAATAAAAAATCATATCGAAGGTTGACAGCATCTTCGGAATCGTTCAGGATAGCCTCCACATCGCCGAAAGCGCCATTTACAATTGCTCCGGAAATCTTGGGCAATGCAGGGTCTGCCTCCGAGGCAACTGATGCCGCTAGGGTCTTCTCCGATCCGAGCCTTACTTCACCTTTGCTCTCATCCTCCAGGACTGTAGGTACCGGCGGAGCAACATCATGGAGATCGAGTACGGCAGAGGCGCTATCACCCATAGTGGCCAAGAAGTCAGAAACACCACATCAACGTGAGTCGACCGCAGAGGGAAAGAAAATAAAAAGAATATCCCAGGGTGGTATAATGGAAGTGGAGGCTGATATTATGGTCGAAAATAATGATGGATGGCTGGGACACGGGAGACCCATATGTATAAAAGACGAATAAACAGCCCCCACCACGCCAGCCTGATGTCGAGTTCAGCTTTGCAAAAAAAGTCAGTCGCCCATAGACTAACTACTGCTTCAATCGGAAGTACTCTGTAGGACGCTAATCACTGTGGGATTTAGCTAGGGCGAACCTGATGATATTGATTGGCTACTAGTCGTGATCGCTCGGACGCTTTGGCTCGCGAGAAAGATCCAGCCTTGCATTCGGCGACAAGTCCCCTTGGGGTCAGAGGTCTCTGCATAAGTTCATATATATCAAACCCGTCGGGGACTATTTAGGGGGTTCGTATTTGCTTCCCGCAGTGGGGATCGTGAATAGAGTGAACCCCGTCCGCCTCTTATCTCGCTCTAGCTGCCCCATATGCTTAATTATTTCAACCTGAACCGAAACTCCAGCTAGCTAGCTCAGGGGACATAAAAGAAACCGGGAATTCAGGAGGAACCTAGATGAGTGTGTGTATGGGTGTGTACCTAGGTCGCGTTAGGGCTCCGCTGTCGTTTATAAAGCCTCCCATGTCATAAAGCTATGTACATAGGTACGGTGCATTCATGCCTATGCTGTATATGAAATCATTTCATCTACCTACTATCCGTCCTACCCACGTACTCCGTACAACAAACATGTCGATCCGTTCAAATATTGACCAGGGTACATATAGTTAGGCATATACATACATATACATGCAGTGGAGACAACGGAACCTTCCAATAGTGATCGACGAAACTAGAGGGGTAGAAGAGTCCACGAATATGATATGATACCTACTAGGTAGTTATGTTGGACTGATTACGCTGTACATCATCGCATCACTTGCTACCTGATTAATAGAATGTAGAAGTGTGTGGATAGTATACCTCCCTCGCATCTACACACTGTCAATACCTATCATCATACATATAAATCTACCTACCTACCTACCTACCTACCTACCTATACCTACTGTACCTCGCGGACTAGGCAGTTGGTGTACTTCATTGTATCGCGTGCGCTGACTGCTAAGAGCAAATCAATCAAGCTCGTCTTGGGCAGTAACAGCAGTAAAGCAGCCGCATATCGTTAAAAGTAGGTAGATCCTTCTTCCTTCCCGTGATAGGTTGGGATGTCTCTGAATAGCTGCAAAATGCCGGCATTGGGCTTTAGTTAGTTACTACTAGAGTAGCGGAGACGGAGACGGAGACGGAGACCATGATTAGATTAGCTTGGTTGATTGAAACTGTACGAAAGAACAGTTAGTTGTAGAGAATTCACTAGAGAATACTTACGTACGTACGGACGTTCTGCCCTGCTGATTCATGAATCTTCGTCCACGCTGAGGGATGAATGTGTCTCCAACTGTACGCCACGGCCTCGAATGAAATACATAAGTCAGTGATCGACATTGCGAAAAAAAAAAAAAAAAAAAAAGGCTCATCGTTGGCCATACAACCTGTTAGCTGCTTACTGCGGTTAGGGTTGCGGCCGGAAAATCCAAGTCATGTCCTTTGGACGGATTCCTTCCGAGCCAGCTAGGAAGCTCCACGTGGAGTAGTGGTTCCGGTGCTCCGTGCAGATGTGCCAGAGTATAGTTATACATAGTTTTGTGTATACTGAAAAATTATCAGCGACGCCAAAATAGGAGGGAGATTGGCCATTTCGGTAAATCTGGAATAGGAGCCGACATTTATGCCTTTTGGAGGCGTAGTTGGTACTGCATACATAATACGCTCCCATATGCGAATCTTTTCAATGCTGATGATTGCTTCTTTGCCATACTCCGCAGATACGTTAGCAGATATGCAGCTTGCTGTAGCGGCCGGATCGGCTTCAAGGCGTCCGCCCAAAGTGGTAGTCCTGGCGACTTCCCTGGAACACAAAGGGTGGCTTTCTGTAAGAAATGATGGGTAACCCGGGACAGAAGGATTTATATTACATACAGACAATTTGTTGGTAGGCAGTCTGAAACAGCTGGCCGCCTGTAGGAGTTGATCCTTGAGGGCCTAGCTTTAAACGCCCAATAAATGCTCTGCTATGGATCCCCCATTAAAGTGGGCCGTGCAGTTCTTTGTCGAGACTCGAGAGTACCCGACCATCATCTATCCGACAGTGACTTGAGTTCAGCAATCTTGGATCGAGTATGCAAGGTGCAAGGCTTGTAGAGTCTTCCCGTGGAGGTCCTGATACGCCCTCGCGAGGGTCATGGACTGTGTTCTATTTGCTAAATATGCTGCATCCAGGCATGGTATGCCAGTAAAGGGCATAGTCCGGCTCAGCACCTTGTAATAAGCCAGGAAGGTATCTAAACCCCACGCATTCCAGTATTTCGGATACCGACACGGAAAACTGGCTTATACTCAAAGGCATGGGTCATTCCACTGTTCAGTCATCCCCTGTGGTGCCCTCCAGTCCAAATGCTTTTCGTTCTGCTCCGGTGGGTGATCGTGGGCGTAAGATACGGAACTTGTGCTTTGGGTTCACCATGGCATGTATGTGAATTGACTCAGATGCGAATAAATAGAACAGTATGATAAAAACCAGATAAACTGCTAGGGTGGATGGGAGAGATTGAGAGGAGAAGCAGATCCAACCCGGCTGGAATACATAGCTGGAATCACGTGTAAAAGAGTGTGACCTTGAAGCTGAAATATTTTCCTACGACTTTGCTCAGATTTCCACCAGAAGTTCTGAATTCTTACTCCATTTACCCCTGTGGTACGGAGTCCTGCATACCGTCAATGTGCTCGTAGTCTCAGACTGTGTAAGAAGTGAGCCTGCTGCATCCCCAACTCCACCACCATCCCCCCCCCTTCGTATCGACATCCCCGGATCCAACACCATTCTTACTGCTCGCATAAAGCAGCTTACACCACCGACCAAACATGCATCCAATCTTCCACCTTCTTTTTGTCCTCCCCTCTGCCGCAGCCACCTCCCAACTCCCTCTTCGCGGTACAACCACCACCCCCAAAGACGGCTATGCAGGAAACCCCGTTTTCCCCGGCTGGTACGCAGACCCGGAAGCACGCATCTTCAACCGCCAGTACTGGATATATCCGACGTATTCGGCCGCCTATGAAGACCAAACCTTCTTCGACGCCTTCTCCTCCCCCGATCTGCTCACCTGGACCAAACATCCGTCCGTCTTGAACTTCTCCACCATCCCATGGTCCACCGACCGGGCCGCCTGGGCGCCATCCGTGGCGCGTCGTCGGCAACGGCGCCGCTCCACTAGTCCCCAGAACAGGGGCCCCACGGTCCCGAAGCACCAGGAACCAGGGTCTACTCCTACCCCTACCGCAGACGAGCATGAGCATGAGCATGACTATGACTATGACTATGACTATGACTACTTTATGTATTTCTCTGCCGGCGACGGCGCAGGCATTGGCGTCGCAAAATCAGCCACGGGCCGACCGGAGGGCCCCTTTATTGACGCCCTGGGAACCCCACTAGTGGGGGAGACGACGATTTCCGGCGCGGAGCCGATCGACGCGCAGCTCTTCCAAGACGACGACGACGGCCGCGTGTGGCTGTATTTTGGCGGGTGGAGCCATGCGGTTGTAGTCGAGTTGAATGATGACATGGTGAGCTTGAAAGGCGCGTACTTGGAGATCACGCCGAAGGATTACGTTGAGGGGCCGTGGATGTTGAAGCGCAACGGGGTGTATTATTTCATGTATAGTGTTGGCGGGTAAGTAAGGACCTTCTTCTTCCCTCCCCAAAAACTCTTCGTTTACATCCCCCCCCCCCCCCCCCCCCCCCCGGTGCCTCGAGAGTATACGCATGTTACAAAAATTAATTGGCTCAGATGGGGCGATAATTCCTACGGCGTGAGTTATGTCACTGCGGCCTCTCCGACTGGTCCCTTCTCTAGTACTCCGACCAAGATCCTGTCGGGCAACGACGACGTCGGCACCGGGACAGGCCACAATAGTGTTTTCACCCCCGATGGCGAGAACTACTATATCGTCTATCATCGACGCTACCTGAACGATACCGCTCGTGACCATCGTATAGTCTGTATCGATCGCATGGAGTTCGACTTGGATGGGAACATCCTCCCAGTGAATATCACGATTGAAGGAGTCAAAGGAAGACTATTATTACCCTGACCGACTTGAGCATACTAAGCTGGGGTTTTGGTAAAATTCTGGCTTTCGTATTCTGAATCCGTATAGCTGTATTTTCTTTATAGTAGCCCCGAGCCTTGCTTTGCTCAGGATGAATGAATGCCCTGCATGTACTCCGTATGCACCTTTTGTTTTCCACAGCACCAAAAAAAAAAAAAAAAAAAAAAAAAACAACAACTCCGGGGTATCCTGGTAACTTGGTATCTCAACATAACACCCACTAATGGTAAGAAACAAATCAATGCAGAAAGAAAAAAGAAAGAAAGAGGGGGGGAAATGCTATGAAAACATGGAGCTACGCTTTTTTGATAATTTTCCTTCATCCGATGATCGTCGGAATCCAAAGAAACTGCTACGCTTTGGTTGTAGCGTCAGGTTTACCGTCGACTGCTGTCGAGGCGGCGCCAATAATGTCGTCGTCGACGCCTGGGCCTGGGCCGGCAGTTGCCCATAAGGATGCACTCCTCCGTGAGATACAGGAGGCATATGATGATGGTGGTTATAATATCGCTGGGCAGGAGCTGCAGGACGAGGTCGCGGAGGTTGGGGCGGCGCGGATAGTGCGGGTTGCTGCGGAGGTAAGGACGGTGTCTGCGCGCGCGCCTTCTTCTCCTCGTCTCCATAGATCTTCTGTAATCTCTTGGTTTCCTTGTCGATCTCCATCTGGCGTCTACGGCGGGCCTTTTGTTCCTCCTCAAGGAGTTTCTTGGTGCGTCGTTCGTCCTCCTTTCTTTTTTGTTCATTCTGCTTCGGAAGCTGGGGGCTCTCGACTAGTGGTGGCTGAGGCCCTGGTGGAATGTTCGTCGTATCAATGACGATTGGGGCCGCAGGTAGCGTGTTCTGCACTGGGGCTATGGTCGTGGGAGAATTGGAAGTAGGGGAGGCGGCCGCGGAGGATGGCCTAGACACACGGAACGCATCCTTAGGGGAACTAAAGTAGACGTCACGAATAGTGATAGCACCGAGTAATAGGACAACCTCTAGCCCCTTGAAATCCTCCATTTCCACGCGATAAAGGTTCGGTTCGTAGAGGGTAAGCTCGCGCAAAGCCTTGAAAATGGAGATGGTGATATCCGGCTCCTTGCTCTTAGTCTTGGTTTCGGGGATGGCAGAGGTTTTCCCCAAGAGCAAGCAGGTGAGATCCTTCGACAACTTGCTATCTTTGCGCCAGCTGAAGCGGAGCTTGGGTGTTAGGTCTGCGACGGCGGGATCGATCGGAGCGCGGTCGAGGGTGGACCCCGTCGGCTCGCGGAAACTGAGCTGTGGCATCTCAAATGTCCAAGTGGCCGGGGTATTCCATGTCTTGGGCTTGTATTGCACTACAATCTGCTGATCAGGGTTGTAGAGCTGGATCGTGAACCGGGAGGGGATTATAGGTTCTGGTGGCGGTGCTACTCCGCCGTTTTGGCGAATTGCCTCTACAGACAGTGTCTGTTGGGTCCACGCGGGGACTATCAAGACCTCGCCATAGACGACGTCAGGAACGAAGGGGTCGTAGAGGGCAGCAGCGTAGCGGTTCTTAGAGTCTGGGGAAGAGGGGTCCGGGTATCGGAAGGAGTATGCGGGCTGGGGTTCGTTGCCATGCTGTAGGAGATAGAGGGTCGAGAGATGAGTCTCCTGGCCGGGTTTGAGGTAAAATGCTGGCCTTGTTAGCTCTTTCCTGGGCAACTCTTCCGTGACTGGTGGACGAGGGACATACTCGGTAGATTCTCGTCGAGCATTTCGATCAACGGCAGGGAACGTAGAACTCGACTGGTAACGACGACTTAGGTAGCAAGGTCACTGGTGGCAAATCCGGTCCACGATAGTTGAAATGCCATTGGATTAACCATAGGAACAACCGAAAGACGGTGGAAGCAATGGCAGTTTATACTGGGGCCATTGCAGCATGACGAAGCCAAATCCGCAGCAGGTTTGCCGGGCAGATTGGTGCCTCAGGCTGTGACTGCGCCCCTCTGGCTAAGACTAAAAATAGCCGATGCTTCACAGGCAACCAAATAAATCAATCAATTAATCCGTCAACTTGCAAATGCATGCATGAGCTTGTCCTCATTTCATTGAAACTCTGGTGCCTTGGCAAAGCCTCCAACAAATCAATTCCCCGCTTGAATCAGCCTCGCGGCCAGGCTGAGCTGCGGGACTCTTGGGGTCAACATACGGAGTAGCTTCGTATATTGCGATATTAAATCCTTTGACAAACAGGCCAATATGAGAGCTCAATTCATTAGACCATGAGGTACAGGGGCCAATGTCAGGGACTTACGACCCTTGCTCATTTATCTGCAACCTCGTCTATCCATGGCGGAGTCAATATGTACGTACTCAGTACACACTAACTAACTAGTTAACTATTGGGTGCTTCGTAACCCTACAGGATTCAAAACACAGACACACCCACATTCAATTATATGGTTCAATTGCATATTCTAATACTTGAACATCTTTGAATTGTTTTCTTTAATGCAGAAAATAACATCTCGCTTCAGGATTATAATGAAAGTCTAGCAGCTAGCCTCGACCTAGTGCAGTGGACATGCTAATCGAAGAGAACCGTACTCTCCCCATAGCAGCGAAAGTTCGAGGCCAGGTTTGCCCTCTTTCCCTTTTGCCTGTGAGGTGACTGATGATCACCGCGTCTTCCTTCTGCATACCGCACCGTCCAGAAAGAAGCCTCTTTAAAGATTCAAACACAGGGAATAACACCATGCTCCCGCGTTCCGGAGACGATCACGGCATGCCATCAAGAGTGGCCAGTCTATAGCGGGATGGTCCGAGATCGCACGCGGCTTCCATGTGGCATCGATAGCTCCGGCATCAAGCTCAAGAGAACAAAATTCGGTTGCCTAATACAGGCCGGAGTACGGTGGAAAATGGTCTCAGCGTGCGAAACGAGATATGATCCGCATGCATGACCGTTATGAAATCTGTTGTCATGCATGTCGCTGCCTACGTACTTGGGCAGTATGTCGCTCGTCCGCGCTATTTATAGACAAGCATTCAGACAGCCACGGGAATTCTTCCAGCTTTTGAATGAACTTGGGAAGAGACTGTAGATTCGATCAATCAAAACACGGCCAAGTTGAGACACGTACCTTTTCCAAGTGATATGGCACTCTTCGAGCATTCCGAAACCTCAAGGTGAAGAAAAGCAATGATCCCACCCATCAGATGAGAGAATTAGCAAGTACACGGACAGAAGATGAAGAGTATTCACTCACCTATGATGGGGGAAAATAGATTCTGGATGATATAAAGTGTAGCCGTTTCGATCTACCCAAGTCAGCCAATATAAACACGAGAGAAACATACCTGGATTTGCCCTGTCCTCTTCATTTATATCATGTATACCCTCATTCAATAATGTTAGCAAACACCAGATAGAACAGAACGCACCTTGAAGACCGTGATGTTTGGCATTTGATACCTAGTTGATAGTCGATATTCGTCCTATAAAAGTCACCGAATAAACCCCGGGAAAGAGACCACCGTACCGGGACCATACCATAGCATATGCATATGCTGGAATTTCTCGCCTTGTTCGCGGTTCGGCCTGTACATGTTAACCTACCGCTAAACGAGAAAGAAGACTTACCTTGACAGGGACTGGTGATGTGTTATCGCTTCAGGGTTCTTTTCCGGTTTCTGGCTTCTTTATTCTGTATGCGTCAGCCTTTGGGAGCCAGGGAGAAGAAGACATACCTGCTGTATAGTGTACTGTGGTTTGATATAGTGGAAATATATCCATGATCTTCGCATTCGAGTAGTCGAGAGGGTTCGGATCTGATAACTAGTGGTGTGTATATATATTTATATATATAGTGAATCTTGACACATATCATAGTGTTGTGGTGTGTCTGTCTTCGTTAGCTTGGTCAGGGCTGGATCACTTACTGAAGTATCCATCCTTGTATGCATTATTATATATTAGAATCGATCAAGTATGCAATGCATACATATCCTAAGAGAAATAATTAGCATTCATGGTTGGCGGAGAGCTCACCTGCTGCAGGTGCCTTGGTAGTACTAGCACTACTAGTACCTACAGGTACCTAGTACTTGTATAGTCGATATCGAACAAGCAAGTATTGTACTGTTGCTGTTTTTTTCCCCCTTGTGCTTGGATGCTGCTGATGAATGAGAAGAACTCGTAGAGGTCGACATCGACTTCTTATACCCGGACGAGGTCCAAACAAAGGGAGACTTGCATCTTTGTGCTGTGTTTCAGTGGATGATTAATGCATTTGAATTTGTAAAATATGCATTCTTGAGACCTTGCCCTTGCCCTTGCCCTTTTTCTTTGTCTCTGTCTTTCGCTCTTGCTGGTGTGAATGATAAATGGTTGCAGGAATAGGTGCAGGGATAGATACACTGCAATTCTGTTTCACAAGGAAGAGGAGGGGAGAAACAAAGGAATTCATTGTTACATGGTAACATGTCTTGTTTGAGGATTCGGCCGAGCGGAATATTCTTTCAGACTCATAATGAGACAAGGTCTTTATATACCGTTGCGATAAGTCGACTGTTCTATTGTGATCTATGTCCAAGCATCTTTACAAAGTACTATGTTTTAACCCAGGTTCTTGTTCTTCTTCGTCTCCTCTCGTAGTTCGTTGGTTCGTCTATACCCGCACCCCGTTCACCTCCTCGCCCTGCGGGACCTTGGCAGCCTCGCGCTCGGCCGTGCTAAGCTGCAAGCCCTGGTCGTCCCAGCCCTGGACTCCCTTTTTGTACAATGTCTTTTGTTGCTCGCGATCGATCATGGGTCCGTCTTTGCCACGACGTTGGCGCGATTCAATGGTCTCTACCAAAGAGGCGTTGTCTGATTCAAGGGTGTATCCTTCCAGGTCATCGAGATCGATCTTTTCGGTGAAAGTGTAGGTACGGTATTCGGTGTTCGTCCAGCCGGTTCCTAATTCAGGAAAAGAGAGAGAGAGAGAGATTAACATCGACACTGGTCCTCAAGGGGAAAAGCAAGTACAGGCACAACTAACCCTGGTATTGGCTGCTGTCCTCCCAGTCTTCGGTAAAATAATGTAGGACGCCGCCGTGGGAAACCATAATAATCTCCTTCTCCGGTCTAGCCTTCAGCCAGCGTCGAGCATCGCGTGCGCGTTCCTTGATGGCATGGTTGGTTGGGGCGTAGCGACCCTCCTAAACCACGGAAAACCCATTGTTAGTAAACATGCTTCGATAATAATAAGAAAGAAAAAAAAAAAAAAAAGACATGCCTTCACGTTCCACCCCTCATGCACCAAACTCGCATCAACAGGCAATCCCTTCTCGTCAATCTCCTTCTGTAGCAGGGCAGGGTCCGTGCCCGTGTCGCAAGGAACATCACTGGTCTCCTGGATATCCGGCAGCAGAATCAACTTCATGTCTGGGTTGGCCTTGAAAACTGGCTCGAAGCTCTGCAGGGCTGTGTACATGGTCCGACGGAGCGGGGAGGCGACCACGAGGTCGACCTGGTCATGGCGGGGGAAGGTATTGTAGAGTTTGCGGCATTGTTCGTTTCCAAGATCGGTGAGGAGAGGGTCGGGGATGGTGTGGTTGGCAGTGCAGAGGTTGTGGAATCCCTAGTTGGGTGTCAAGATCGAAGATTAGTCACTTTTGATGTTTTGGAGGGGGGTTGGAAATTTAGAATTTTTTTTGCCCCTGGTGACGAAAAAGGTGGATTTGGATTCCGTTTGGTTGGAGGCATACCTGAGCGTGGCGAACACAATGGATGATGGGTGGCATTATGATTGAGATTAAAGATGAGATGATTTGAGCTGAAGAGTGTCGAGTCGAGGATGAGAAGAAGAAGAAGAAGAAGAAGAAGAAGGAAACGCGGGGTAGGCGGGGCAGGATGTAGGAAGAAGAAGAAGAAGAAGAAGAAGAAAAGCCTGGAAAGGAAAGATTTCAGAGATGAAGTCAGGAGTCAGTTATGAGTCATTAGTTAACAATGATAACTTCACCGTGTGGCCCAAACTGGGGACTTTGTTGGTTGACAAGAAACGAGTTTTTATCGCGAGATAAAGGGACGATGTCCGGAGTCTGGAGTATATGTGGCATATTTTACTATACTATGTATTTGATTTAACATTATGAAAGGATACGAATATACCCAAATTATCTCTCCACTTACTCATGTATATCGGAACCCTGCCACCAGAAGCGTATAGCCGGGTCGTGTTTTCCCACGCAGTCCATCACGGAGACCGCTGAGGCACGCGAATCAAAGATACGAAATATGAACCGTTCTATTCCATGCAAAGCATATCCCCCTGTTGCAAGCGTAACCAGTGAGACGCAGCCTTTCAAGTAAAGAACGTGGAAAACAGTAACTAGATGCTTTCCACTTCTCGTCATTCCTTCTTTTCTTCACGGTTTATGTTGGTGGTTCTCAGAGTATTCAGGTGGGCTAGGATTGCCCAAAGCCGGTCCCAGTATTCTGACGGATGTAGATAGCTTCGTCGCTTGTGTTTCATCCGCGATAGAAAAGGATAGCATCCACTCGAACGAGTGGCCATGTTTGATGTTACAGGTGACGAAATCCGGGCAAATAGACAAACCCGTGCTGAGGCGGCGGTCCCCTGCCTGCAGTCCACTAGGATGGAGAACCAGATGGAGAAATTCACCAACATCACTCTCCTGGTTTTCCTTGCTCGAGTCAAATACCAAGGGCGTCTCGAACTCTTGGAAAATCGAGCCCAAGCCGAGGTCGTAGGTAGAGGAATGGTCATCGTAATGAGTCCGGCTGGGAACGAGATTTCCGGGGGCCATGACAACAGTCTTGCACTTGAGGATCATCTGAACAGAGTTCAGTTGGACCTTCTGGACGGTATTGTGAATGTCCTCGCTTGTCGTGCTGGGGTCCGGAGAGAATTTGATCACCAATGGGATTGGCGAGGGGTTTCCAAGCTGGATCACACGGGGTGACTGGACTTGAACCTTGTACCCGAATGTTGGAACCTTGGACGACTGAAACAGCCTTTGCGTCTTTTGCTTCAATGTTAATTCGGCATGCTCCATTCCCGGTAGCAGTCGCTGGGTTCGGACCATATGCTGAAACAGGTGTTGTTGGGGGAGCTGAGAGCTGCGAGATATGGGATTCTCCAACGAGGGATGCTGCAGCAAGAGAGGGAACGTGGCCGTGCAAGTCTCCTGCGAGCCTCCTCCACGGCTATAACTGAGCACACATTCGAGGTAGTATTCTACAAAGCCTTCCGATTTAACCCTCCAGCCATGATTAAAGGAGTAAAATGTGCCAGGGAGTGGCAGTTCGGCGAGAGTATTCAGAGGCAGATAGGTCTCGGTGCCAGAATTATCCAGTGCCAGTGAATGATCCGGCCTTGTGGGCAGCGTAATCGTGAAGGGCCAGGAAAGACACTCGCCTCCGTGGCTGTGACCTTGAGCCAGATGTAATGGGCCTTTCCCGACCAGAGTCCACCGGCCCCGATGGTGGCTGTGTACTAACCAAGTATGTATTGTATATCCCATTGCCAAACGGATGGAAGAAGATATCCCGGGAGCATTTTTGCTCGTGTATAGTACTGGTCAAGGGCAAAGTTGACGAGAGGCTTTTTTATATAGACTTGCTGTACGAAGGTCGCTGTCCAAGCCAAAATAATACCTCCCAATTATTGACATCAAAGGGGAGAGACGGGGAATGTATATACAAAAACTCAAGAACTTATAGTCCGGTTCCTGATAAGAATAATTAATGCCTCTCCAGCAGCCCGAAAAGTCCGCCCATTTTCACGCAACCCCAAATCCCCGCGCATTCTCGAGCGCTTTGTTCAGCTTTTCCTCCAGCACGCTCTTCGACGAGTATTCGGGTAGAAGTAGGCGCCCGAAACACGTCAGGCTCGTGGGAAGGCGCTGGAATAATACCCTGTCAGTAACAACTTCACTACCCCCGAGAAAAAAAAAAAAGAAAAGAAATCGCGCTTCACTTACAGTATCACCAACACCGTTCTTCTGAATCACAAACATGATGCTCGCAATCCCATTAACCGGAACCCGATCACTAGCCGTGACAAATTCCAAAAGCTGTGCCCGTTTCTCTGCGGGAAACTCGCGAGCGACGCTCCAAAAGTCTCGAATCACCCGATGACTTGGCCCAAACCCACCCTCATATCGTGCATGGTGTTCTAGCTCCGCTATATCAATCTCCTGGATCCCCTCCACTACGGTCTTCAACGCTTCTGGGGTGAATATAGACAACGCCGGCCGGTCGAGGCACGTGTAAAACCCCTGCGCAAATGCCTCAAACTGTGCTTGGATCGACTTGTTCGTCAACCAGAAGACGTAGTCGTTGACAAATTTCCCCCGATTCTCGTTGGTTACCAAAGCAGCTTCATCGGACGGTGGTGTTGGTGATTGCAAAACCACAGAGCTAGCAATCGACTTGGGGGCCTCTCCTCGTGAATCGGTCGTCGCGGCCACCGTGGATGACGGGGGACTAAGATTCGCCTGGTCTGTATAACGGCAGACCTCTGACCAAGGGGGCGGCGAGTAGCGAAATTGGGTGCCCCCTGACTGGGAATATGGGAGAGGCCAGGGAGCATCTTTACTGACTTTCTGCATATCAACCGTCTCAACCTTGCCAAATACCTCGAAACTGAACTCGTATGTTCTCATAAAGATATCACCGACGTCGCCTTCATCCCAGGACAGAAGCTCGTCTAGGCCCTTGGTAAGCTCCGGCCAGCCATCCCGGATGTGATCCAAGTGCTTCACCTTGAGACCGAGAAGTTTGCGGTAGAAGGCTGTCGGAAAGTTCACGGGGAGAGTGAGGCCATTATAGACTGCCAGGGACATCAACAGGCCAAGAAGCTCAAACTTGTAAAGTGGCTCTAGTGAGCCAGGTTGGAACCAGGAGATACGGGTTCGGCTGTCCATTGTGAACATTCCATAGGACGGATCAAGAGCCTCAGCCATAAGCACCCTAAAAAATTCCTGTTGAACACCACCATGATCAAGGCCTTCTTCCCCCTCATCCATACCCATCTGCACCTTCAACGGACGCATAAGTTCTCGCCTTTCGCGACGCCAGAGCTGATTTAGGGCGTCAGTGAGAATGTTGTCACGTCGGACAATGAGCACTAGATAAGTACTCATCGAAGTTTTCATTCGAGCAAGTAGTCCAACATCATCTTGAATCTCTATCGCCCCGAAGGCAGTCTGTGTCACATGTCGCGTAGTGGTCATAGCTGCTTCATAGTACTTAGACATAGCAGAATAATTCAGCGCACGAAAGTATATAACCAAAGCAGAAGGCGGAAAGAGGAACGAGTGAGATAAGAGATGCAGAGTCTTATTGCTGGGAACTCGTGCCATCCATTGCACCGGCATCTCCAATGGCTCCAGTCTCTCCGAAAGGAACGGGGTGTGGAAGTCTTCCGCCGTCAGGCCAAGCCGACTTCGATCTTTATAAAGGGCGGACAGTATCTGCACAACACCTCCCTCGGAACTACTTTTGGACATTTCCGGGTTTCCATCCCAGGCCTTCATTAGAAGGGTACGAAGCCACTCAGTGATGATTGCGGGAACGCTTGGTGAACGCAAATCTTGCTCCTCATTATTTAAATTCCCAGTTGTGAGCTCATATTGCTGGCTAAGACTGTCAACAATAAGGTCCAAAATGCTGCTTTTACGCTTCGACGACTCTTGAACGTATCCACGGCGAGCTTTTGAGATCTCGTGGAAGGCCAATCGTGCAGTGAGAGCACGCACGAGACGGTCAGCCAGCCGAAGAGCCAGCTCGTGTTCTAAGATATCAGTAGCTTCAATAACTATCTGGGCATCTTTCACAGAAAACTTCTCCATATCCGCGCTGGTAGCCACAGCCCCAGCGGACCGCATGCGAATCATACCACGCCAGGTAGAGGCATCTATTTCAGGAAGGGAGCAAGCCAAGGCAAAAAGTGCCACAGTAGCAACATCTGCTGCATTTGCATCTGAAACGTATTGGTGATGGGGCGAATCCGATCCACGGCGGACAATTATAGGGCCCGACATTGGCATGGCAGAGTTGGAATGGCAGGATGAACGCCTAGAGCCTCTTCCAGACGACGATAGTTCCCTCGGAGGTACAAACAACGTCTCCAAGGCATTCCACAGGCTATGAAAAATGATATCCCTCGGGCAGATGGAGAACAGTTTGCGCAATGAGGGGTATAGGTGTTCGAGGTTGAGTTTAGGAGTAGCTCTACTCGACTTGGATTCGTTTGGGGGAATACCACTGTCCCGAAACGAGTAAAGGAGTTGTCGAGCGTTTCCTAGAGCATAGAAAACACTTTGCGTGATAAATCTAAAAACTGCTCGTTGTCGGAATGTGGCGTATCGCCACTCAGTGTCCTCAAAGCTGCCACTGAATTCCATGTGAGCCAGTTCGTCCGTCCATCTTTGTGCTTCATCATCTGACAGAACTAGCATCTGTTTCAGCCCGTCAACTATTTCAGTACTGAGATGTGTGAGTGATTGAATGGATGTGGTATCGCGCATATGGTGTTGGCCATGAAGTTCTACACGGTTGTCATCAGATGATTGAACCTCAGACGGTGGTTGTTCCCCTGCTCCAGGAGTAGAATCATGGTAGCAAGTTTGAACGTCATTCAGGAATTTGGCACCGTCCCAAGAAACTCGCCTCTCCTTCTTGGGCTTATCATGTAAGCGGCCTCCATCGGCACCGGCCGCTCTGCCGCGATGCTTCTGGGCACGATGCTTCAACGCGGGTGGCGAGGGTATATTGACAAGCCCATCGGGAGTAGCGTTAGAATGGGCACTGACCGAAAGTTTCCTTGCTGGTTTAAGCTCTGGATGCGATTTCTCATCCAAACTTGATCTCGGACTAGGGCGCCGGAGCTCCGCTTCCGTGAGAGATAGGCGCTTGATCTGTTGATTGGGAAGCCTCAATTCTACCGCAGTTGTTTGACTCCCTGTATGGCGCGATGACGGTGTGTGGGGGTTTGCACCGTCAGGGCGGTATGGGCGATGGCGACTTTGCTGGGGCTGGTCCTTATCCGAGTCGAGGTGTGCCTGGCATGTTTCTGGGTTTGGCGCACGAGAACTAGGGCGACGGAACGCGCGCTCCTGTTCGTGGTCAAATGCGGTAGGAGAGCGGCGAAGAGGCAACCATTCAATCATCCTCAGCGAGAGAGTATCAAACAGGTTTTGAGTAAACGACTTAGGGTCCTTCAATCGCTGATTAACAGTGCTCTTCGGCTCAGACAAAGGCGCTGCCTGCCCTAATGACCCCTGGGTTACCAATGAGCTTTGAACAGCATCGCCTCCAAACTGAGGAGAACCCTTGTTCTCATTCACCAAGGATTCGCTTGACAGCTCGCCCCCAGTAGAACTCGGAGCTGTTGCGGCGGGATCTAAACGGTTCCGTGACAGGTCTGGGTCTGGAGTGGAAGGAGCACGGCTGCGACGTTTCGACCGGCGTTGTTGATCATTGGAAGCAAGTTCGGACGGTACTCGAGAGGCGTTGCGGCAAAGGCCACTTTCCGCATCGTCTAAGCTCGCCAGGTAACAAGCCAGCGTCCGGGCGCTTAGCTCAGTGTAACGACGATACGGCCCTTCTGTCACCCTCTTCCGATAGCTGGCACAGGTTGGGGTTTGGCAACCGGGATCTTGGCATCCGTAGAGAAGTTGGTTCTTATATCTAAAGGCGCAGCAGAATTAGGAACCACCCCTGGCCGAAATTGGCATACATGTATAGACCCACCTTCTAACCAAGAGATTAAACTGCCGTCGACGTTCATCACGATACCACAATAAGACCTGCGCAGGATCCGAAACATCGACAGTATTCTGGGAGATAATGTCAGGGGAATTCAGCGGGAGTTTGGACCGATGACACTGAGATCTGTCAATGCCACCACGAGAGCTCTCGTAGGAACCCACGGAAGGTCCGCGGAGCCGAGTCATTTCGTTGTGCGGCACATAACTTGATTTCTATCAAGAGGGGATCCGACGCGTGAAGGGATTTGACCTGGATTGATGTGTAATAGGATCCGAAGACTGAGATGCGACGAATGATGGAAAGTTGTCGGTGGTAACGGCGACTGGCTTCGGATCACCTCCACTGATCGCTAATCACGTTGATGATAACACCTCAGGCCCCGAAAGTCAATGCCAAGACCGCTCTAGTCCCGTGATTCTGATGAGTCATCCTATGGGTTATGTAATCCCACGGGCTGGCGTAGAAGCACGTGCACCAACGTCATACCGGCCAAAAAGGGAAAGGCGAGGAATTTGTGCGGTCCAGAAGAAACTCTTGTCAATCAGCGAAAAGTGATGATTGATCGTTGTATTACTCATTCTGAGTCTTTTCAGAGGTCGGAGTCTTCGAATAGAATCTGAGAGAACTTCATCTTTTTTCTTATATCTTGTTGACTGTTCTCTTTTGATACTTGCCTGATACGCCAGCGCGAGTTCAATTTTTCTGCGCCTCCACCCCGCCTCATAATCTGAATCTTTTCTCCCCCTCCCACAGTCGCCCAACCATACAACCAGCTTGCTCGGAGTTTCTACCACTTATCAACACCATGGATGACCTACCGTATACTTGTAATACCTGTCTTGTTGCGTTTCGCCGCAGCGATGGCCAGCGCGACCATATGCGCACAGATTGGCAGTCGGTCCCTCCTCCCCAAACAAAAAAAAAAAAAAAAAAAAAACTGTTCACAGATTTGTACCCGGAAATAAAATGCTGATTCCTCCTTTACTCTCTAGTCTGTATAATATGAAGCGCCGTGTGGCTTCTCTGCCCCCTGTTCCCCAGGAAACTTTCAATGACAAGGTCCTGGCCGCTAAAGCCTCATCCACTGCCGCCGCCGCCAAGGCATCCTTCGAGAAAACCTGCCTTGCTTGCCAGAAGACTTTTTACAGCGAGAACTCGTACCAGAACCATGTGAAGAGCTCGAAACACAAGGCCCGCGAAGTCCGAATGAACAGGGACCATGCTGACGACACATCATCTGTCATGAGCTCAACCTTCTCACTTGGTGAACCAATCAACACATCTCGTTCTGGAGAGGCAGATGTTTCTAAGGTTACTGACAGCCTGAAGGAGGCTACTATTGAAGAGGAGGAAGAGGAGGAAGAGGAAACAACTGGAGATGACGAGTACTCGTCTTCCCGCTGCCTGTTTTGCAACATCGAAGCGTCCAGCATTGAAGAAAACACCGAGCACATGTTTAAGAGCCACGGCATGTTCATTCCTGAAAGGTCATATCTTGCGGATCTAGAAGGCCTAATTCACTATCTGTACCGGAAGATCAACGAGAATAATGAATGCCTCTATTGTCATGCCGTTCGAAACAACCCTGCTGGCGCGCGTACCCACATGCGTGATAAGGGCCACTGCATGATCGCCTTTGAAACCGAGGAGGAGCAGATCGAGATTGGCCAGTACTACGATTTCCGAAGCACATATTCCGATGATGAAGATGAGGATGAGTCCAGTGAACTGGTCGAAGATGGAGGTGTCAAGGTCTCGGGTTCAGATGGAGATGAGGACGGCTGGGAAACGGAAACATCTGCCTCCTCATTGGATGAAGACGAAGCAGACAACATGAAGAACGCCCCTGTGGTCTACCGAACCGAGTATGAACTTCACTTGCCCTCTGGTCGCACCGCCGGCCACCGCTCCTTGGCCAAGTACTTCCGCCAGAACCTTCACAACTACCCCAGTGTCCAGGAACGCGTCGAGCGTCAACTTGCAATCGCCAATGGCGAGATAGAGGAGGAACAAAAACCTCGCGGTCGCAACCTCAACCGTGCTGTCGTCAGCCGTGCCAACGGCGGTACGGGCATGATTGGCGTTACGGGCGACCAAAAGCGGGTGGTCGTCGAGACCGAGCGCAAGGAGCGCACTCGTGCCATTCGACAAGAACAAAGATACACAGCTCGTGTCCAACGGGCAGCCAACAACCAAAAGCACTTCAGGGTAAGAATTTTTGTCTTCTGTCTTTCTCTAAACATGACTAACAATCCTTCCAGGATCCCCTCCTCCAGTGATTTTCTTCCCCTTCTTTTTCCCTTGCATGCATACGATCCTATCTACATTGCGACTTTGGTGATGAGTTTTTACGAGGTTTTCTCAAATCATTTTCTCCTGGCTTTTTTTTTTTTCCCCGTTTGCCATTCACAATCAAATCATGGTTAGTTTACACATTATATTATGCTCATGACCTTATCGGCGAGGATTCACTACGATTTCTTAGCCTGCTTGCCGTCCATATAGAATCCAAAGTTGGTTCTTCTGAAAGCTGCATTGCATGTATTGTACATACAAATGTACATCCACAAATGCCATGATTCTCATATAGTACCTATTTATATTTATATCACGATAAAAGTTCACGAATGTGGTGCGACTTTTTTCCGACATAGATAAAACCGGATCCCTACTACTCCGTACTGCCTATATGAGTAACTCGTTAACGACCTTTCCAAAAGTCTCACTAGAGTGGCAAGGAAATGAAAGAGACAACAAAGATACCTAACCACCCAACCACCTCAATAGTTACTAGTAGTTAGTACTAGTTAGTACTAGTGCCTAGGTAAGCCCAAGCACAGACTGACTTCATTCCAAATCCCCGAGATACCTGATACCATAGTGCTCCGTACGTACGGATACAAGATGTAAGAACTCGGGTCCACATGACGTACGTACGTCTCAAGCACGGAGAATACACGGAGTATTACACTGATTATGTGTGATGGATAGGATAGGGTCCACTGTGGCACTGATTAGCGGATCAGGTACGTATCGCCGCTGTCGGCTAACGAACGAGGGATTTTCCACAGTCCAGAGTCCAGACGCCAGAATCAGATCCTATGTAGACTACTAACTAACTAACTAACTAAGTGGGGTTGGGCTTGCCTTACGCCGTCAGAGCGAGAGTAAAGAAATCCACAGGGTCACGCGACTCAAAAACGCTGTAGGGCTATACCTGCTAAGTTATACTATACTATACCAGGCTGTGTAATTAGGTACCTGGAGTTAGATAACTAGTTAACTACTCAAAAAATGATGATTAATTTTGTTCTCGATTGAACTAGGCGGAAGTGCCAGTGCTCAGTCTACCTCACAAATTAGGTACACAACAGGAACCATTCGAGTGAAAGAGGCGGCAAAGCAGAAGAAGAAGAAGAAGAAGAAGAAGAAGAAGAAGAAAATTGATGGGATAGAAATTTGAGGGTTTGATATGAAATGTACGGCGAACCAAAGACCCGCCAATTCGTGAGAGTCTATGGAGGCAATCACTATGCTAATGAACTATACTCACACATGAAAGATGACGATGGAACAAGGACTCTCTGGCCGGCAGAGGGGGAGGAAAGAGATTAGCTTAGGAACGAGAGAACGAAACGGTGTTATCATGGTAGTAGAGGCGCCTCCTCGTCGTTATGACTGCTCAGGTTCCCAGACCCGTGTTTATGTTTGCGGCGCCGGCGACGCTTTTTCGACTTGTCGGTCTGGTTGCCATCTGTGTCGTTGAGATCGACGACGTCGCCTCCCTGACGGACAGGGAACTTAGCTCGAGATCCTTGCCCTTCGGCTTCCGAGGAACTGGTGCTATTTGTATGAAGCACTACTTTGCGGATACCGTTGACATCCACAATGTGTTCTGTAATGCTGCCACTGCGTGCAGGGCCTCGATGGAGATAACCTGAAGGAGTTGGAAGGTCGGCATCCTGGGAACGGGAGTCTGAAGATCCGGTCCGGCGACTGTGAGCTGAACGGGGCGCGCTGTCTTTCTCCTCACGGACTGCTTCTGGTATTGATACGATAAGACCATTTCGCACGCCAGTATCCACCGAATCGTAAGCGCTATTGCTCACTCGCAAAGCATGGACGCCATCGCTTGCGTTAATTCCACCCGGTGGCAAGACATCCCGGTCAAGACTAACAGGCCGAGTAAGCGACAGGGTGCGTCGGGTGTGCGAGTCGGTTGCGGAATCAGCATCCATTAGTCCCGACCGCGAAGGAGAGGTGCTGCCGCGTTTGATCTTTACGTTTTGGTATCGCGTCTGACGTGGGCGGCTGGCCAAGTTGGAAGGCCCCAGATGCTTGAGGTGCTCGCGAATTTCGTCGGTAGTTCCCAGGTGAGTCACTAAAGCATCCGAATCCGAGTCCTTGTCCCCCTGGGAACGGCGGAGTTGAAAGCGCGGAAGAGGCGCTTCTACAGAGCTTCGACGGCGACTCATATTGTGAGTGCTCGGGGCGAGGGCATCGTTGTTCACGTCCATCAAGGTGGCGTGTGTCGGTAGCGAGGGTGGATCTTCAACAATTCGACCCTTAGGAACCCGGGAGTAGGGTGCAGGGGCCATACGTCGGATTGCCTTGTGAACGTCGACAAAGACGTCAGACTCATCAATGATTTCCCTAATTGAGCAACCGGTTAGTTCGCAAATCTTGGTATTCAGTATCGAAACTCAGTATACGTACTCGCCGATCAACTCCTCGATGACATCTTCCAAAGTGACCACCCCAAGGGCGCCGCGATCCTCGCCAGGGTATTCTGAGACCAAGACCATATGCGATTTACCTTCCTGGAAAAAGTTGACGATATCCAAACAGCTAGTCTCCGGGCGGGTCTCGGGGAGGGTAGCCAATGCAAAGTCTCGGACAGGTTTGCAGTCTTCGGGATCGTAGGTAATGAGCATCTTGACCAACAGCATACCAATGAAGTTCCGTGAGTTGTCCGGGGCGTGGATAGGGATGCGGGAATAGCCCTGGGAAAGAATGAGGTCCATCGTTTCCTCATCGAGGATGGTATCCACGGACATTGTGAAGACGTCTTCCATTGGAGTCATAATACTTCCGACGGATTTTTCTTTTAGATCAAGGACAGCGCTGATGATAGTGACTTCGTCGGAATTGAGTTGCTCGCCAGCTTCGCCTAACGTCTTATGAAGGGTAACCAGTGTCTTCAATCCCGCTTTCTTGTAGATGGTTCCGTGGTCCTCTCCAAGGAGCTTATCGAGTAACTTCGCAACGGGCCATGCGACAGGAGCCAAGATATACATGAGGGTGAGGACACCGGGGGCCATCCACGCACCGATTGGCAGACCGTGACGAACACAAATTGACTGGGGGACAATTTCGCCGAAGATGACTATATGCATTCAAAAAAAAAAAAAAAAAAATTAGACAACATCTCAGATAATAGGGGATGGTGAATTACCGATCAAAACAGTACTGCCCAGAACAGCAGGCCAACCGCCGCCAAGCGACCGATCCAGGATGATAGGAAGGGTTTCATTTGTGATGACATTGCTGAGCAGCAGGGTGACCAACACCCAGTGTTTCCCACGCTGCAGAAGTCTCAGGACGCTGGCTGCATTCCTGCGTTCGGAGGGGCTCTCGCCTGATGTCTGGATGACCTGGAGGTATACCTCATCCTGTAGGGTGTCGCCAAGATGGGTCAGTGAGGGGAAGTTCGATATTTCGCAATCGCAGCCAACGAGGGGGAGAACGTACCTGGCCCATCAATGCAATTGTTAACCCAGCGAATGCGCCGCCACTCAGGACGAGGGCGGCAGCCACTCCAAGATACAGCCATAAACTTGGATCATCCGCCGGTAAGGGATCGAAGTGGGAGTGTTTTCGAGCGGTAAGAAAATGAGGTGTAGGAGCAGCAGAGACAAAAGAAACATGGGATAAAGACAGCATCAGGAGTTTTCCCAAGCCTAGGACGACCGGCCGTAGGGCCAGAGAACGGTTGGCAGGTATCGCCATCACCTACAGCAGGTGAAAGGGAAAGGAGACGAAAGAAGGAGAGCAAGAAGCAGACAGGAAAAGAAAATGAAAAGAAGAGAAAGAGACCAGGAGGTAAAAAAAAAAGGAACGAACAGAAAAGAAGAAACGAGACCAGGTTTAGAGAGCCATTCTGGAGGTTTCTCGCACCAGTCGGTGGATGGAGGCTAAACGAGTGGACGAGCGAATTCGATCGGAGAGCACGAAGTAGACCGGAGGCGGATTGGCGAATGACGCGCAAGTCGGTGGAGGACCGGGGGGGAGTGGAAAAGGACGGAACTGCAGGACGGTGGATGGGTTCAAGTCGAAGGAGTATGATTCTTAGGAATAAACGATGCTTGAATGGATAAATTAAAGGACGCAATCCAATTGTCGTCGTGGTGTTTTCCCTTCATCTCCAGGATTGAGGCATCCATCCCTGTTTGCACCTTACAGCTCAGGCTACAGCCGGGGTGTGTATGCCTGAGGCAGGACGACCAATGCAGAATAGATTTGCCCCTCCACTGTTGCCTCAGGCCCCCGGTAATTCTTGCAGCAAAATCCAAAATCTAGAACCTGTTTAGAATCCACTCGGGCTGGGATTTTATTATCAATCGTTATTGAAAAATCAGATATACCTACTAATGCAGAAGTTGGCCCACAAGTTTAGTGTCGGTGATTGCCGACCTAGGTATTATATTTCTCTCGCCTATAGAAACTGGAAATAGTGGTGTAAAGGTTTTTCATACTTTATATTGAAGGAACAAAATTTCAGATATACGGAGAACTATCTACAGAGTATTGCAAGCACTACTGATCTACAATCAACTCGAACTCATTCACCTATTGATCTCTTCTCAGCGCTTTTTGTTGTAATCTCGAGGGTATAAAACAATACGGAATGGCCGTGGTGGCAACTCATCCAGACTTGGTGTAGAAAAATTTGCTATTGTGTTTGAATTAAATGACTAAGAGCAATATTAAGTAAGGTAAGTAAGGATACATTGACTGTAGGTGGTTTTATGGCTTGGATATCTACCTTATATGGATGTATACAGTACTAGGCAAAAAGTTAGACCAGCTCATGAAGACTTCAACTTCAAATAACTTGCAATCATATATATCCATTCAGTAACTAATAACACTCTCAGAATGGTACCTAGGTAGTATATTAACTTGGTTGTTCACTTGTATACTGTCCCAATTAGGAAATGCATTCACCACCTAAAAGTCAACATAACTTAGTCAATTCACTCAGTCAATTCACTCAGTCAACATCCCCCTTTCTCTTCCTCCCTTCTTGTTCTTCTTCTCCTCATCTCATGGCTTCTCTCAGAACAAATTCTCCTCAATCCCTCTTCCATCAATTCTATTACAATAACAACACCTACCAGTCCCATATTAACAACAGGATAATGGCTACCATTGCAGAGCAACTCTTCCTCTATGGCGAGGTTATCGATCCTGAACCAGCAACGGGTCTCATGGCTATCATAGGGTACGCTGACTTGACAGTTGGGGGATCCATGTTGTTTACGGCCATTATCTGTACTAGTATCATAGGAGTACACTGGAGGGAATTTTATCTATGGGGAGTTTCTACAGTGCAGCAGCTCCTCTGGTTTGGCTATTGTATGAGGTCCACGGCGACGTTGATACATTCCAAACGTCACACTATCTACGGTACGAGCAAAGACATAGACACTACTACGGTCTATGGTTAAAACCTTCATCAACTGACCAATAGTGGTAACTACAGACTGGTATTTCCCCTTCGACTGTCCTTCGACCACAATCTCCCGCCTTACGGCCACAGCATCTCTTTGCATAATGGCTTACACTATTGCCCTACCTGTATCATCATATCTCTCCGGCCTGCAAGACAGCTTACTGTCATCAGGCACGGAGAATAGTGGTTATTGCTTTGATACCTTCGGTTACGACATGTCCGCCAGTAATTTATCTCTTCGCGAGTGGATAAAGGCCCTCTGCTACTGCATAGGTGAAGATAACGGTCTTGATTTACTAGCATTTATCGAGGACGACATAAAGTTTTCCCGTCTGTTTAACGGGGATATAGAACACCTTCATATCCTTACCCTAGCGAGCTTATGTCTGTCCGTTGGTCCTCTGGTCTTATTTATCATCCAATCTATTCTGGAGACCGCGATATTCTGCCCCTTCAACAGGCTCTCCCCATCAACGCCAACCCAGGTCGACACCTCAACACAAACTCTGCCAGAGACCACAGTTCACCGGAACGAGGAAATTCTACAAAGCACCGTCGGCAACTACGAGAAACTGCTCGAGAGCAGAACACAGGAGTTAAAGGCGGCGAGGCAGCAAACTGGAGAGGCGTGGGAGCTTTATCACAAATTATCCGCCAGATATACTGTAGCTGAAGAAAGTCGAGCTCGCATGTTTACAGAGAAGCAAGAACTTCGGCGTCAGCTTGCACACAAGGAATGCCAAGTAACCCTTGCGCGAGGCAAACTAAGACAAGCAGAGGATGAGATCTTGGCGAAAATGCAGACCCTCCCGGATAAGGTCAAGCAACTTGAACAACAACTGAGTAAGAAAACCGAGGCGGAGCAGGCTCTACGTAGCGAACTTGAAGATGGCCATGCGCAGATCATTGTAGTGCAGCGGCAGCTGGTGATAGCAAAGGAACAACGAGAGAACCAACATCGCAATAGAAGCAGGGAGGAAGACAGCAGGATTCAAGACCTTGTTTGCCGTAACAACACCCTGGTTGAGCAAACACAAGAAATCACCAGCCGCTTCGACGGTCTTCAAGCTTCATACTCCGAGATATGCCAACGACTTGAAAATGCTCTATCGGCCACTCGGCAGAAAGATGCCCGCATCATGGCCCTCGAAAGCGAGCTCATCTCGACTCGATCTGTAGCGGAGAACATCGTGAAGGAAGCTCAAGAGTCCCTTGCTCAAACCCACCAGACCGAGGCCTCTCTGAGACAGTCTATGCAGGATATCAAAGCCGCCTGCGATGCAACCCTCCATGAGGAACGCGCAGCGAGCGCCGAAGCCCGAAAGTGGGCCTCTTCTCTTGCAGGGGAGGTCCACGACCTACAAACCAAAGTCGGCCTTGCCATGAGAGACGCCCAGCGCAGCCATAAGCAAGCAGTGGACGCAGCCCAAACAATTGAGGTTCTCGAGCGCCGACTAGCCAAGTGGGAAGGCCCCGCGGCGAACGGACAGGAAATCCCCAAACGACAAACCGGAAACATTGGGTCGATCTCGACAGCGCTCGAGCAGTGCCGAGTGACGGTCTCTCAGAAGCAGAATGAGATTAACGATCTCTACCGTCAGCTCGCCAAGGCAAAGACACCCAAGGACGAACTTGGCAAGCCAAGTGTAACACAAGACGTGCCGCAGCTGCGCGCATTTCTAGAATCGGAACGGAGGGCGCGAACTGAAGATCAGGTCCGCTGGGATAGGAGAACTCGCGAATTAGAAGCAGAGAACCAAAGGCTTCGTATTTCCCTATCAAATGCCCGGACTTCATCACGGGCTGGCATACGACGGTCACCGAAGGTATCCTGAATGTACAATCTAGAAAATATTATTGCTTTTTCTCTATGTATAGTGGTTTAGCATATCTCTTTATATCTGTAGGGTTGGCCGGTCATCTCCGAGTGTTCCTACATCAATACCTATACCTTGCTCCATAAATTTATATTTTAACAACCATGATATATGCTAAAATTGACTCTTATAGTCTAAAAAATAGATATGAAAAAAGAGAATCTTTGGAATAGAAGTTAAAGCATGATCCTGTGCTACAATGGTACCTGGAAAAGAAGCTATTATACGGAGTACTGAACTCCCTTGAGCCAGCTCATTGTAATAAGAAATAACTAGATAATGCAGCTTATATGCCTCCTTATTAGTCTAGATCTCCAATAAATACACACGGGTTATTTCTCCTGCATCAATAGCTCGAACTCCCCGCTTTCTAGACCACAGGTGGTTATCTCTATGCGCCTGACAACACCAGGTTTAATATACTTCTCTGGATTTCATTTGTCGCACTGGAGAATAGATACTAGGTATAACCAAGGGAAATATCTGATCAGAAGGGGATGAGCCAGTGTGTTGAATTGCCAGGTCTTGCAGGGTACTTTTGTAAATAATACATTCCACTTATATCCCCTGCAACCCCCCCCCCCCTGTCTTTGTACCGCTTGTACTCTGAATTTCAAGGGTACCTTCCCCCAGCCCATATGCCGACAAAGTTGCGTGTGGATGCCTGTATAGGTAATCAAGACTATACTGATGCTGTGGTTGTCATTGTCGGAGCTGGCATATCAGGTGCGCTTTGTGTTTATCCGGTGTTTGAAAGGGGGGTGGCTAACACGGATATATTGACACCAAGGGATGTGTATGGCAATTGACCTGATCAAGCGCAATCAGTGCCACAACTTTGTAATCCTCGAGAAGAGCAGCGGGGTGGGCGGAACATGGCGCGATAACAAGTATCCTGGATGTTCTTGTGATGGTAAGATGCCTTCCTACTGGGAGGTTGTTCCCTCTTACCCCCCTTGATATTTATTGATGATTGCGTCTGCTTCCGACTCGGACGGTAGTGGCGAGTGTTTTGTATAGCTACTCGTTTGAGCAATCCACCAGGTGGACACGGGAGTATGCAAATCAGGAAGAAATACTGGTGGGTGGATCGATCCATAACGGCGACCAACCGAGAACCGGGTTATGTAGAATTACCTCACCTGAATCGCCGAAAAGTACGGACTGTATAGGTATATTCGCTTCAACTCCGCAGTCGAAGAAGCGAAATGGGACGACCAGGAGATGAAATGGCACGTCAGCGTCAAGGTCTCTAGAGACAAGGATAGCCAATTCACCAGCTCTTACGTGCTCGACTCGGACTTCCTGATCTCTGCTGTCGGGCAGTTAAATATCCCCCAAGCACCTGATATCCCCGGGTTGCAAGACTTCCGCGGCAAGGTCATGCATTCGGCGCGGTGGGATTGCACCTATGATTTCAGCGGGAAGCGGGTTGCTATTATTGGAAACAGTGGTTGGTTTGCATTCTAGTGAGGGATCAAATACTGACTGCGCTCTGAATAGGCGCGACGTCTGCCCAGGTCGTCCCCGAGGTAGCCCAGGTTGCGTCGCATCTTACGGTATTCCAGCGCACGCCAAACTGGGTGATACCCCGTCATGACACGCGCATATCTGCCTTCCAACAGGCACTGCTGACATACATCCCTCCGTTACGGATGCGAAAACGCGCCCTGAACATGGACTTTCGCGAGAGCTTTTATGCCGCAGTCAGTGACTCGGCGTCCGGTTTCGCAGAACAGATCCGCCACTGGTGCAGCCAAGGCATGCAGGCCCACCTATCAAACAAACCGCAACTGTGGGCGAAGCTCACTCCAGACTACGCCCCGGGATACAAGAGGGTGATCATTGCTGATGATTACTATCCTGCTCTTGCGCGGGAAAATGTGGACTTGGAAACTCGCCGGATTTCCCGCATCACCAACACCGGCATTGAGGTGGAGGAGGGTGTTCTGCAAGAATATGATTTTATTATCTTGGCCACAGGATTCAAGACCGTGGAGTTTCTGTATCCAATCCGAATTCACGGCTCTCAGGGTAGACCTCTTTCTGAGATCTGGCGCGAGGGTCCCTCCGCATTCAAGGGTGTCACTGTCGAAGATCTGCCCAACTTTGGTATGGTTTACGGACCGAATACAAGCCTTGGTGAGTGAAAGGGACTGAAAAATTATTTTCTCCATCTCTAATATGATTTCAGGACACAATTCAATCATCCTCATGATTGAGGCGCAGTCCCGATACTTGAGTGCCTTGGTTGGCGAAGTGTTGCGCGCGCGTCTGCAAGGGAAAACTTTGGTAATCAAGCCAAAGCCTAGCGCATCTGCGGAGTACAACCATAAACTCCAGGAGATGCTAACCAGGACGAGCTTTGCGGATTCTCGCTGCCGCAGTTGGTATAAGACGGAGCAGGGCAAGATCACCAGTAATTGGTCCGGCACTGTCGTTGACTACCAGCGCCAAATGTCTCAAGTAAGCTGGACTGATTATGAGGTAGACGGCACCGCAAAGGACGCCATAAAGTCCCGGAAGGTAACTCATTTAGGGCGAGTCCGCGAGGAGTCCTCTGGGAGCTATACCTCCTTGCTCTTGACGTCTGCATGCGTACTAGCTGTTATGGGCGGACTACTTCTCAGGGGGTCGAGTTTGCTGCGAGCTCATTAAGAAGCCGGATCAAATAGGTTATTCTAAGAATTGCACTCCATTGTTTAATCTGTAGCTGTCGTTTAAGCATGGAAGAACGTGGATAAAACTGTTAATTTCTGGGGTTGATATGCACTAAGCCCAAAAAGGATATCCACAATCTTATGCACACAGCTGAATAATCCGGTATAATCCATCAACACCAAAACAATCCTATACAGAAAGTATCCTCAAGAGGAAACAATCCAACAGTACAGAACAGAATACAGCCATCCCAACCATTCATCTTCCCTATTTTCTGGCACTCAATAAAATATCCCTCATTGTTACCTCTATCACGGCTCGGTCCCTGAAGACTTCACACACCCACCAATAGAAAGGGTATAAGGGTCCGTCCCTCCTCGCTAGTCCCTGGCTAGTGGTTTAGCAACTCCTCCTCTTCCAGCAACAAGAGCCAGTTTGTCTCAACGGGATTGACCCCTTCATCTGGTGCCATTCATCGTGGTGTTTATTCGGTTTTTATTATCCTTTCATTGCCTCTCTTTGTGCATTCTCCCCCTTCCCATCGCCAGCCATTCCTTTACTATCGAGATCACTCTGTCAATCGTTTCCGTACTGCAGCCCTGCATTCCCTCGTTGAGTCCTTTATTGCGATCCGCGTCCCCATCCTGTTTCAGATATCGCAGTCGGAGTGTCTCTCTCCCCACCTTGATATTCTCAGTGAAATACCTTCTGCCCTACCTGCCAACTTCAGTCTCCTTATCTTGGCGAAACGCGCAATTTCATCGACCTGCACATTGTTGCAGGCCCAGCGTCAGTCTGCAGGACCAATTCAATGGACCTTAGGGTATGGCGCGCATTTGATTCTTGACCAGTTTCACAGGTGACCCCTGAAACATCAAAAGCGCTTAATCCATGACTATGCGCCATTGAGGGTCACGACCATTTTTCTTCGGCATTCATTTATTCATTGTTGCCTGTCGCTCTTTAATTTTTAGTCGTTCCTTTTGGAATCAATTCAAGCAAGTCTCATCCGAGGCTTCTCGCTCTTTACCTTTATCACTCGTGTTGCGATCGTGACTTCGTTCGGCTGGACCGACGAAGTCAATTTAATCCTCGGACCCCCTCTCGTTGACGTTCGTTCTCTTGAGCTTTTGTTTAAGGACAGCTCTTGTACAAGATAAGATGGCCTGCTGTGGAGAGAGGGAAAAGGGAAGTCCAGTTGCCCTGGAGGAACAGTGGGATTATGTGGTAGGATCCGAATCCTTGCGCGGTATACTAGATCCCCCCCCCCCGGTTAAGCTAACATACACCTGTTTCCTAGAACCTCGATGACTTTAAATCGGAGTCCTGTCTCTCGCCATTCTCCTATTTCTTTCTTGTTGTCCTCCTCTTCGTTTCAATCGCTGTATACGGGGTGGATACTTTTACCGCCGTCACTCTCCTGGCGTTCTCGCGATGGGCAGGACAGATCGAGCCCGCTATTCCTTTTGAAATTTCGCGATGGATTTTCGCTGTCTGTATTTTATTTTCCTTTGCTCTTTTGGGCTATAGATGGCTACGTGCGATCCGTGCTATCCGGTCTGGGAGTATCGCACAGAGTTATTTGGATTCTCTTGCTGCTCGTGTTCAAAGCGTTCGCGTCGGTAGCCATGGACGTGGCTGGAGGAGATTTCTTGTCTTTGCTGAACTTACCAAGAGTAAGAAGGGCGCTGAATACGTAGCCTTGTTTGCTTATTTTTCCTTTGAAAGTGAGAATTGCTCCTCCCTGCGTTTAGTGCCCGGCATGGCTAACATGGACTAGGTTGGATGAACACTCTTCTTGCGGATGGACCACGACAGGTTGTTAATGCAATTACACTATATTCAGTGATGCGCATGGACCTTCTTCCTGGAGGCGAAAACGCGGTTGAGGAGAAGAACAAAGCCGCAATCCTGCAGTTCTTCGACAATGTTCGGATTCTTGCAGAAGAGAACAACCTTCGTGCCCTGGTCTTGGCCGGTATGCTCTTCACTCTTTTCATTTGGGTGTTGTCGATTATCAAGCTGGCGCTCGCGATCATTCTCTATCTTATATTTTTATTCCACCATATTCCATCGGAAGATGGCACATTAAAGGCGTATTGTCGCCGCAAGATCAACTCTCGGTTGACGCGAATTGTTCGACGCAAGGTCAATAAAGCCCTGGCAAAGGGAGTCGCTTTGAAGGACCGGACTCCTACGAATCCTAATCTCGCGGTAGATCGCAACCCCACCCTGCCGACATTCGGGGACGGTGACAAAACCCCTATTGTATCGACCATTTCGCGCTCCACGACTCAGACAACTTTAGCTACGCTCCCACCAAGCTCTTCACATCCAGGAACCGCCGCCCTTCAAGAGCGCGAACCTACACTTCCGGATCTCGGAGCGGTTTCTGACAAGCTAATGCTTACCCGAACGGCAACCCAATCCTCAGCTTATTCAGAATCGGTATCATTGTCTGGGACAACTGCGGCCTCCGCATACAGCCCACTAGATCGGCAAACATCGCCCGCTCCACCGGTCCCTCCTCTTCCTAATATTGCGGCATTCCCCGCAAGCCGCTCACAAACGCCGATGTCCCGATCAACCTGCACTCCCGCTCCTTCTGTAGCTCGCGGACCTCCCAGCCGCATGGGCTCCGCGGCTGGATCACGGCACCCCATGGAAAGACCCGACCCGTACAGTCCTGAAGGTTACGACGATCCACGGTCAGGAACACCTTTCGGTCCTTACAGCCCGGCTGTGGACCCATACACAAGAAGTATGACACCAGGGACTGCCATATCTCCTGATACGGCCCCTAATCGAATCCTTTCTCCTACCGGCTACAACACTCGTCGGCCACCTCCTACTGCATACCCCCAACGCTCTTTTACACCTGGAGGCCAAGCGATGGATCGGGGTTCCCCTGCCTACTATCCAAATGAAGAAGAACCAACCCGCACTTTCTCTCCTTTCAACCCAATCAATACTCGTCAGCCACCTCCTGCTGCATACCCTCAACGCTCTTTTACCCCAGCAGGTCAACCTGCAGATCACGGCTCACTAGTCTACTCAAATGAGGAGCAACCTAACCGCACTTTCTCTCCTTTCAACCCAATCAATACTCGTCAGCCACCTCCTGCTGCATACCCCCAACGCTCTTTTACCCCGGCAGGTCACCCTGTAGATCACGGCTCACCAGTCTACTCAAATGAGGAGCAACCCAACCGCACTTTCTCTCCTTTCAACCCAATCAATACTCGTCAGCCACCTCCTGCTGCATACCCTCAACGCTCTTTTACACCAGCAGGCCAATTTGCAGATCAAGGCTCACCAGTCTACTCAAATGAGGAGCAACCCAGCCGCACTTTCTCACCCGTGAGCTCACGCGCAATCCCACGACCACAAGACGGATATGCAGCGTTTAATCCTGCTGCCAGAAACACCCCTGCACCACGTGGTGGGCCAGGCTACGTTGCCTCGAGCGAGTATGATGGAGAGCCTCCAGGTCCGGCATATTCTTCGCCATCATACACCCCTCAACCAACGCCCCATCGCCAAGACCACTAGTTCGTCTCCCTTGCAGATGCCGGTGCACATCTACTGTATTCTGGGAAGACGCCGCAATTGATGTGTTAACGACATGACTTGGAGGAGCTGGCTGTATCTTCTCTGGTTGATGAGTGAGGCAGTGTCTGGAACGCTTTCAAGATACCCCTGTTTAGTATTTGAAATTCTGGGCGTTTCTGGGTGTCGATGTCAGCTAAGCGGGACTTTTAAGCCATCGATAGATAGATTTCTTTCTTAGGATACTGATATCCCTTAAATTGACCCTTTTGTGCTATCCCACAAGACTTGTACCCGAGCTGTAGTGGCTGACCGCCTTTGACCCGCAGTCCCAAAACATCTGCAACTCCACAACCTCTGGAACCTTTCTCCACACCCAAGTTTGTCCCTTGGTCTCGTAATTCGGGGACTTTTTAGCAAGGCTGACTTGCTTTCTTTGCATAATAACTACATGTCTCCTGTGAACTCTGCCTTCCTACTGTCGCGTTGGAAATCTGCTGCGTTTGTCTCTGCATTAGCATCATTATCGCACCCGGAAACGTGTTCCTTCTCATCACCGCCTCAACATATCTGGGGATCATGATCTCGAAATCCTCAGTTCACCCCGATCTCTCCTGGCTTAGAATTTGTTAGCGATACCCGGCATGAACGGATCAAACAGCAACCCCACCACCGAGCCAGCCGAGCCCACAAAAGGGGGTTTGCGGAGAGCAGAAAGTGGTACGACTTCGCAACCATGGACGATCCCACCTGCGCTGCAGGGCGCGAGCGACAACTCTGATGCGAGATATGGATATAATGGAAATGGCGTTGCATCTCGAACTGGGGTTAGAAGTGAAGATCACAGTCGTCCGGGATCTTATGAGGACTGGAAAGGTGGCCACTTCCCACTAATGTCTGATAAGGCCTTCGGTTTGGTCTTGGAACACTCCCAAGAATGTCCAGCTAGATCTGGCCAGGAGCATCGTGTAAAACATCGGACTTCTTTAGTGGATGTGCTCGAGGGCTCTGAAGCTACAGCTACTCTACACCGAATCACTCGGGAGCCATCACCAACAAGGAACCTGGAGAAGGACCGTATCCAGAAGCTTTCTCCAGCCAAGATTCAGGAACTCACCTCGTCACCGCAGTCTATTCCTTATCGTAACGCACCGCCAGACTCGGACCAAGGTTCAGCACGAAGACTCGTGTCAGATGGCCAATCTGCCACCCTATCCTCAACCGAGTCCGACGACGCTACACTAAACAAGGTCGATTTGAAACACCCTCTTGAAGAGATTCCTAGATTGCGACCTCATAAAGACGTACCCGCTCTTGATGGACTAAATGGGTTCAGCTTAAAGCCAGCCCCGTCCACCCGAAGCCGTCCTCATTTAAGTCGTGCTGTTTCCACTCCGCAGTCCTCAAAGAAGCAGGCTGTCTCAGGCAACACCAATGAGCGGCTAACTCAAACGTGGGCATCTAGGACTAAGCAGGATCGCCCATCTATTAGCCGCGAAGCTGAAACAAAATACCTTTATAACCCACCTTTGCTGCTCCCGGAGCCTGCGTTGCCATCGCCATTACCTCAGAATATTCCTCTACCTCCCCTATCCATTCCCACTCACCTGCAGCTGGAGCTTGCTTCGGGTAGGCCTTCCCCTCTATATATTCATCGCACAGCTATGAGTGACTTTCCATACGAATCCTCTCGTGCCAAGCTCGAGCGACTGGTGAACTTTTTAATGCTTCCCCCAGCCCTAGAGCAGGTCCTGTGGTTTGGCATCCTAGCGTGTCTAGATGCCTGGTTATATTCTTTTACCATCCTGCCTCTTCGCTTTATCAAAGCCGTGTATATTCTTCTTTCGTCATGGGTTGTGAATCTTGCCCTGGAGGCACGATTCCTCGCAGACTTCGTTAGAAAAGGCGTCGGACGGGTCTGGCGTCGACGGAAGAGAGCGCCCTCTATATCATCCTCTACTACACCAGAGACTCCCCCAATAACGCCGATGGAACGAGATATCAAGTCTTCCAAGGCGGTGGATCTGCGTCGAAGATACCGCACAGATTTGCACCATCGCCATTCCCATCGGAGACAAAAGTCTATCCCGTCGACCCTCCTACCTGATGACAAAGCCGATATTCTCAAAGGGCTTTTGATGATCACTACCTGCTCAGTCCTAATGTATTTTGATGCAAGCCGGATGTACCACTGGATCCGCGGACAGGCGGCCATCAAACTCTATGTGATCTATAATGTATTGGAAGTCAGCGACCGTTTATTTGCCGCTCTTGGCCAGGATGTCCTTGAGTGTTTGTTCTCGCGCGAAGCATTAGAACGCCGGCCTGATGGGCGCAGCAAAGTATTTCGGCCATTTGGACTCTTTTTGCTGGCGCTCGCCTATACTATTATCCACTCAACCGCCCTGTTCTACCAGGTCATGACACTAAATGTGGCCGTTAACTCGTACTCGAATGCTCTGATCACATTGCTTCTCTCCAACCAGTTTGTCGAGATCAAGTCTTCGGTCTTCAAGAAATTCGAAAAGGAGAACCTCTTCCAACTCACCTGTGCGGACGTGGTGGAGCGGTTTCAGCTTTGGCTCATGCTCACCATCATCGCGTCTCGCAATATTGTTGAAACCGGTGCTTTCCAGCTTGGAAGCAGTCTGCTCAGTACCAGTGTTAGCGGGGCAGCATCTACCACCAACAGTACGCCGCTGTCAACGCCCCCGAAGTCGTCATCATCGATTCTCCCACAGGCGTTTACATTATTACCATCATCCATAATTGCATCCTTCAGCCACGTGCATTCGTTCCTCCCGACGCTTGCGCAGGTCCTTGGCCCGTTTCTTGTCGTCCTCGGCTCCGAGATGTTCGTTGACTGGCTGAAACATTGTTACATCAACAAGTTCAACAACACACGACCCGCCATCTACGGGAGATTTTTGGATATTCTCGCCAAGGACTACTATACAAACGCCTTCGGTAACCAGAATCTAACTCGCCGCCTGGGACTTCCGGTGATCCCATTATCATGCCTCTTCTTCCGTGTTTCGGTTCAGACATACCAGATGTTGCTGGCTTCCCTTCTTCCTCAGTCTCCTTCGTTGTCGCCTTCTTCGTCCATCGCAGCAGAATCGACATCTCTCGCGACGATTCACAGCCAGCATGTTCCCGCAGCGGGCCCAATCCCATCCCTGGCGCCAATTACGCTGGGGAACCTCCTCCCGGCCACCGCAGCCCATGCAGAAGCATTGGTCCGACAAGTTCTAGCCAACGCCATGCCGTCCCCCGCGCAATCCGTCTATATCTTCACAATTGTTCTAGTGCTGACGGGATTTGTTGTCTTGCTTATTCTTAAGCTTCTCCTGGGCATGGTCCTTCTGGCCTGCGCCCGATCTCGTTACAAGACCATGAAGCACCGTGAAGGTGTGTCTGCAGCACAGACATCCTCCTCTACTACTACTACTACTACTACTACTACGCCTGGAGTTGCGGAAGGCAGTGGAACGGCTCGGGCGCGTGATTATGTGGTTGAAGGCGGGCGCCGTGCGGGCGGCTGGGGGGTGGTTGAGGTCAACGAAGACCACCGACGATGGATCTACGCTGACGATGCGGAGGGATTGCGCCGCTTGAAGGAAAAGGAGAAGGACAAGGGCCCGAAGGGAGACGAGTTGCGTTTAGATCATGTGCAACGGTACGAGATGGCCGCGAAACGGATCTGGTAAGATATATGTATATATTGGATGTTGTACCCTTGTATCATAATCCCATTTAGATAGAATTGATGTAATATAACAAGCGGAGTGCGTCTCCCGCATAGATACTCGAGAATGCATTCTCAAGATGACATGCCATCTAAAGTCCTCCCGGATCGTAATAATAATAATAATAACAGAAATGATTCTCAGATAATCCAGGATACAAGCAAGGGGGTTTGTTTACATTCTTAACCATCACTGAATACACGAGCAATCATAAGACCGGTATGGTATATATCCCGTTGTGTAAAGCTACGAAGATTAAAAAGTACCTGTGAAGAAACCACAACAGTCAAATACTATGAAAAGAAAAACGACATTCTGACTTTTCAATAACTCTTTTGCTTCCCATCACTCCCTAATACCCAGCTTCTCTCCATGGGAAAACAGCCGGGTTTAACAAAGACAACCTCCTCTATGTCCGTTGTTTATTCTCACCCGAACCAGTCCCGCTATAATGCGACGTAGACGAATCCTTCGAAACCCCAGTGCTTTCATTCGAGCCGCCGCCGCTGCTGCTCGTATGCTGGGAACTACTCGCCCAGTGGTCGCCGGCAGCCTGCGCCCGGGCCGCGAAGCCCTGCGACGACATATCGCCTGCGCCTTTCGCCTATACAGATGTTTTGTTTAGATTGGTCCACGGGACGGGACAGGACAGCAGAGGGGGGGGCTTTACCTACCTGTGAGGATTGGATCCGGGAGGCGTCGGATTTCGTCATCTCATGTCGAGGCATTTTGCTTGTTCAGTTTTCAGGCAAAGGTTTTGGGGGTTGAATTTTGTGGATTGTGGATTGTCCTCTGGAGAGCGAATGTTCTGTTTATCATCACTACCTGGTTATATATAGTTAGGTAGGGATAGAACTAAGGGGGTTAGGTATACATGATGTAACCAAGTCACACAACAAGCGAACTACGTAACCAAAAGATCATGGGTCTCACAGCGTGTGGTCTAGATTACATGAAACCAAGTTATGTATGTGGTAGCAGCATCTCGAGCTTCCTGAATCCGAAGGTTGTAATCCGGGTTGGAGCCCATCTGTCGTATGCTGATCTCTCTACGGTAGGATACAGTGCTTCGCTTGCTGATCCATAGAGTATACTAATGTAGACACTTAACCCATTCTAGGTTTATACATATCTTTATTAGCAGCGACAATTCATATCGTTGTCTTGGGTTTTATGAAACATCATAATATCAATAAGTTATCTTTAAAAAAAAAAAAAAAAAAAAAAAACCCCGACTAGAGTAGCTACACTAATCAAACTCTCTCTGGCAATCGCGAAAACACATAGCTAAATATCTCCCGGCTTTTATACAGATTTTCCACCCGCAACCGTTCATTGTACAAATGCGCATTGTCACTAGCCTGTCCGCACGGCAGATTGGCCGCTGGCGCCGAGAACTCCTTCTCTAGGAACCGGATGGTTGGAATAGAGCCACCCTCGCGAATGAAAATTGGTCGAACTCGGCCTTTTTCCGGCCCGGACGTAGAAAGAGACGGAGACGGAGACGGAGACGGAGAAAGGGGAGTCGAAGAAGAAGCAGGGACGGGGGGCGGCGAGGAATTCGTCGAGTCCTCTGCGAGACGCTTTATTGTTTGACCGGTGAGTGTGGATGAGGTGGGGACCGTCATGCTGGGATTGGAACGTTTGCGCGCTGCGGCTTTCCCGGCGGACGAGGTGGTGGTGGACATGATGATGCGGTCGATGTGCGAGGCAAGACTATCCTCGGAGGCTGGACGGCGGAGTTCGCCGGTGCGGCCGTCTTTTGTACCTCGCGGGCTGGCGGTGCGTGTGCGGTCGGTGAGGGGACGCTCTAAAGGAGGATACTGGTGTTTCTGGCATTGCTGATCTGGAGTCCAGGCGGCCGTGATGGCCTCGGATAGGGTCTCAAACATCTCGTTATCTGGATCGCCGAGCCAGGGATCCGAGGTGCCTGTGATTTCGACGGTGAGGTCGTTTTGGGATTCGAGACGGTCGAATTGCTCTTGCGCGTACAGGGTCAAGGCGGCTGCAACATCGTCGGCTTCTTGGTTGGGGACGACGCGGATCGAAAGACTAGCTTTGGCTTTGCGGGAGATGGTGGTTGTGGTGGATTTGCTGTTTCCGGGAACTTCCACCGAGTGGATTGTGAGCGATGGTTCGCGCCATCGGTGCATCAAGGAGTTGATTAGGGCCTCAGAGTCTTTAATTTGGGGGTGTCGTTGCAGGAGGATTTCAGCGATCATACTGTATCGCTCTCTCTCGGCGTCGGTTAGCGGGAGGACTGGGTCGTGGAAACCTGGAAGGTTGATTTTGCCCTTGGGTCCTACTAGGCTGCCCAGAAGCATCGTCAGGTCCTTGAGCGGTTCGTCGAGCAGAGCACTTCCGTCAATACCACTGTGAAGGTCTGGGTGGTCACTGGTGACGATCAGATTCGCATGCACAACACCGCGTAGACCGTAGGTAAGACAAGGGTTGTAATCGTCTAGCCAGTAGCTATTGGCCAGGAGAATCCAGTCAACAGGTCCAATCTGGGGCTTGTGCTTGCGGACGGTTTCGTGGAACCCCTGCGAGCCCGATTCTTCCTCTCCCTCGATCAGGAAAACCACGTTACAACGAAGAGTTTTCTGGCGTGCTAGGTCTGCCGCAGCGTATAGGGCGGCGAGGATTGGACCTTTATTGTCAGAGACACCACGACCGTACAAGAACCCATCTATGGAAGCTAATTGATAAGGATCAGTCTTCCACTTCTGTTGATTGCCGTCTGCACCGACAATATCGTAATGACCGTAGAACAGGATGGTCTTGTCGACTTTATCGGGAGATGTTGCACAAAAGCGAGCAAACACAATCGGATTTGTGTCTTCCCCGGTAGTTAGAAGCTTTGTCTTGGCCCCTAGGTAGATACAGTGTCGACGAAGAAATGCCGCGCCTTGGTTGCATTCGCCGGAAAATTTAGGACTAGCCGATATAGTCTTAAACGCAACCAGTTTGGCCAGAGAGCTGACCATTTCATCTATGATGTGTTATTAAACCCCCCTGCAGTTAGACGAGTTAAATCGTTATTTTCATACCGTTGTTGATCGCAGGCAACTCATTCGCAGCAGTGTGCACATCCATCAAATCCCAGATTCCGAGGGTGTTGTCATTTCCGCCAGATACATAAATGTAGCGGTCCTTGTATTTACCAGCAGCGGACGCTAGCATAGTGCCTTGATGGGCGGTCCAACTGCCGACTTCTTCAAAACGCGAGTTGAATTTCTAGTCAGGTAAGTTAGCAAGGTCGAGAGAGAGTCCTAGGCTTATTCGTACCTTGACGATTCCGTTTGAATCTCCACAAACTGCCATGCCGTGAATGATATCTACCGCCCACAGATCTCCTGTATGTGCCGTGATACGCTTCACCAATTGATGGGAATCCAAATTCCAGATGTTTAGCGCGCCTCCAGCTAGCCCACAGTAGAGGAATGACCCGTCGACGGCAACGGAGAGCACCGGATCAGCGTTCTGGAGCTTTGCCATCTGGGTTGGCACCATATCCGCTTTGTCTTGCTCCAACCGCCAGAGCTTGACAACGCCATCACCAGCTCCGGTCAGTAAGACTTCATCGTTGGGCGAGGACTCAAGCAGGCCTCGAACAAGAGTCATGGTGTAAATATACCCGTGGTGGGCAAACAGCCTGTGATGATCACGTCTGAAGGTAAGAACCTGGCCTCCGTGCGTGATGGAATGGCCATCCTCTCCGTTTGGCCGGGGAGCACGAGAGCCATCAGGTCCCCGGGAGTCAAAGAACCGATGGGTGCGTTTGGACAATTGGGCCGCAGTCTGTTGGGTATATGCGGCACCAGTTTGGGAGATATTGCACCACTGGTATGCGGTCAGGAAATAGAACTAGGAGCATATTGTCATGACAGGTCGTCAAGGCCATGCACTCACTTGGATACTCGTGTTTTGTCCGCCGCTGTAGATAGTCTTCAGTCTCGACGAGTATGCTACAGCGAACAAATCACCCACATCATGATGGGAATGGATAGAATAAAGTCGTTCAAAGGTCCTCGTGGACCAAACCTATGGCCAGTCAGTTGCAATCCGAACAGCAGGTCAAGACCGGACAGCTCCCTACATTGACGACCGAATCGCCGCCGCTGGAGAAGAGAAGATCCCTATCGTCGGATAGGTACAGATCAAGCACACTCTCTTGGTGAGCATGTACCGAGAGAACCAGATCATAAGTTTCAAGAGACCACGCCTGCGAAAAGAGTTAGTATTCTCTTGTTCTGGTTCGTCGGGGGGAAGCAGCTCCGTCACATACTACGATATGGCCGCCCTGCAAGCCAGCAAAAACGCAATCCTCATCAACTACAAGGGCCAGCACTGACCTACTAGCCTGGACCCGATGTCCAATGCCACATTCGATATAGGCGGGCGGGTTGTTGGTGTCATTGTGGGCGAGATGTGGTGTCCGTGAGGGCGGGTCGGATTCCCACGCTTTCGTCTGATCATCAATTTCTGATGAACTATCAGAATCGGCGAGTACTGTGTGTTCCATTGAAGACTCAGCCTATGTTCTTGTCCTTGGTCTTTTATTATATTGATTCTTATCAAAACCAAAAAAGGAAAAGGACAAGCGGAAAGAAAGTTGGCCAGTGACTCCACGACCGTATGGTGGCACGTGATGTTTGTCCCAACAGAAATTCAGACTCAGGCAGCCAACGAGATGATTTTTTGCGAATGAGTAAGAAAAAATACATCAAGACCCGTAGTAGAATTCTACAGTACATAAACCGATACAAGAACTCTACCATGTTGTGATCTGCCTTGGTGAGAAGGAAAAATGGCAGCGAAATGCGAATGTGCAGGGGATGTGGCGGTGCCTGTATACTGTATGTATGTACTCCGTACTGACCTCTCGTTCGGTCGGGATGCTTCCAACAGCAATTTCCTCTGTCCAGTCAACTCCTATTCGGATCTCTTTTCGGATCTCTTTTCGAGTTTGATTACAGAGATTATAGGAGATGGGTTTCCGGCTCACCTTGGTTCCCATAGTAAACGGGCCAGCAAGGCGTCTGCCGCGCATTGGGACATGATGATGCACCGGCTCTATTTATCCCATCGAAAGGAAAAGAAAACCAAGCTGATTAAAGTATATTCCTCTCAAATGCGGATCTTGACGGCCCTTTTATATCGAGGAATGAGAAGGTGGGATGTTGTTGCAGGTACAGGACAGGGCATCTGCCAACTAAATACATAGTATAGTGTACAGAAGTGAGATGCGTGTAACCTGCTTGGGTTGCTCTGCAGCCAGCATTCCTTTTACTTATCAACCCCGAAGGTTTTCTTTGTCATACCACTTTAGAAATCCGATCCCTAATCCCATAATTGTATTTCTTGAAGTACCTAGAGAGTACCTAGGTACTTAGGTGGGTAGAGTAGAGAAGTAAAAAGTTGGTTTCCCGTGACTGTCTTCCCTAGCCACAGTGGCGGTGTTCTATACAGCCAATCAGAATCTTTAGCATCACCGCCATTTTTCTATTCTTACAACACAACTCCGTGCTCCAGACTCAACCAACTGAAAGAAATGTAATCATCAGGCTCTCGTCTGAAATCTTCTCCTCGTCACTTGGCCACGAATGAACTGGACCTCCTATGGTGCATTCTACCCAAATCCAACCTCCATCGCTACCCAAGCATCACCGAACCAATCGTGCGCCCTCAGGATGCGATCGTGCTGGAGTAAGCCAACACACGAGATGGAATCGACTATCATCCTGACAGCCAGTCAAGCGCCGTTTTGTTGTCTTCCACGTCCCTACCTACTAGGTACGATACACTTACTTTGTCCTACCCGGAACAACCTCCTGTTCGCTGCTTCGTGCCATTTTTAGGCGCCTGGATCCCTTCCCAGCCCCCTCCTTTTTGAAAAATTTTCTTCGGCTCGATTTCTCTTTCGCTGCCTCTTCGTCAAAGTTTGAGACGCATCGTGGCGTGGCTATCATCGTGCATACGGAGTACTACTTGTGGTCAAATTCCCCCCGTCCCGAGCTGTATATATTTTCGGCCTCAGCGGCATCTGGCACAGCTCTACCTTCAGGCATCTCTATTTCAAGGAGCTTTTGTTGCACTGGGTTCCTGGGCTCTTTTTACATCATATCTATCCAATTTCCCTCCTCCATCTCGAGATCCAGACCGACACGCGGCAAGTGTGCTGGGAGATCAGCGTCATTTCTCCACCTGGACCCATCTCGATATTTACAACCCCTGTCCGTCTGTTTTCACTACACCGCTCGTCTTGCGCCTATTCAAGCGGCTTCATCCCCATCATTGATCCCTTATCCAATGCTCCCCGTCATCTGAGCATCGTGTGGTCGGGTTCGAATCTCCAGGCCAGGTCCCTTGACTAGTTGTGATCGTTTACACCCCTCCCCCTCCAATCTCGTTTATCTCTTCGCAAAGAAAATCATCAAATCACCATGCCCTTCGGTGAGACGATTGCAGTGATTGACAAGTCCGGTCAAGTCGTCAGCACGGTGCGTATCTGACATATTCTGCCTTTCAATTGCATTGCGACTCTGGATTTTAATTAATAGCGACCACAGAGCAAGCATTTATTCGGTGTTTTCAGCCACGCCAAGAATGCGTACCGTGACCGCAAAGCACAGGTTCAATCCGAACGGAATGCGAAAATTGCGGAGAAGATCGCAGAGAGGGAAACACTGAGAGCGTTGCAGAACTATACAATTGATGATTCCCCGTCAGTGGCCTCCTCCCGGAGAAGCCATTCGCGACATCACTCCACCCGCAGACACCATTCGCATCACCACTCCCGTAGCGGGTCTGTCTATGAGCAGGACCTGCATTCGGCGGCACCCCGTGCAGCATCTGCCTATGCACCTCAATCGGAAATGATCAGACGTCATACTGATCAGGATCTCATGGTTCGGCAACCCGATGTCCGACCCGCCGCCGCGCGGTCCAAATCCGATGCCGATATCGACATGCACCTAGCGTACGGTGACTATCACCCCTCCGAATTGACCAGGCAGCCGTCACATGGACAAGAACAACAACTCCAGAATATCGAAGATCCCGAGTTGAATAACCTCGTCGACCGCACCCAGTGGCTGTTGGAGGAAGCCAACTGCTTGCACCACAGCGCGACGGCTACCATCGGCCATCTCCAGAAGAACCCGGATGCAATGGCGGCTGTTGCACTTACCCTCGCGGAGATCAGCAATCTGGTCACCAAGCTGGCTCCATCGGCGCTGTCTACACTCAAAGCCGCAGCCCCCGCCGTCTTTAGCTTACTCGCCAGTCCTCAATTCCTCATCGCTGCTGGAGTCGGTCTCGGCGTTACGATCGTCATGTTTGGTGGCTACAAGATCATCAAGCAAATCCAATCCTCAGCCAGCAATACCATCACCAATACCACCAATGAAGGCGCGAAAGCCCCAGGAGGCGAGGAGCCTGAGCAAATGGACGATATGATCGAATTTAACACAGACTGCCTGGGCTCGGTCGAGATGTGGCGACGCGGTGTGGCAGACGTCGAGGCCGAGAGCCTCGGAACCTCCGTGGATGGAGAATTCATAACCCCGACGGCCGCGATGATGTCCGGCATTGATATAACTACGGCACGACTCTCGCGAGATCCTCGTTTCAAATTCGACGACGATGAGTCCAGAGCCTCGGCACACCGTCCACGTCGCTCCCGGGGTTCTCGGGCCAGCCACGCTCCCCCCAAAGCAGAAACAAAACCGGGATCGATCTTCTCGAGAAGTTCACGTAAGCCACCTTCGAAAGCGCCATCGAAAGCGCCATCGAAGGCATTCTCCTCAGTTGGCTCTCAATATTCAGATAAAGACAGGAAGTCGAAAGACAAAAAGAAGCCGAGTCGACTACGCTTGATGTTCTTGGCCTGAATATCCCACATTCCGCCAACCCACCCCTGCATGTGATTTCTATTGTATATATATATAGGTATACCAGACCTGACACGACACGTTGTATATGTTTTCACGCATTCACGAGCTATGATTCGCACCCGTTCAGATTGCCGGCCAAGGGCTTTGTTTGATTGATAAACGCACTCTCCAATTTTTTTATTCATTCCCTTTTCTCTCTCTCTCTCTCTCTATGTAAACATTTCACGGGGCGTTTGCATTCATTTTGCATAGTTTTGGCGTTGGAATTATCCACTCCTTTCAAGTCATATTTGATGACCACATACATACATACATACATACATACATACATACATACACATACACATACATATACATGGCATATACATAGGTGCATATATAGCAGTCGCATTTACACTCGGAAAAGTTTTGAATTCTATCTATATTCATATTCATAGCTTCCCGATTACATCCCTGGAAATGTAAATCCCAGTAAAGGTGGGATGTATTTCATGGTGGGGATACTATATCATTTATGAAGGAGCGAAAGACACCCTATAACTAGCTATAGCTATAACTAACTATACTAGATAGCGGCATGGTAGTAGATTTCACTACGGTTATGATCACAGAGTACCTAACTAACTAGTTAGTGAGTTATCCAACGGGTAAGAAGAGAGAACCTTGACTGTGCCAATGAATATATATATATATATATGTGCATGTACTCCGTGGCACATATAATCCCTCCCCCTTAGTAGTAGACCTAGAGTTCCTAACTGGTGGAAGTAAACAAGAATGCATACATACATGCATGCCTGCATGCACGCATGCTCGACCCATGAACAAGGCTATGCCGATCCCCCTTCCCTGTACTGAGTAAATCCCTGATACTTGTGTGCTCTGGAAAAGCTTCCGAGCCGCAGCTCAGGTACCTGGGTGCATCGAGTCCCGAGTCCCGAGTCCCGGGAGGTGTCAATTAAGTTATGAGAGAGAATGTTATACAGTCACTCCGTATAGTTACCCGGCTCTGCTCCGGTGCTCCGTATATACATACGTACTAGTATATGATAACTACCGAGGATGGATGCATACTCCGGTAAAGCTCTGGAGTCTGTGTGTAATGTAATGTAATGTAATGCACGGTTGATCTTAACGGCTAGATCCCTACCTATCTATCTATCTAGTTTGCGTGGATATATGTAGGTATTCGGAGTTCATCCCTGGGATACTCCGCAGGGAAGGGAAAGTCCGAAAGTAGATTGGTGATTGGGGGTAGAGGTATGTGGAGACATTGCATTGTGTAGCTGGGATTAACACGGGAGGATGCTATTTCTGATCGGCCCTGTCTATGCTATTGTTGTTGGTATCCCAAGGAGTTTATTTGTGTTTTTTTTTTTTTTCTTGATAATTTCCCGATGATCGGCTATTCCCATGTCGAGTGTAGTGCGAATCGATATATATATATATATATATATATATATATCATTCGATTCCCCAGATCTATCTATCCCGCAGGAAGAATGTAGAGCAGGTGCAACAAAGAAGGCTCCGTTGGATTTGTGGCGGCTGTGGCATTGGTTATTTGCTAGAGATAACTACCACCTTGTCTCAGGAGAGGTTGGCGTGGGAAGAAGTAGCCCCTCCGTGCAGGTTGCTTTTTCACCTTCTTCAGATTCGTCCGATAAGACCAGCTAGGGGGGGGGGGGGGGGGGTAAGGCCTTCGCCATATACTCATTGTCTGCCTTCTTTCGCGAGTTGATTGTGTAGGGGAGGTGGATAACTCCGAGGATTTTGTAGGGAAGGAGGATAACTCCGAGGATTGTTAGTGTTTTGCCGTTTTCCCAGAGTATGAACTCCAATATAATTATTCAAACATCCTCCCATGGCCCGGAGGTTGGTAGAGCTGTTCTTGAGTCCACTGGGCCTAAATCGTTGACATCAAATCGAACCTTCGAACCTTGTTACCCAGGCAGACGGTAAACTGCGTTCATCACATATAAGCCTCATTGCTACAGGTCCTGATCTAGAGGTTTGCGATTCGACCATTAGCTTGTCATCTAGCTGAGCCGTTCATCATGGTAATCACCGAGGCAAAGACGCCCTTGAAGGTGATTGTTGTTGGGTAAGTGCGCCAATGGCGCCAGCCACTCTTGCAGACTGCTAGGCATGAGAACTAACGTGGATTTCGTAGTGCGGGTACGTTTCACGGTTTTGCTCTTCGACCAGAAATGTCAGTCTGATCAATGTAGGAATTGGTGGAATGGCTGCCGCTCTCACCCTAGGCTTGCGAGGGCATACCGTCACGATACTAGAGTCAGCCCCAAAAGTACAGGTTGGCCCGTTACTCAAGACCAGAGAAAGATCATTATTGACTTGAGCATGCAGCTTATGGAAGTTGGCGCTGGTATTCAAGGCTCTCCAAACATGCTAAGGCTCTTTGACCGTAAGCTTTTTAAAACTCGTCTATATTGCGGAGGATTGGTCTGACATATCTAGGATGGGGCGTCTCGCCGTTAATACACTCTAAAGACGTTGCACTAGAGTATATCCACATTCGACGGTGGCAGGACGGCAGTCTCCTCGGGACTATGCCCGTGAACAAGAAACACGGACAGCCGATGGTCATTCATCGCGCAGATCTTCACAATGCACTAATCGAACGGGCGCTGACGCTGAAAAATGTGGAATTGCATGTAGACTCGCACGTTACGGACGTTGATTTCAGCTCAGCTTCAGTGGCATTGACCAACGGCACCGTTGTGCAGGGAGACATCGTGATTGCAGCCGATGGCATCAAATCGAGAATCCGCGATCACCTACTAGGCAAAGATGCGTCCAAGCCGATAGCAACGGGAGATGCGGCTTACCGGATCATATTGCCCCGCAGTATCATGGAGCAAGACCCCGAGCTGAAGAAGCTGATTTCAGAACCGGAGGCTACCCGCTGGCTAGGGCCCGATCGCCATCTGATGGCGTATCCCATTCGAAACCACGAATTGTACAACGTAGTTCTTCTTCACCCTGATCGACACGGAATCGAGGAGTCTTGGACCACCAAAGGCTCGAAGAAAAGGATGATTGACGATTATAAGGGATGGGACCCGATCGTCACGAAGCTGATCAATCTCGTTCCCGATGATGAGGTTCTAGAATGGAAGCTTTGTTCGCATGCCCCCTTGAAGACGTGGATAAGAGGGTCCGTAGCGCTAATTGGAGACGCCTGTCACCCTATGCTGTAAGTTCTTTTGGACCAATTTGGGTCCTGTTGAGAATTCCCCAACTCACGCTTGTCATAACAGTCCATATGTTGCCCAAGGTGCCGCCCAAGCCGTGGAAGATGCTGCAGCCTTGGGTGTTTTGCTGTCTGAAATCACATCAAAGAGGGAAATTCCTCTTGCGCTACAAGCTTATGAGAAGTCTCGCAAGCAACGCGCAGAGACCGTGCAGCAGTCAGGGACTACCAACCGTACCACGCTACATCTTCCAGACGGGCCCGAGCAGCAAGCGCGAGATGAGCAATTTCGTGCTTCGACAAAAGAAGGTTCGAACCCGGATAAATGGTCAGATCGAGAGACACAAGAATTTCTGTGGGGGTGGGATGCGGAAAAAGTAGCGTTGAAGATGTTGAACGGTAAGTCGTGTGTTCCGAGTGAGTGCGTTGTAGAGGAATCAGCAGCACTGACCCTGTGTATTTTTTTTCTGACTGCAGAACTACGAGGTAAATCGTTCTCGGATGTCCGCCACCGTCTTTAATGTGGTTCTTAACATTGCAACCATTTTATATTGTAAACACTCTACCTTGACTTAGATATAGACCTGAATACATGAGTTGATGGTTTTGTATACAACTCAGCTCGCCTGCCCGACAGCGATAATTTCCGAAGATACAAACCCACGCGTTTCAAGAATAGCGAAATGGATGTCACTCGCAATCCTTTTAGAATACGCTCCCGTTTGCTAGACGGGCCCTCATGTGAGCAGCCAAATTGATTCAGAGTCGATTACATCTAAATCTTTCCGGTCCTCTTTCTTAGGAATGGCCCACCACCGCGATGAGAAAACCCCCATCGTATCTGATTTGCCATGGAGATCTCTACTCCTAGCTCATCGGCAAAGGTCCAGACCAAGCCCGGGGTTTTCTGGAATCCGCGACCAACGAGAACAATATCGAGTCCATCCGTCTCCAGCAATGAATTCGCTAGATGGCCACTGTCAATCATTCCCACAGTGCCGACTAGCAGCTTATGTGATCCCTCTCACAGTGAGGGGTTGGAACAGTTTCGGAATTGGCGATGCGTCAGATTGCGGATCGGCTGCTGTCCCTGCGGGGGGGATCTGGGCAGGAGTAAAGTAGCTTTAACCTCGAGGTCGGAAATCTCTCTAGTTGCCATGGTTAAATTTATTAGTATCTCAGTCGATTGTGAGTTGAGAGTTGAGAGAGGTACGACCTACCAAGTATGGATTCAGACCGCTCTTTATCTCGATGCATTTGGATGTTCCCCGGTATCGGACTGATTGATGATTTTGATGAGAGAGAGAGTCAACTCACCCCTATATTATATTATACATAGTACTCCGTAGGTATAGGTAGATGGATTTATTCATCTAAACAAGAGAAATAGAACTAGAACCTGTCAGAGGGTTCATCTCAATACTGCTCTTCTTCTTCTTCAGCTTTATCGTTGGACTCATCCGCCAAACCGCTTTCAGCTCCTTTAGTGGCCCCGAAATCCGCACTCTCCCGCCCACATCTTTTTTTTTCCTTGGGTGACTCAACACTAGTTATAACTTCCTCTCTAACTATTTCTTGTTGTTCATTCCCCTTCTACCATTCTCTCTCTCTCTCTCTCTCCCTCCCACGTTATCCTTCTTCACACACTCTGCCAAAATGAAAGGAAAGATCTGTGTCGCTTTCTCCGGTGGTCTTGACACCAGCATCATCTGTTAGCTGCCTTTCAATTCCCTCAATCCCACACGTGCTCTAGCTAATTCACCCGATCTAGTGAAATGGCTCATCGATGAGGGCTATGAGGTGGTGGCTTTCAGTAAGTCATCAATTGCATCCTATTTCTCCTTCTTTCAAATGCTAATCTCTTCATAGCTGCCGATGTTGGCCAGGAAGGTAATGCCATCGCCCTCTAAAACGTGATCCCCCCCACCGCTCCTGGCGCTCTAACAACCCCGCTATTTAGAGGATTTCGATGCGATCAAGGAGAAGGCCCTGAAGCTCGGTGCTGTCAAGGCTGAGGTTGTCGACCTGCGCCGTACGTATCCTTTGCTTCATCCCTGAATTACTTGGAGGAAACTCAATAACACCGTTTCTAGGGGAGTTCGTCGAGGAACTCTGCTTCCCCGCCATTGCTTGCAACGCCATCTACGAGAACGTTTACCTTCTCGGTACGTCGCACTTGGTTTATTGCTGTCTTCCGGCCTGGATAATGAATTGACACTGGTGATTAGGAACCTCTCTGGCTCGTCCAGTGATTGCCCGCGCTCAGATTGAGGTCGCCAAGGTGAGTGTCCCCCCCCCCCCCCCACCACGCCGGTGCCAGGAGATTGGAACATATTTAGCTCACGGTTTCGTCCCAATTAGCGCGAGGGTTGTTTCGCCGTTTCCCACGGTTGCACTGGCAAGGGTAATGACCAGGTCCGTTTCGAGCTCGCCTTCTATGCTCTTCAGCCCGATATCAAGGTCATTGCCCCTTGGCGTGACCCCGTCTTCTACGAGCGCTTCGCTGGCCGTGGCGATCTCCTTGCTTACGCTGAGGAGAAGGGCATTCCCGTCACTTCCACCAAGGCTAAGCCCTGGAGTATGGACGAGAACTTGGCTCACTGCTCTTATGAGGCTGGTATCCTGGAGGACCCCAATGTCACCCCTCCTGCCGACATGTGGAAGCTCACCAAGGACCCCCTCACCGCTCCCGACCAGCCTGAGGACTTCACTCTCTACTTCGAGAAGGGTCTTCCCGTCAAGCTTGAGTACACTGAGGGTGGAAAGGCTAAGACCGCCACTGACCCTGTTGACCTCTTCCTGACTGCCAACGCCATTGCCCGCCGCAACGGTGTCGGCCGTATCGATATTGTGAGAGCTCCCTTGACGCGAAACATAGAGGAGTAAAGTTGAACTAACCTCGCTCTAGGTCGAGAACCGCTTCATCGGTATCAAGTCTCGTGGCTGCTACGAGACCCCTGGTCTGACCTGTTTGCGCGCTGCCCACGTGTAAGTAAAAGTTAACCATGTTTCCCGACGCATTTCTAACCTAAACTGCAAATAGTGACCTTGAGGGTCTCGTGCTCGACCGTGAAGTTCGTGCTCTTCGTGATCAGTTCGTCACTGTCAACTACTCCAAGGTCAGTACCGGTCTCAACGTATGCCTCTGATAACTTACTCACTGTGTTACCTCCAGCTCCTGTACAACGGTCTCTACTTCTCCCCCGAGCGTGAGTTCCTCGAGCAGTCCATCGCTGCCTCCCAGAAGAGCGTCAACGGTCAGGTTCGCTGCCGTGCCTACAAGGGTAACATGATCATCCTCGGTCGTTCCTCCGAGACTGAGAAGCTGTATGATATGTCCGAGTCCAGCATGGATGAGATTGGTGACTTCTCTCCTGCCGAGACCACCGGCTTCATCAACGTTTCTGCTATCCGCCTGAAGAAGTACGGTCAGATGAAGCAGGCTGCTGGCGAGAGGTTGTAAGATGTGAATCGCTGGCTCGAGTAACGAATGTCCTTTTGAAAGCGCCTGGCTTGTGAGAGAAAACAAAAAAACTCTGGTGGTTTATGGATTTGTACGGCAAGTGTTTGGATATATAATGTGTTTTAACGTATAAAATGAGGGCCTATGATTCCCCGTTGCAAAGACATTTTCTTCTCTTTCCCAGTGTAGTGTAGAAATAAGCTTGGTGGTTTTTTTTAGCTGATTTTGTCTCCTCTTCGACGCCAACCCTTTAGGTAGTCAAGGCTCCAACGAATTAACCATCCTTCTCCTGTCCATTCTAAGCCAATCCAACATGCTCCGATGCTCAAATGAACGACGACGGGTCGGATGGAAGCCGCCAATCAACAGGTGCTGGACGGGGAGAAGATTCCACCCGTGTTCATTTAAAGGCACTTTGGCTTCTGCCTGATTGAGTCTTTCATGGACCTCTCGGCTACTCACAGACTGCCCTTGGTGCTCTTATTCGTCCCCAGGTTCACGGCTGCATTCGTGTGAGGATGCATTCTTCTAAAACCTACGAGTTTTGGACTTGAAACACACACAGTTTCAATCATCGATATGGTCTCGAAAATTTAAACGTTCAACTCGCAAAGATTGATCCTCTTCGGTATAGCCTCAAGATTTTAAACATTCAACTCGCAAAAGCTCATCATCCGTTTCCCACCCCAGTACTCGTTCATCATGAAGCGCATACCTTGGGGCACAATATATATCAGCATTGCTGCATATTCATTCTTCAAATCCAGCTTCTCAACTTTGCTTGCTCTTCTTGCCATCACGAACCTTCTGAGATTTCTCTACGGTGCTATTTTGTACCCCGATTATTTGAGCCCGATCAAGCACATTCCCTCCCCTCCCGTGAGTTTGGCCCGACCCCTCAGTCCTTCCTTGGGTTCTATTGATCTTGTTTCCGCTCATATTTGGCGCTATACAGATTCGATCGTGGATTACAGGTAATACGGGTACATTCTTCCTGCAAACGCCCTTTGAGCAACTAGGTGAGTGGGCCACGTCGGTCCCCAATAATGGCTTCCTCCGATACTATCTACTCGGGAATATGGAACGACTGTTAGTCACGACGCCCAAAGCGTTGAGCGAACTCCTCGTCCAGAATGCGTACGAGTTTCCAAAGACAGAATTAATGCGATTGGAGCTGGAGCGTGTGACAGGCAAGCATGGCGTGCTGCTGGTAGAAGGTCTCGAGCACAAGGTGAGAGCCTCCTTTTGCGTTCTTTATCGTTTGAAGGAATGTCTATTAATGCTTTCCGCTAGAAACAACGAAAAAACCTTCTGCCCGCGTTTTCTTACCGTCATATTAAGAACCTGTATCCGGTTTTCTGGTCCAAAAGCATCGAGATGGTGAAGGGCATGGAGAAAGATCTACGCGACCGTGGCAGTAGCGAGGATAATGTGATTGAAATTAGGCCCTGGGCAAGTCGGGCTACTTTGGATATCATCGGAATTGCCGGCATGGATCAAGACTTTGGGTCCTTGGCCGATCCCAAGAATGAGCTTGCCCGGCAGTACCATCGAGTGTTCCAGGAGCCACCGCTTTTTACTAAGATTCTTTTCGTGATTGGGTTTATCCTTGGAAATGTGAAGATTATCCAGCAACTGCCGCTGCAACGCAACCGAGATATCGAGGAAGGCTGCAACTATGTGAGGCGCGTGGCCGAGCGAATCATCATCGAAAAGAAGGAGAAGATGAAAACCAACAGGTCGTCGTTAAGTAATGAAACCGACATCGTCTCTGTAGCACTCAGCAGTGGCACCTTCACTGATGAAGAACTCGTCGACCAAATGATGACATTCCTCGCCGCAGGCCATGAAACTACCGCCGCTGCTTTACAGTGGGCAGTCTATGCGCTTTGCAAGCACCCAGACGTACAGACCCGTCTACGCGAAGAAGTCCGCGCCAATCTACCTTCCATCTCAGTGGAGAACCCAGAGTCTATCTCGGCCACCACACTAGACTCACTCCCATATCTCCACGCGGTTTGCAACGAAGTGCTTCGCTTCCATCCCTCTGTGCCTCTCACGTTCCGCATTTCCACGCACGACACCATCCTGGACGGCACACTAATTCCCAAGGGCACACAGCTGGTCATTTCCCCCGAGGTCATCAACCACCACAAAGATCTGTGGGGCGATGACGCAGACAAGTTCAACCCAGAGCGGTGGCTAGGTCCTGGTCGGGCTAACACCGGTGGCACAAGCAGCAACTATGCCTTCTTGACCTTCCTCCACGGGCCCCGAAGCTGTATCGGGCAGGGGTTCGCAAAGGCGGAATTGGCTAGTCTGCTTGCTACTACGGTTGGCCGATTCCATATGGAACTGAAAGACCCAGATGCTAAGCTAGAAGTCAAGCGGACCGCAACCATGTCTCCTCTTGATGGGGTACTTGCAAAACTAACCCCTTTGGAAGGGTGGTAATTATATATATTTCTATATATATGTAAATATCACCATTGGAGCGTCCAAGTAGGATATTTAGAATGATACAATCCCAACCATGCATTCATCTGGGTTAATTATCGGGTATTTACTTGTACGGAGTATAGATAGACCTTTTCTTTTGATCCCTGACAGGTTTCAAGGCGCATGTCTCGGTGAGTGATATACCCCGCGGCCTTGGGGGGGGGGGTACCCTCGGCCATCAACACGACTTGAAACAGGCCACGCAGTTATCAGAGGGTCTAAACAATCCTCACAACCCTAGTAATTCCATCCAAAAACAAACAAACTCACAAGAATGTCGCCTTCCCAGGAGAAGAGCCCCTTCGTTATCCACAACGACCAGTTCCGCGCAATCCTCGGGGAAGCGCCCACGCTGGAGCTTCTCGCCGAGAACTCAGCGTATCCCTTCGCCCACGAAGCAGGCATCTTTATTCCTTCCTCAAACACCCTCTTCATAACCAGCAACCTGCTCCAAAACGAAACAGGAACCCCCAAGATCCAAATCACCAAAGTCCACCTCGGCGACAGCCATGGCGCCAGCTCATCGCCACAGGTCAAATGCGAAGAAATCTCCAGCCCAATCCCCATGGCCAACGGCGGGGTCAACTACAAAGATGGCATCATCGTCTGCGCACAGGGGTCCATGGACACTCCGGGCGGTATCTACTACATGTCTCCTACGCCGCCTTACGCCACCTCCATCCTGACGAAAGACTTCCACGGCCGTCCCTTTAACTCGGTGAATGACGTCGTGGTCCACAGCGACGGGAGCATCTGGTTTACCGATCCCATCTACGGGTTTGAACAGGGGTATCGGCCGCGGCCACGGCTCCCGAGCCAGGTTTACCGGTTCAACCCCGCCACGGGGGATATCAGGGCCGTGGCGGATGGCTTTGGGAGACCGAATGGCATCTGCTTCTCGCCGGATGAGAAGACCGTGTACGTAACTGATACAGACTGGATTCATGGGGATGGGACTACCGATGACTCGCGGGTATCGTCTATGTATGTCTGGCTCTGTTCTTCTTCTTCTTCTTCTTCTTCTTCTTCTTCTCCTTGTCATTGAAGTTCTCTCCCCTGTAGGTGACTGCGTGAGTGAGTGCTTGCTGACGACAATGTAGCTACGCATTCGATGTAGCGTACTACCATGGGCAGCCATTCGTGACCAACCGTCGCTTATTCGCAATGGCTGATTCCGGAGTCCCAGACGGCATCAAGTGCGACCTGGCCGGGAACGTGTACAGTGGCTGTGGAGATGGAGTTCACGTTTGGTCTCCTGGCGGCGAACTGCTCGGGAGAATCTTGATCGAGGGTGGTGTAGCCAACTTTTGTTTCGGGGTCGATGGGGAGATGTTCCTTCTGAACGAGCATCGGCTGTGGAAGGTAAAACTGACAGGAGATGTCAAGGGGGCTCTTCTTGGGATTTAGTCGGCACGCACGCACACACACAATTTTACCTAAACACAGTGTTTTCACACAAGATGCTTCTGTTCTGGGAATTAGCTAGGAATGGGGGGAGGAGATACTTCAACTCATCTCCTAGCGGGTTGACTGACGGGCGGGCCACTTGAACACACTTACAAGAGACAAGAGATTCAGGCGATGGCATCATATAGTAGAATAACAACAGTTGATATTATATGTGAATTCTATATCCCCAGTCTACCGTCTACCGATATGGCTCTTTAAACACCATCACGTTCTCTATATCCGTGCCATCTACGCTCTCCTCGATCTAGGCACGAAACATCCCCCCCCCCCCCCCGCAATTAAAGTCAAACACGACGGTCCCCCGACGCAAACCAGAAGCATCATCCATCGCAGACCCACCATCGGCCTCGATTCCAATAATGCCACCTTGTCGTTCACCCGTCCTTCCCCATCTCCTACCTGCAGACCGCTCCAGTTCGCCCCCAGCCCCCGCGACAGCAGTAACAGCATCAGCAAGGGTTGTCATCCGCGGCGAAAACCGCGGCATCGCACACGCTGTGCGAGCGGCAGCTGTCCGAAGGAAGGAAGGAATCGCCGTTTCCTGTGCCCGAAACCGCGACGGCTCGTGTTCTCTTCCCATGGGAGCGTGGCTTCTCGCTAATAAGTGGCTGTTTGAGATCATAGGGCCGCCGGACGGATAGCGGTGAGTGATACATATCTGACCCGAGAGCCGGCGGCGACCCGGCCTTCTCCACGCCCTCTGAGATGTTCCTCGCATCGTTTTCTTCGTCCAGAACCACTCATCCGGTTTGAATTCCAGCCTCCATCCATTCCCGTGCCAGTGCTTCCACGGGAGCACCCGCAAGCTGCGAATGAATGCATGCTTCCGCCGGGTGCGGCGTCGTCAATGGGGTTCCCGTTCGCATCTTGGGGCCGGTGCGCGGAGAAGGACCGACCTCCTTCGCTAATTGGATGGGGTGGCGCGCACGTTGTTGATTCCGAGGACACCGGCGCCTCGCTTCATACTCGCGCGCTTGTTGGAAAAGAGTCGACATCGCTGGCGGATGTAACCATTACCGAGGCTTCCATTTCGATCGTCCCTGCGGAGGTGAACACGCTGCCCCGGCCGCAGTTGAATAGTGCATCGTCTTCCATGAGTGAACCGGCGTGTACGGCGGCATCGAGGGCGCTCGCGCCATGTGCAAGATGGCCCCTTGTGGAGCGGAGGTAGGAGAGGAGGGAGGGAGGCATGGTAGGCGGCGTAAAGGTCCGGTGGAAGGGTGGAGCGGTGGATGTTTCCAGCACCTCCATGAAGGATTAGGGCGGGCTTGAAGATCGGGTTCGACATTACTATTTTATCTAGATTTTTCTATATGATAGTAATTTATAAGTGCTTGTTGAAATTGTCGTTGTGAGCAGTGAGGGGAACGACAAACTCTCCGGCTCCTAGATTCAGTGTTATCGACAATCGCCCACACCATTCGGAAGATCAAGACATATTTGTCACAGGTGGAACCTGAATGTAGCATTAATCCTGGTATTTGCAATAGTAATGTACAAGAAATAAGAAAAGACAGCTCCGTGGTCGCCCACCAGGGATCTGTCTTCATCAGAGACTTTTTTCGCCTCCCGGACAAAAAAGCAAAATAAAGCAAAATAAAACAAGGATGCTCGGCTGTGCAATCCAAAGAAATCGCCAGTAAACCCCGTTTCTTAAATGGTTAAGAACGGGAATAGAAGCATGAATCGAAAAAGAACCTCTATACCATGCGTCCTGATAATATGACCGAGACCTAACACCGGAGAAGAGAGAGATGTAATATAATAGAGCAGCAAATTTATAGGCATACAGCTGGCAGTCGGAAAATCGTAGGTCTTTAGATGGGTAGGTGATGATTTGGTAATTTAGGCGACGGCCTTTTCTTGGGGAGCAGGAGGGAGCTGGCATCATGTCCAGTTAGTTGCGAGTACGAAAAAAAAAAAGCATCATGGACAGAATGACGAATTAAATCGGATAGCTCACCTCGAGTTTTGTGTTGTCCGCCATCATCCTTTGGAATCCAATACCAACACCCTCGATAACAGCAAGGAAAACGGCGCACATGATAGCGGAGTTCCTAGCAGCCTTGAAACCACCACGCACAGCCAAAGAGCCACCAGTGAAGAATCCAGCAATAACTAAGAAAAATCCAAGTTAGACCAAGTATTCCCAAGCAGAAAAGGGGGGCGGCGGGATGGGGGAACATACTGGCATTGTAAGGATCCTCCTTCTTTCGAATACCCTTGATCGCGCAGTCGAATGTCGAGAACAAACCACCCCATACACCGAAGTTACCACCGAGAACGGGCGCGCGGGCCTTGATGGCTGTGATGGCTCCTATCCGACGCTCTCCGTAGGGGCTGTTTCGGAATCCCTTTACACCGTGCCATACAGCACCACCAATTGCCTAAGTAACAAATATTTATCAGTTTCGCGTTCAAGGGGTTGATTACAGCTGAAGGTTAAAAACGTACACCCATGCAGAAAGCACCACCAAAGTCGCTCAGGGCAACCCAGGGGCAGGGATCTCTGGAGTGATCCATGACAAATGCGAATGTGATATAGGAGAGAAGGGTCGGTTGGTCGGTCGGATGAACGAAAGTGAACGAGTAGCTGTCGTCCTGCTTCAGCTACACGAAGCAAATGAAAGTGGCTCAAGTAATAGAGGTTTCCCTGGCGTATCCGGAGCAGTCACGGGCGAGGAACGAGGAACGAAGTCGACAATTGGAATGAATATGTCGACAAAGGTATAAGACTGCGAATGAAAGATGTAATTATTGCACAGCAGGAACGATGTTGGTGGAGGCGTGAGAGACTGGGGTTTGATGGAGAACTGGATGGCGAACATCATCCACTTTTGAAAGGCTTTTTTTTCGCCCCGAACGTGACCCGGTCCGGTCACGTGCTGATAGACGCCCGGGATTTCCCATCGACTCCAAACAAACTTTGCATGCCAATACGAGGTTGCCATCACAATTAACTAGCAGTGCCTCGGGATAAACAGGGATTCTATGCTGCCCTACCGGTACGGGTTCTACATATACGGAGTACAGAGTAAGTCTCCCCCGGATTTTAGTCCGGGAGATTCCAGATGAAATTCAACCCTCCCCCTTCGAACGCTGGAAATTGCCCTCCGCTACTAATTCCAAAGGGAGCCATCGATGGATCGAATGGGAGTGAAAGCCAATCGTCCGCACCAATATCGTTAAAAGACGGGATAAACCCCAGGTCGGGCACTGTTTGCGGGGCAGGGACTTCCATGGTTGGGGTATTGCCTTCGTCGTTATCGGTGTTCGGCAGCGGCACCATTGAAGATCTTGTAGTGGATCCGTAGCTATGATTATTTTTTAAGCTTTTCGACGATGCCAGCAGATTGCGCCGAAGGCGTGACACATGCATCTCCAAGAGGGCAGCGTAGCGAGTGCTCAGATGGATGTCGTCCAGTGCGTTACACTTCAGTGTCTGTATACTGCGTTCCAGGATCTCAAGGGATTCGCGAAGCTTTGCCTGGCGCGATCCGAGACTTAGAGCTTTCATCAGAAAAATCGAGGAACTGGTGATTCGAAGGAATATACGGACTGGGGAGAATTTCAACGCTCCCGCCTCGCCTAATTCGGTGACCTTTTGTAGGATTTGACAGCATCCATCAATGACTTCTTGGATATATTCATAATCAATTGGATCGACATTGGTAGCACGCGCTTCTTCAACGTTTGGATCGCTATCTGAAAAAACACGCTCGACAACTGCTTGCATTCCAATGGAGTGTGTATACGCTCTGACAAAGTGGTATTCAATGAAAAGGATGTCGTAAAAGGGTTTCTCAAGCACTAGGATCGCATTAGTGTGAGGCCTAAGCCAGGAGGTGACTGAAAATGCGCCCTGTGCATACCTTGAGATTGGAGGTGTTCTTCCTTCCATTTAACTAGGAGGGGGCGAAAATGGTCCAACAGGTCGATATACCGGCCACTGTGCAGCTGCTGCCTCGCAAACGTAACAGAAGGAAAGAACATATCGGTCACAGATTTCGCAAGCTTCGTGAGGTCCATCCATGAATCCATAAATGCTAACCATTCATCTCCGGATTGCTTCAAATTTCTGGCTGTCTGTCGGTTTAGAATAGTATGATTTAGGCTTTGTGGCATGAGGGAAACGCATCCTATTCGCCATGCCAGCTGATTGATATAGACATAAAGCAACCGCTGCACCCGCTGTCGGCGTAGCTTTATCTGATCTCCAGAGGTAAATCCTTCATATCCAGTAAGGCAGTTCCACTTCTCGTCGTCAACTTCAAAGATTCCCAACTCATGGGCTAAGGACAGAGCAGCCCCAAGCAACATCCATGACATTTGGTCAGACCTCCTAGCAGGCTCAATCATATCTTCTAGCCACCGATTTGAGGATAAATTATCGTCGTCTCTAGGCTCAAGAGGCTTCGATACTAGATCCGAATCCCATCCATCATTTTCTGGGGGGAAATGGAGAGACCTAGGATGCCATTCAGACATTAGTAAAAGGGCTTCTATCGTCCCAATACTTCGAAGCTTTGAGTTCAATGCTCTCTCCTGTCCAAACGTAAGCCGCATTACTAACTGCTGGCAATGTTGCCAAAGTCGATTGTGGATGAAGAAATTTCTTGACTCGCCACCGGGGCCAGGCAAGACATGATAGCGTGATGATAACATCAAGATTGTACAACACAAAGCAGGATCACAAGTGACAAGTTCTCGATGGTTCCGATGGTCTGCATAAAAGTTGGTTAATATCGGTGATAACGGAGACATGTTCTTGAAAAAGCTAGCATATTACACATCATTAGTGATATCATGTTCGTAGACAAGGGTATCAAAGGTGTCACACTTACAGGTCAATCAAAGTAACAGCTTCCCTCGAGGTAAACCAGCCCATCTTCACGAACCGACAAGCATTCCAGATACTGAGAACCTCCTTCGCTGCATAAGAAAGTTGCACTGGTCGCGATGCCTTTGCAAGAACTTCGGGAGAAACAACGGAGTGCATTTGGCCCAGAGAACTCTCATTGCTTCCATCGCAGATGATATTGTTTTGGGTGCTCCTCGGCCGCGACTCAGATCCATTCAATCCCGCCTCTTGGCTATGGGCAGCGGCCGCTTCGAAAAGGATATTAAGAGCATCGTTTCCACTAGATACCACGGTGCGCATCATCGAATTATCCAATGTAGAGGTCGACTGGTGGCGTGTTTGACGACCTTCTGAAGAATGCAATTGGTGCAACCCTGCGTTGCCTTCGTCGCGCTCCCCATAGTCATTTGCTGGCAGCGAATCGCGAACTTGTGATTGCTGGCCATCCTGACCGTTGTGTCTCGAGGTATTAGTCGACAGCCTCAGGCGTGTTCTCGGCGGGGAGGTGAAATCTTCCCGAGATTCTAAGGCACCAAATTTAGTACATATCCAAAAATACCGCTGGAGAGGACAACATACGTCTTTTTTTCTTCCGTTCCCAAGCCCTATTCTCACTAAACACACATTGCCTATGCTCTCTTCGACACTTCGCACAGGGGGGCCCTATTGGAGACCCATCCGGGAGCTCACCCAGATCGCATTTTGCCTTGCGTGCGCGACAGGGAATGCACGCCTTGTAGGTCCGCTGGTAAGTCCGATCTGACACGTTGCCACCGCGCGAAGACCTCCTAATTTCCATCGCTTGCGCTGGCCAAATCTACCAATAACATGACCCCCTTTGTTAGTATGGGAATGGAGTAACTACAACCCCCATCACAAAGCTGATTTCAGGTTGGATTCCGGTTTGTATTTTTTGTTGGTGTTGGCAATTCGACGGAAAGTTGAAAATAGCCGAAGGTATCCGAGGGATTGTCAAATATCCGAGACTACTCCGTACCAGGTAGTACGCATTGAGCTTTGGGGTCCTTTGCAAAGCTGGAATACAGGTTTTTTTTCAGAAATGTTGTAGAATCACGGGCGCACGTAAAAAAAGAATAAAAAGAAGAAAAGAAAGGAAAAGAAAGAAAAAGAAAAAATAGTCGGGTTAAAACAGGATTCAAGCGAGTCCAGACCTCGCCAGAACAAAAAAATTGACAAGGGTGGGATTCGAACCCACGCCAAATTAATGACGCGGAAACTTGTTAGAACAAGAAGAGGATCCGAGTTTGGAAACCTTAACCGCGCGCCTTAGACCGCTCGGCCACCTTGCCTGTTGATTGGTGGCTACTTCATCCGAAGTTTGGATTATACTAGGTACCTACCTATACCTAATGCTCTCCTCCCGGGTTGACCACCAATGAGGGGAAGCATTATCCATACCAACAGGTTTCTCACAGGCGCAGCAGCGACTCTAACAGACTGTTGGATTTTTTGATTTTTAACAAGTATATTCAGTCGATAACTTCTCCAGTGGCCACTCAGTCGTTATTCCCCTTTTCATTTAACCATCTCCCTCCATTCGTACCAGAATGCCACAGGTGTTCTCTCTGCCAATCCCAAATAACCGGAGAGCGACGCAGGTTTCGCCGTCGAGTGTGCATCTTTGCTGCACCATAAGAGAGCATGCCGTTTATCAGCCTACCAGAAGATATTCTGCTGCTTTTTATCAAATGCCTTGAGCGGGATACGCAGACTTTGGCCCCTCTTGCTACCTGCTGCAAGAAACTGAATCGTATTACAACGCCCATACTCTATGCACATGTTACGCTGGGATTGGATAAAGGAGATGAATCGCGCAAGGTATTTTATCGCACACTCTGTTGTCTTTCTGGAGATCTGGCCAGTCTTGTAGCTAAATCAGGATCAAGGTACGACGATTCATCAAGTCCGTGTTCACGAACCCTTTCCTGGCCCAATGCGTGCGATCACTCGAGCTCAATGCGCTCTACTGGATCTCGCATTACCTCCAATCTCTTCATCGCAAAGAGTTATTGCGAGCCCTGGGAAACAGCATAGCCTACCGCCCTGATAAACTTGACATCATGAAGCTCATCACCGTTGTTCAACGATTGCCACTTCCAGAGGATCACAAGCTCCGTTGGTGTATAGAGCTGCAGGAGCTAACTCCTAGCTTGGATTCTTTAATTGCTATTCTTTTTGTTTTTCTGCCTTCTATTCAACGCCTGGAGTCCAACTGGTCATCAGATGCAGTATTTATCTCGCACATATTGCCTACAACTAATAAAAAGGTAGTAGATTCGTCGCCCTCGCCCCATGTCCTTGCAAACTTGAGCCATCTGAAGGTCAATTCTGAATGCCCCTGTGGCAATTTCGCTGAAATTATTCCCTTCTTTCAGATGCCTTCGCTGAGCCATTTTTTTGGCAGCAATTGGGGCCCAATCAGAAGGGATGGCTGGGATGATGGAGTTGAGGATGAGGCTGATCCTCAGGGTTATGAGGGCGACGGGATGGTGCTGTCACCGATCATTCATCTCGAGCTTCGCCACTGCAGTGTTGATTTGTTCAGTCTGCAAACAATCTTGCGCCAATGCCGGTCGGTAAAAACATTCATCTTCCATCGCGACTGGGATCCCCGAATCCACATCAAATTCTCGGCATTGTCCATTGCCAAGGCACTTCTTCCGCTTTGGAACAAGTTGGAAAATATTCGCCTGTCCTTTGAGCCTGGTATCTACATCCACGATGAAGCAGAAATCAGTCCGCTAGATTTCTCACATTTCTCGGTACTAACAAAGCTTTATGTTTCTGCGGGTTACATTATACATGATCCACAGGACTTTGATCCCCATGAATTCTCAAAAGCTTCTGACCCAGGATCTGATGATGACAGTCTTAATTTTCCACTTCATACACGGCTTCCGCGGTCGCTAGAAGTGCTACGCATCATGGGATTTAGTACCCCAGAACAGGCGCAGTTTCTGATTGACGATTGCTGCCGGTTACTCCAGCATCATCATCAGTTCCCACGACTAAGCGAGCTATGCATCGAAGCGAGGTTCTACGACACCAATTCCAGATTCGACACTTCGGCTTTACAGAACGAGGCGCAGCGTGCGGGTGTCCTATTGCGTCGGCTCGACAACACCGAATTTCACCTAAATGACAAACAGTATATTCACACGCCTTCAGGATTTGACTGGGGGATGGACGGTGAATTTGAGTGGGGTATCAAATTATACGACTACGAAGTTGTGGAGCTAGCAGAAGAAGAAATTGTGACGGTAGACTGACGAAAGCAGCATATGATAAAGGAGAATCTAATTTTAAGGGTTTATGTGTGATGCTAAAACATGAGAGCAGCAATGCTCACAGCAGAATGATCTTACACGGCGATTTATGTCACTTTCTCAGCTGGCTGGAGGTCAATTGCCTGGTGACCCCCCACGGTGTAGTGCATCTCGGTCTCGATGCAACGGAGCTGAGCAAAATCAAATACTAATAGATTACGAAAGGGCCAGCCCTTTACTTTCAAGGAAACAAGTATCGACCCGGCTACCTTCCACCTTTCTAAATTATAGGACGAACAAACAGACGACTATAGTTAACTGACCTTCGATACTTAGTCAGCAAGTGTAGTGTGTCCTTTTAATTATCTTCCTTGGACATTCGGTCAGGTAATCTTCAAAGCAAGGCTGGTGACGCATACATTCGGTGTTCAAATCCACAAGCTATAGCACACACACACTTACGCTATTAGCCAGCAAGAAACCACCCAAGAGCCCAAAACACAGGTCCTTTGACAGTTTGCGGAACTAATTAATTTCTGAGTGACAGTGAGTTTGCCGAAACTAATAGAGAATAATATCAGATATTTTTCTCTCTAGAATACATAACTAACTCTAAGAAAACCATTAATGCGGCGGAATCCAAAGACGTCATGTTTTAACCTCGGAAAGGTGCGGGAATTTGCGCGCTCAGCCCCGGATATTGACCATGGCGGAATGGCATTCCATGAGGCACTTTTTGTTCTTTTTTTCTTTTTGGTTGAAAGCAAAGGAATAAATGTAAGAGAACCTAAGTAGGTGTATTCAATAATATCCCAAAATATTAGAGTCTTGTGCTGCAGATGACCATATTAACAACATCCGTGCTCCATAATATATACTCCACATCCCCAGGTTGCTATACCCCACGATTTATAACACCACCATCACAAGGCTTAAGATATCTATATCTAGCACCAACCCCGATACCAGAAATCAAATAACCAAAAAGGCGAAAAAGAAAAAGAAAAAAAATGGCCGACCACCCCCAAGTAACCCTATACACCTATTTCCGTTCCTCCTGCTCCGCCCGTCTACGCATTGCGCTCGCCCTGAAATCCATCCCGTACACCTCCGTCCCCATCAACCTCCTCAAAGACGAGCAAGGCTCCCCGCAAAACACATCCGTCAACCCCTCAGCCACCGTCCCCACCCTGATAATCCAACGAACCGTCCCCACTAACAACAACAACAACAACAACAACAACAACAACAACCCACACATCATCACAATCACCCAGTCCCGCGCGGCCCTGGAATACCTCGACGAAGCCACCGATCTCGCCCCCGCAACCGCCCCGAAGCTCCTCCCGCCAGCATCCAACCCGGAAGCCCGCGCCCTGGTGCGCACCCTCTGCGACATCATCGCGTGTGACGTGCAACCGGTCACGAACCTGCGGATCCTGAAGCGGGTTGCGCCGTTGGGCGTGGACCGCGCGGCGTGGTCGAAGGATTTGATCGAGGCCGGGTTCCGCGCGTACGAGGCGCTCGTGGTGCGTTCGGCGGGGGTCTTTAGCGTTGGCGATGGCATTACCATGGCGGATTTGTGCCTGGTTCCCGCGGTCTGGGGGGCGCAGCGTGCGGGGGTGGATCTGGGCCGGTTCCCTACGATCAAGAGGGTCGTGGAGAGGTTGGAGATGGAGGAGGCTGTGCGGAAGGGGCATTGGATGACGCAGGAGGATACTCCGGAGGAGTTCCAGGTTTAGAAAGTTCTTTCTTTCTTTCTTTCTTTCTTACAGGGATTCAAGGGTGGAGAGTGAGTTTTGTCTATTTCGTATTTCAGATTGAGATCATACCTACTTTAACTCATTATGGAATAAATACTATATCCCAAATATATATATATAAAGGAAACCAAGTTTAAAATTCAAGCTTTACAGCTGGCAGGATGGTCCCCACGCAGTCTCCGAATCCCACATAGTTTCCTTCCGTACCTGCCATTCCACGGAGAATGACAGTGTCCCCGTCCTCCAGGAACAAGCGCTCGGATCCATCAGCAAGCTTGATCGGGTTCTTCCCGTTCGTCTGCTCCAGCATACTGCCCTCGGTTTGAGAATCCTTGCCAGAGATGGTGCCGCTTCCCAGGAGGTCCCCGGTGTTCATGTTGCAGCCCGTGATGGTATGGTGAGCCAGCATCTGGGGGAAGGAGTAGAGGAGGTTCTTTGCATTGCTGTTCGAGATGATCGTGGGCTTACCGCCTGCGTTTGTGAGTTCGACCTGCAGGGGAATATCGTAGGCGTTGGCAACCCTCTTCTCGCGCAGATATGGCAGGAGAGACTCGCGGTTGCCGGGTTCCAGGCCCTCAGCTCGGAAAGGCTCAAGAGCATCGAGAAGGACAACCCAGGGGGTGATGGTTGTAGCAAAGTTCTTGGCGTTGAACGGTCCCAGGGGAACGTATTCCCAGGCCTGGATATCACGGGCCGACCAGTCGTTCATCAGAACAACACCAAAGATATGGTCTTCAGCCTGGTCAATGGAGACTGGCTTACCCAGGTCGTTGGGTATAGAGACAAACGCCGCAAGCTCCAGTTCAATATCTAGTCTCCTGCAGGGAGCGAAAGTGGGAACCTTAGGGTTTGCGGCAGGGTTGGCCAAAATCTGGCCGTTAGGGCGGTGGATGGGAGTGCCAGAAGCCACCACAGAGGAGGCACGGCTGTGATAAGCAACAGGCAGATGCTTGTAGTTGGGCTGCAGGGCATTTTCGGGCCCACGGAAAAGCACGCCCACGTTGAACGCATGGTTGAGACCGGCGTAGAAATCTGTGTAGTCGCCAATCTGCATGGGGACGTGGTTGGCCACATCGGAGAGAGGCACAAGGACTTCCTGCTTGAGGACTTCATTGTCCTTGAGAATCTCAGGAAAAGGCGTGTCCGCACAGAAAACTTTCTGAATGTATTCGCGAACTTGGCGATGCACTGGCCGACCGAGAGCTGCAAATGCGTTGAGAGTGGGCTGGCTGAAAACACTCAGATGAGACCCGATGGCGGGGAGCTGTGAGAAACCACCAGACGAAGCGAAGGCACTCAGGTTCAGTGCATAATCTCCGATAGCAACAGCAGCCACACGAGAAGTGGTCTTGGGCGATGAAATGATACCGAAGGGAATATTTGCCAGCGAAAAGGGGGAGTTCTTGGGGATCTGAAGCCAGGAAGCCATTGTATAGGCTGGATGAGAGAAGAAGATGGGAAACGGGGAGGAAAACTTCACAGATGGAAGAATGGAAGTTTCTACAGAGAGAAGAAGATGATGCCGGGGGAAAAAAAAAACCTGTTCCCCTCATCTCAAGAGACGATTCCATTGTTGGATATCGAGGGCAGACAGCGGAACCAAACCCGCACCCGCTTATTGCCGGCTGTTGGGAGCCTTTTTTCCAGCGCTTCGTCTCTCTTGCTTGCTTGCATCATATCTCCTAACCTAGGTATTGATGCAGATTCCGGCAATTCTTTTGACCTTGAAGCTCCTGGATTGTGCTTCGCTCCGCAGGTCCGAGTATATAGTCTAGTCTATGAGACTGATCGATAACAAGTAACAAGCGTGCTGACGGACCATACACTATTACAATAATCGCTCGATATGCCTGCCACTACCTTTTCATATCCTGACTCTTACACCTACCAGACTGGCTTTGATTCTTATCAGGAGTAAGTACATCGTCAATTCATTTAATCACCGGAGGGAGCGGAACTGACGTCTCACAGAACGGAAGCCGTCAAGGGTGCTTTGCCAGTAGGGCAAAACTCCCCCCAGAAGGTCGCATATGGTCTTTATGCCGAGAAGCTTTCGGGGACTGCGTTCACGGCCCCTCGACATGAAAATAAGCAAACCTGGGTCTATCGAATCCTCCCAGCCGCTGCGCATGAGAATTTCGTGGCTGAAGATGCAGATTCATATCACACACGCTTGACAACCGAGGCTAGCAAGCTTCATCATATCCCCAATCAACTTCGCTGGAATCCATTTGATCTCGACGAGACTGTAGACTGGGTCCATGGATTGCATCTTGTCGCTGGTTCTGGAGACCCTACCATGAAAACTGGTCTAGGAATCTTGCTTTATGCTGCAGGAAAGGATATGGGCAGAGAAGCCTTCTACTCTGCTGATGGAGACTTCCTTATCGTTCCACAACACGGTGTTCTAGATATTCAGACTGAGCTCGGCCGTTTGTTGGTTCGCCCTAATGAGATTTGCGTGATCCCCCGTGGCGTTAGGTATGCCCCCCCCCCCCTTCCCAAAAAAAAAAAAAAAAAGAAAAAGAAAACCGAACTAATACGATTCCCCTCTATAGATACCGTGTCACTCTTCCCGCAGGTCCTGTGAGAGGGTACATCTGCGAGCTCTACCAGGGTCACTACCAGCTTCCGGAACTAGGGCCCATTGGCTCAAACGGTCTTGCTAATGCTAGAGACTTCCAAGCTCCAGTAGCAGCCTTTGACGACGACGACGAGGAGGAATCTACAGACTACCGCTTGTATAGTAAATTCAACAACCACCTTTTCTCCGCTCGCCAGGACCACACCCCATTCGACATTGTCGCCTGGCACGGCAACTACTACCCTTACAAATATGACCTGGGCCGCTTCAACACCGTCGGTTCTATCTCGTTCGACCACCCCGATCCCTCCATCTTCACCGTGTTGACTGGTCCTTCTGACCACGTGGGCACTGCTATTGCTGACTTTGTCATTTTCCCACCTCGTTGGCTAGTGGCGGAGAATACCTTCCGTCCTCCTTGGTATCACCGTAACACCATGTCCGAATTCATGGGGCTGATTTGCGGAAACTACGATGCAAAGACTGGCGGTGGCTTCCAGCCTGCCGGTGCCAGTCTGCACAATATCATGAGTGCCCACGGTCCTGACTCGGATGCTTTTGAGGGAGCTAGCAACGCTACCCTAAAACCAGCCAAGGTTGGCGAAGGAAGCATGGCATTTATGTTCGAGAGGTGAGTGCTAATCTCCTTTTATGTAATTTATTTCTAACCTATTATTTAGTTCCCTGATGGTTGGAGTGTCAGAATGGGGACTCAAGACATGCCAGAAGGTGCAAGAGGAGTACAACGAACATAGCTGGCGTCCATTGAAGCGACATTTTAGGAACCCCAACAAGGCTTAATTACTTCCATCAGAACAATTATTAGTATTGTATCATTTCTACTATCAACCACATTTAGCTATATACCGATTTCAGTTCCGAATGACAAAATGGCCATCTTTGAAATTTGCCCTATATTTTGATTTAACCTAATACTCCTCGCTTATAGATAGGTAAGACCAAACAAGACATGACATGACATGACATGAGATATATACATAAACAAGAATGATAATAGTAGATAATGTAAATGTAACTTACTGCCCCTCAATCTCCTTCCTCAACGCCTCCTTCACGATCGCCCCACACATCTTCGCATAAGGGTTCGTCTGCACCGCCAACTGCTGCGCCATTTTATTCCCATATCGCCCACCAAGGAAAAAATCCCGGCTTGCCATCTCCTCCAACTGATCTGGTCCCGACTCCCGAAACCTTTCGGGAATAACACACCCGTCCGCTCCACCCCTTTCTCCTCCCCCCTCGCCCTTCAACTGCCGTGCCATCTTCAAAAGGATGTACCCGCGGTGCGTGTGCGAGTCTGCCAGAGTCCGGGCCTGAAGCGTTGAGACAGAACCTGCGAACGAACCAGGCGAGGAGAGTTCAATAGCTTGACCAAGATCCGCTAATAAGGTGGTGAGGTGGTCTGCATTTTCGGCTGCAAAGAAGGCTGCTGACGACGACGACGACGACTTTGGAGATGTGGATTCGGAGCCCCGGAGAGGGAAGGCGGGGCTTTGCTGATTAGAGGGTTCGATGAGCATGCGCAGAGCCTGGGCGCGGTTTGCGTATGCAGATGGATAGGTTGGATGTGTGGCAATGAGGGTATCGAGGTCGCGGATTGCGGATCGGATGGTTTCGGGGGGTGTTTGCGGGGATTGCAAGGGCGTGATAATTTCTTTCTCGCGGGCTTGGAGGGATTCGTGCTCCTTGGGGGAGATGTTTAGGTACGATGGGAGAGCGGGGAGTCTGGGATCGATGGTGATTCCGGCTGAAGGGGAGGACTCTGCGTCAAAGAGGGCTTGAAGGACGGCGGAGTCGTTAGAGGTGAGGGAGGGGGCGGAAGGTTGGAAGGCTGTTGCGGAGGACATCTTTTTTCTTTCCTGGTGTGTTTCTGTTGTGCAAGACACAGATAGTACTGAGATGTCAGTAGCTTAGCAAGTTAATATCCTTAGACGAGGTGGGTATAGATCTTTTTTTGAGAATGTTGCATGCGGAGTCTCGGACACAGGCGGGTGTTTGCAAATACCCGACATCATCACAAAGTCCGTGCCTGCAAAATATCCGTCCCCAGCCGGCTCCATCCTGCACTGGCCTTTAGGGGGTTTGAACTAAATGACTGGATGATGATACGGGTCTATTTGCATCGCAAGGAATCTGATTATCTTCTTGTCTCCCTCGTCAGCCTGGATTTATAATGGTTGCCATTCCTCTCCATCCCAGACGAATCCATCTTGCATCATCATCTCTCCCCTCTTTTGTCTCTTTCTGATATCATCCTTAACCTGATAAGCAAGTATAAAGAGAAATCTAGCAAATCATGGCTCCCTCAGCTATCTCAACCAGTCCTCCTCCCTCATCGGCCGGTCAGCTACCCTCAGACCTTGCCAGTTATCGCGGCTATGACCATGTGCATTGGTATGTCGGCAACGCCAAACAAGCTGCTTCATATTACATTACCCGTATGGGATTCCAGCGCATTGCATATCGTGGGTTGGAAACAGGATGCCGCAGTATCTGCTCCCACGTCATCCGCAACGGAGATATCACTTTCGTCTTGACTTCGCCTCTGCGCTCCCTAGACCAGATCGACCGCTTCCCTGCCGAGGAGCAGGAACAGCTCAAGGATCTCCACAGGCACCTCGAGCAACACGGCGACGGCGTCAAGGACGTTGCGTTTGAAGTTGACTCCGTAGAGGGCGTGTTCCGCGCTGCGGTGAGCAATGGCGCAAAAGTGGTTTCGAGCCCTCGCATCTTAGAGGACAAGGATGGGCAAGTTACAACGGCGACGATCCAGACATACGGACAGACGACGCACACTTTGATTGAGAGGAGCGCATATCAAGGCACCTTCTTGCCAGGGTACCGTGTAGAAAGTGGAGCCGTGGACCCGGTTTCTTCTTTCCTGCCTGATGTGCGTCTCAGTCGCATTGACCACTGCGTGGGCAATCAGGACTGGGACGAGATGGATAAGATTTGCGAATAGTGCGTTTGCCTTTGTCCTTTCCCTTTTCCTGTCCCTTCTCTTTTTGTTTTTTTTTTTTTGTTTTTTTTTTTTTTTTTTTCACCCTGACGAATTACCATGCTAATGTGTCTTAAAGCTACGAAAAAGCCCTTGGCTTCCACCGCTTCTGGTCCGTCGATGACAAGCAAATCTGCACGTAAGTTGATGATGGGAACCTGGGTCTTCTCACCAACCTAGGTACTAATAATATCCATGCAGTGAATTCTCGGCCCTGAAAAGTATCGTTATGGCATCGCCAAACGACGTCGTCAAGATGCCCATCAACGAGCCTGCAAAGGGAAAGAAACAATCCCAAATCGAAGAATACGTGGACTTTTACAACGGCGCCGGTGTGCAGCACATCGCGCTCCTCACAGACGATATCATCCGCGACATCACCAACCTCAAGGCCCGCGGGGTTGAGTTCATCAAAGTCCCGGATACATACTACGAGGAGATTAAGATCCGACTGAAGAAGGCTGGCCTGGTTCTTCATGAAGACTTTGAGACTATCCGTAGTTTAGACATCCTTATTGACTTTGACGAGCATGGTTATCTTCTGCAATTATTTACCAAGGTATGTTCGAAACTTGTATTTTACGACTGGAGAAAGGGTGGGGAACAAAACTAACGATTTGAAGCATCTCATGGACCGTCCCACCGTCTTTATCGAGATCATCCAGCGTCATAATTTCTCCGGATTCGGTGCTGGAAACTTCAAGTCGCTGTTCGAAGCGATTGAGCGGGAGCAGGAATTGCGCGGCAATCTTGTTTAGGGCTTCGGTTTCGGTTTCGGTTTCGGCTTCGGCTTCGGCATTGTAGCAACGACGACGGTAATGACCCTTCTTTTGTACTCTGTACTTTGTACTTTACATAGTACTTAACTTTGATTTTGGAATTCTTCTCAGCCTTGTATGAGTTTAAAATCCATTGGACTTGCTCTCGTTGTTGAGTTAATTCTTTAGCTACGAAATGATTACGATAGCCATAGTTTTACTATAAGGGGCCGATTTCGTTAATTTCCCTAGGTTCTAACTATGTAAAACTATAGAAATAGCGACGTGGCTGGATTTCCTTCCTTTATCAGCACTTCCTTGCTGCGCCAGAGGCCGCGGGCTACTTCGTCTTCGAAGAGCTAGAGCCACCAGGAGTTGTCCCTCCTCGTCGCTTATACTTGCGCGGGTCTAAATTTGTTTAGAAATCGCTTTTAGAACATCTTTAAAAAAAAAAAAAAAACACACAAACACGTACCCTTTCGACTCATCAGGACCTTATTCCGGGTTCCCTTTCCTCCTTCCCAGAATCCACTCCCGGCCTTGCCGGTGAGATACGCACGGCAGATCCCGCAGTTTTCTGGTCTGTATATTTGCTCTCGGGAGCAGAAACCACTGTACAGGTAAGAACTATATCCCGGCATAACGATATAAATGGCTTACCAAATCATCCGATTAGCGTGCTCGTTCGGATGGTCTGTAGCTGCGTCATGGCATCTAAATAAGTCAGAGATAAATCCTCGAGGGTTAATATAGAATTGAGCCATACTTGTCACAGGGAAAGACTTTAGAGCAGCAACTAAATCTTTGGGGGATGTCAGACTTGTACGTCAGTAAGATTAAAAGGAGAGAGAATACCTAAACCAACGATAGCTTTTACCGTAGTGCGTGCAGCGTCCACGCTTGGGTAGTTCCTGGCCGGCTACAATTCCTAGAACCTCCTTGGGCTATGTAATGCAATTAGCATAGGGTAAAGTCATGATCAGCTTGAAATAATTTACCTTTCTTCGGACTGGTGCGCGTTCCCGAGATGTAACTGCAGATAGACCCTTAGTATTCCCACGTCTAGGAGAGGAGCGACTTGAGGAACTTACATGCTGCAGATCCTACCTTGAGGAATTTCACCTCGGGGATCTTGAATACTGGGGCAGGGTCAGCATGAGCTTTTATTTGGAGAGGTAGTAGTATACATACCCATTTTACGGTGGCATTGGCGGCAGTTAGCCATTGCGCTCTCTCCACGCACAGCAACAACGCCAGGCGCAGGGAATGAGGTCGAACACTCCGCACAAGTTGGGATAAAGCCACTGGTTAAGCATAGGATGTAAGTAAGTCGCGGATTTTGAAGTTAAAGACCATCGATAGGTGCAACTAACCTAGGTAAAAGGTCTACAACCGTACAGCCATCCAAATCCAAGTAACCCGCACGATTGGCGTTGGGGTGCATCAAAAGTCGACGGAATCCTATGTGACGTAAATAAAAAGTTCAAGCTTTTGTGCATAGGGAAGAAATACCAATACTCATCGAATTTGAACATTTCTTGCAAGTTTCAACCTTAGGAGACAACGCGCCACTGCTGTCTTTAGTTTGGGGGATATTCCTCACATCCACAGGCTCCTTGCATCTATCACATTTGATAGTAATATACAAGCCCACAAGCTCAAGGAGCTCAATCCCATAGAGCTCCAAAAACGGCAAGGAAACGGCAACGCCGTATTCAGCGGTGGGTTCAGGTAGACTCGGCACAGGTGCTCCACCGTCATCCTCGTCCTCACCGGAAAAGTCGTCCTCAGTCGAGGATATATCGGTCTCATCACTGCCGCTCGAAACTTCGCCTACAGTCCACTCTGGAGGTCGAGGGACGACATGAACGTGAGGTTTGTCGGCCAAACTCGGAGAATCCCCTTCATTGGACGGTTGCGACTCTTCGAATGGAAGGGGCTCTGATGGTTCAAGGTCCTGCGGTACGCTAGGAACCGCTTCAACGGGCGTCTTTGCAAAGTTGTGCATGTTGTTCGCCAGATAATTTACCTGTGACACCAGGTTTAATTGAAGGTGATCTTTCAGCCATTGGGTAAATCCAAGTTCAACTGCGCGGGCCTCCACGCCTTCCACACCTTGTAGGTGAATGGAACTTTGCTCCAGAGGGTATAATGCTGGCACTGAAAGCTTCACAGTCTTAGCAGCCTGAACTGATATCGGAAGTCGGTCGACTTTGGTTGGTTGAATGGGCACAATAAATGAAAGGCCATCTCTGGCCTTTTGAAACAGCGGCAGTCGGCCAAGTCGTGCTTCAATTTGCTTTGTTTCCAGGGCTCTCCGCTTCTCCGCTTGAGACTTTTCCTCCAGTGTATACGCCGGACGTATCTCAGCAGGGGATGGTAGAACAGGATCTGTGCGCCGTGTATTCCCATAAGAGACTGATAACGAGTTCAAATTCTTGACGAGGGTCTGGCTCGCAACCTCGTCCCTTCGAGCAGCGTTTGGAACAAACTTCAGCGTTGGGGCTCTCTCCACCGTCGTTAATAAACGCTCCAGGTGCCGATCTAGACTATTCATCCAGTTCAGTAATGTACCACGCCCATTCATCCGTAGCGAGCTATCGACAATATCGTCAAATCCTCTTGCGACGTTATCTTGGAAATCGGCACCCATTTCAGGGTTTACAACTTTCAAGGAAGGCCTGCCGCGAGCAGGATATGAGAGGGGAACGGATAAAACGCATTGTAATCGTTGTAGCTCAAAAGGAAAGTCTGGATCTGAAGGAACGAGTCCAAAGGATAGAGTAGTTCCCGAGTCGTCAGGGCTTTCTGTGGGTCGAAAGCGCCGTCTGATTTGATTGATTTGAAACTCTCTTGGATTTGAGGTCTCCGTTTTGGAGACGGGTCTCTGAGCCGAGTTGATAGGTGGGGTGCCATTTCCAGACATCTTGTCGTGTATAGCCAAACAAGGAGATGGAGATAGTCTTCCTAATTACTTGTTTCCTCTCAATAATATATATGCGATAGTTTAGGCGTCAAAGTGAGTCAGGATGAGTCAGGATGGATCGTCTTTTAAACTGGCTCGTTATGACTCTATTCACACTTTGTCAGGCGCTAAACTAAATGAGGAACAAAATGGTCTCCCTGTTTCTGAGGCATCAACACGGTTCTTTTGCTCAACATCAGTTTTATCACCAGTTTATATCCAAAACCACAGTTAACTAGTTAACTACATCAGTCTATCAACAGACTAAATTTCAATATACCATGAGGAATAAACAGGCTCACACATACCCTCCCTGTTCAACCTGTTCAACCTGTTCAACCCGTTCAACCCGTTCAACCCGTACAATGTGGTCTGCCATTGACTGGTTAAACTGCAACTTAGCAAAGCAATCATTTACTCGGGTTCCCTGAACTCACTCCAGATATATAATCCATCAGGCACTACTAGTCCATCCTCTCCTGAAGCTATTGTTTTGCAATCGAAAACCGGTGAGTGACTGTCTCCTCATGGTCTGACCCGGGAGACGAATTCCCGGCGACGCCAAGGGCTCTGATTTGATGGAACTGACCAGAGCAAGGAGAACCAGAAAGAACTACACTATAGATGTTGGCTATGAAATAAAAGTGGATACCTAGCGATGGCCAGGGGTGATGGCCAGAGCTCGAGACAGCTTCAACGATCATGGCCTGATTATTTACTCTTCTCCCCCTCAATTCCTCCTTGCCCTCCCCTCCTCTTCTCATCCCTCTCTCAACAGCCATCATGCTGTCAGTTATCCTCATCAGTTCCTATGCATGCGCAGCCATTGTGGTGGCGATTCTGCTGAATGTCGCACGCCAGATCCTCTTCCGCAACAAGAATGAGCCTCCTCTCGTCTTCCATTGGATTCCCATCTTGGGCAGCACTATCACCTATGGCATGGATCCCTATGCATTTTTCTTTTCCTGTAGACAAAAGGTCAGTTAATGGTCCCCCTGAGAATCACCCCAGAAACGACATCTGGCTAACGTATGATAGTACGGTGACATCTTCACTTTCGTGCTCCTCGGGAAAAAGACAACCGTATACCTGGGCATCCAAGGCAACGACTTCATCCTCAATGGGAAACTGAAGGATGTCAATGCAGAGGAGGTGTACAGTCCTCTGACGACTCCCGTTTTTGGCTCCGATGTCGTATACGACTGCCCCAACTCCAAACTCATGGAGCAGAAGAAGTTTATCAAATTCGGCCTCACCCAGAGTGCCCTAGAGTCCCACGTCCAATTGATCGAGAAAGAAGTGGTTGACTTTCTCAAAACCAGCCCTCGTTTTAAAGGAAACTCCGGGGCAGTGGACATCTCGGCTGCCATGGCTGAGATCACGATCTTCACAGCTGCAAGTGCGCTTCAAGGCCCCGAAGTGCGCAAGAAACTCACTGCTGAATTTGCCGACCTATATCACGACCTTGATAAGGGGTTCAGCCCGATCAATTTCATGCTCCCCTGGGCACCTCTGCCGCACAACCGCAAGCGTGATGCCGCTCATGCGCGCATGAGGGCCATCTACATGGAGATCATCAACGAACGCCGGAAGAACCCAGAAAAGCAGAACATGGATATGATCTGGAATCTGATGCACTGCACTTACAAAGATGGGAAGCCCGTGCCGGACAAGGAAATTGCTCATATGATGATCACCCTCCTGATGGCGGGCCAGCATTCGTCTGCGTCTATCAGCGCTTGGATCATGCTGCGGTTGGCCTCGGAGCCGACCGTCCTCGAAGAACTCTACCAAGAACAGACGGCGAATCTCAAGATGGACGGTAGTGTTTTGCAGCCCCTGCAGTACAAGGATCTTGACCTGCTCCCCCTCCACCAGAATGTCATCAAGGAGACACTCCGCCTTCATCTGTCTATCCACTCCATTCTGCGCAAGGTCAAGAACCCGCTCCCCGTCCCAGGCACCTCTTACATCATCCCAGCCAACTATACGCTTCTTGCCTCCCCTGGCGTGACGGCACTCAGCGACGAATACTTCCCCAACGCCAGTCAATGGGACCCCCACCGCTGGGAGAACCAGCAGCTGGACGAGAAGGAAGACGAAGGCGAGTTGGTCGATTATGGCTACGGCGCGGTGACCAAGGGCACAAACAGCCCCTATCTTCCTTTCGGCGCTGGCCGTCACCGATGCATCGGAGAGAAGTTTGCCTATGTCAACCTGGGGGTCATTGTCGCGACTCTTGTCCGGAATCTGAAGCTGTCGAACCTGGATGGCAAGAAGGGAGTTCCTGGTACGGACTACTCGACTATGTTTTCGGGGCCATTGAAGCCCACCACCATTTCTTGGGCGCGGCGATTTCCCGAGAGCAGCTCCTAAGTCCCCTGCAAACGTTCAATCGTGGAGTCCCCAAAAAAAATTTAAAAAAAATTTAAGTGCTGGGTTGCTTGTATCTTTTAAAACTAAATAATCGATCGTGATGAAAACTAGGTAATACTAATAATAATGACCACTCATCTTTCTCTCCTCACAAACCACCTTTTTCAAGTCCCAAGGAATCAATTAGGGAGATGAAAGCGAGGAGCAGGCAGCAGCAGCAGCAAGCCTCTCTCTCCTTTCCATAGATTAGGTACCTTGTCTGCCTACATTGGAAGTACCAGTAGAACACAATTTCCCCCTCATCATCAAATCGGGCCCCAAGCGCAATCAGCCAGTAGTTTAATAATATCGTATTACTTATAATATATATATATATACTGCCTACTAAATTACGAGCCGATCGAAGCCACCGGCCACGTACTAGAATACCCAAATACCAACGACATCACAGTTAGATAACAGCCATTCTCTTCTCAGTCGCAACGCACGAGAAAAAAAAAAAAAGACATAATTAGATATTCGATATCGAGCACACCTAGCCCAATAAACCCCAAAGTCAGTTTGTAAGCAACTGCCAACTCAGCACCGGAGCCCCCGTGCTCCCCTGGCTCCCCTCCTTTACGGGGACTATGTTAAATTAAGAATCTGGACCGAGGGCGTGTGACTAGGAGGAGGATGCGGGCTGCAATGTCAGATCTAGGGAAGGAAAGAATAATCAATACATAAATGTGCTGGGGGGGGAGGGAGGGTATGCGCTGCCTTATCTACTCGCTCGGTCTCTCCGAAAATATCGGCCAGTAGGAAATAACACTGGTGACGTGAATGAGGTACAGTGTATGTGCATGTACATAATAATAATGATGGTCTAGATCGAGGATTAGACAGAAACCGCCAGTGGCGCCTGGGAGAAGAGCTGGAAGAAGGCCCGTAGCAAAACTGGATTATGTGGGTGTATATACATACATACATACATACATACAATAGAGGAATGCGTTGTTGTGGCAGGTGAGCTTGGAAGATAACAAAGCACTGCGGTTGTTAACTAAGTGTCTTATCCAGGTGTATCTCACATCTTTCTTTTCTGATTCCTTTTTTCTGGCTTGCGCCCGGAGGTGGGGTTGGTTCTACACATCCTGCATTTGTCAATGCATATCAATCACTATCCAATGCAGTAGGGGGCTTTTTCATGATTACATTAGTAGGGAAGGTAGGTACATATACACACATGCATACATGTATAATAGTCAGGCGGATCTTTCAAAAATATTATAAAATCAAATAATGGGAAAATCAAATAAAAGACATGACCTGTCGGTGTATAGGCATGGGCAGCAGTACTCCGTAAAGGCAATAAGATCAATCAGCACTAAGCATCATGATTCACCAAATTTGCCAACACAGCGATCTGGTGACCCTGAGATCGACATCCCAGACCCTGGGATATGGCTGTAGGAGGATTATTTGTCTGTGCCTAGGCCAGCTGCAGCCTAGGGAGGCACAAAAAGTACGACCATGTACCTAAATTCACTCGAGAATCTCCATCCAGATCAATGTCCAAGATGACCGCGCGACATTTGGAAACAGTCGACCAGTCCGAAAATCCAAATTATACCTTCTTCACCGCAAAATAAGACCGTCCTCGGCGGAATCCAGTCTCGAGTCTCGACCACCACAGCTCGAAAAGAGGGCGCCAACCTTAATGCATGCTTCTCTTTTCCCTGGTCTGGAGCTGACCTCTTCTTCTTCTTCTTCTTCGTCCTCCTCCTCCCCGGTCACGGATGATATTATCACGACGGATCTGTCATCATCGAGGCATCAGTTGACTGGAAAAGTTTTCAGCGCAGTTGGACTCGGGGACTCCGAGCCATTCACGCAGTAGAAATTCGGAGCAAGGTATATTGGTTCCATCCATGTATTATTATTCTCTTGCCTACCTATCTCGAGATGAAGATGCTGCAAACGGTTAAGCCCCAGCCAGGAGAAGTTCGCTGCACAGTGACTTCACCACTTGGAAATGGAGAGCATACCGGTACATAGACGACGCTTCATCCAGGTACTTCTGTATGTAATTGTTGCGCGCGATACAAAACCGAACCTGACGGTTACGCCACTAGTAGTAGTAGTAGTAGTAGTAGTAGTAGTAGTAGTAGTAGTAGCCAGGGCCCTGGCCTGCGGCCAAACGTCGGAGGAGACTGGATCGCGATCACGTATTCTGGCGCAAACTTTCTCCGAACCTGGATGAAGCCATAGTCGTCTCCTCTCCAGACGACAAGAATTCTCGCTGCCGCCGCTACTGACTGACAACCGGAGTAGAGCTCCCCGCGTTGGCCCCCCCCCCCTCTCTTGACTCTGGACTTAGCGGGATGATGTAACCGCGATCCACTGGACGAAAATAATCAGGAGAGCCAAAGGGTACGGATTCGATTTATATGGGTAGAGCATCCACTCGAATATCACACACGTCTGGTGACTTGGAGTCTCAATAATCATGGACGGTAATTGCCTGCGAATGGAATCTTGAAGACTTTCAGTTGGCACTTACCGAACCGATCCATAGTCGAACCTAATCGGAGGAAAGGAGTCCGTCACAGGTATTCCTCGTATTACCTCGTACAAGACTTAGGACTACAAGTACGTGGTCACTAGTATAACCGTATAACCGTATAACCCCATATTATTCTGGAGGGATATACAATATAGAAGATGTCTGCAGTCTCATGTAAGTCAAGAACAAAAACAATCTTTAGAACAGTCCAGAGTATCCTTCTAGTTATTTCTAGGTACTAAGTGATTTATCACTCCCCGTCCTTTCCAAGACAGTAGTAGCTGCTCTGTAAATCGTATTACCGTGACCCCGCTTACGTACGGGAATATACTGGTATGGTAATAATGGTACGACCGGGTAACTGGAGAGACCTTTCCATAGCCATTCCAAATCTAGACCTCCCGTTCAACCTCAGGCTAGAACTTGGAATCCTTCGAGAAGGATTATCTTTTCTTTTTTCTTTTTCTTTTTCTTTTTCTTATTCTTCTTCTTTTTATTTGTTCATTACCGAAGAAAAAAAAAAAACAATAAAAAACAATAAAAATGATCGTCTGCTTTGGGTAAAAGAGTTGAACCTACCTTGAACCATTCATCCCCTTCCTTTCCGACCAAGAAGAAGAAGAAGAAGAAGAAGAAGAAGAAGAAGAAGACATTCCTGAGTTTCCTTTTCTCCTAACTTTTACTCTAAGTTAGGTTTCATCTATACTAGTATATTTAGCAATGATACAGGTTTGAGTTTATGTGATGATTTTGATTAGTTATATGACAGTCGCACGTACAAAGTCCAAAGTCAAACTAAATCGAGCTTTCCACGTGTTACCGCGTCGGCGTGGCTTGGCAAGGCTAGGTCACGGGATGCATGTTCGTCAACCAAAGAAGACGGAGGAGTATGGAGAATTGGACGTGGGGGTGCGGTAGAGATACATCAATTACTGTAACTATACAGAACCAATTTATTCCTGCACTGACATGGCAGATGGGCCGGGATTTCCCCGAGACTTGAATACCCAATTCGTTATAGGGTGTGCAGATTACGGTCGTCCACTGCTCGGCGTCATTCCGGGAATTCTTCGGTGGTAATTTTCTTTTCTTTCCGTATAGTTACCAAACACAACCTTAAGTTACAAACACGACTCCCTCGAAAGAGAGGCGGGCTGCGAGCAACAACCCCTAGTATGAAAGAGTAGTAGTTCTAGATCGCGTGTGAAATGAGTGAGGCAACTGAGTTCGGCTTGCCGAGGAAACAGCACAAATCGGGAACTGATCAATCGATCCTCGTGATGGTGGTTACAATGCAGGTACTGGCGGAGAGACGCTTGGCTTGGTACTTGATTACAGAGTAGACACAGAACAATAGTTAAATGAATACTCAATGCTATGATCTAGGGATTACTCGGTGCTCGCCACTCTGACCTGCTCCAAGAAGATGGCAAAGACATCAAAGTTCTATCGAAAAGGATATATATATATTCTATACAAATCATAGCAGACTATTATCGAGATCACAGATCGATATCTACCCATAGTTGTTCAATCCTGGTTATTGGTTCGGCGGTAACCAACTAACTTACTCCGTCCGTACCTCCAAGTAACAGTCTCCCGTCACCCGCTTACACGGTCACTGTATAACAAACCAGTACTCTTGGGTTGTTCTCCGTTGCGGTAAGCATTGTCATTGACCCATCACCAGGGGGGGGGGGACCCGCATGCTATCCCAATTCCCGGGTGGCTCACTGGCTCACTGGCTCGACCTGCAGTATGTACGGGAGAACGTGTGGATGAGCGACAGAATTCTGTCTAATGAACATCATCTCCCACTGGATCCGGCGCGAAATCACTAGCCACAGCCAACCACGTCTCGGGGAGAACCGGGCATGGTTTTTTTTTTTCTAGTCTTCCAATTTGGATACATCTTGGAGATTCGGGAGAATCAGGAAGTGATGAGGAATACTTGGCTCTTGACTTGACATGTGACATACTCCGGTACTAGTAGTACTTACACGCCAGTAAACGAAGGAGCACTAGTAGTAGTACTTTAGTCTTTAGGTAAAGTAGGTGGAGATGAGGAGAATGATTGTCGTACTAAAAAGTCATTCAGTTAAGCACTGATGATGCTCGTGATATCCCCCCAAACCATAGTTAATCGATTTGAATCATGAGCTTCGTTGAGAGAATTACCTCGTGGACCCCAAACCCAAGGTTCAGTTGTTCCAACTTCCAACGGTCGAAGTTAGGAGATTTCCACCGATCCCGCAAGATCGGAATATAGATGGTTACGTCACGGAGCCCTTCCGCGCGCGCGATCGCAGTCTCCTGGCTCCCTGAAGTCTCGCGGGTATGAGGTAACCATCTATATCCGCTGGAGGAATCGGGTAATCTCTCCTCCCAGATAATTCTAACTCTAACATCCCATAACTTAAAACCCTTCCCCGGATTTTGTTTTTCATATGCTTTGCGCATTCTAGAATTTCCCAGGTGGAGTTAAACCCTTGGTGAAGATACTGGAGACCCCCCCCCCCCGCGTTTTGAGGTCTCGGTCGGTCGTGGGGATGTTCTTTGTTCGGTATCACCCGTTGATCCGGTACATAGGGCAAGAAACTGACATTGAGACTCTTTGTAGACAATGACAATGACAATGACAATGACAATGGCTATGATATGATGGTTACCATCTTGTCAAATATAATCCGAAGACAGCTTAAGCATCAAGGATTGATTCTAGAACCACCATGGAAGAAAGCAAGTCACCTCTATAGTTAGTTACTATACTTACAAGATCACCAAGCAAGCAAGCAAGCAAGCAAACACCCCTCCCCAGAATGAATAGTTTCAACCCGAACAATCCCGCCAGTTACACATCATCTACCGTGGCTCCAACACCCCCCCCCCCCCCAGATCTAAGTTAAAAGATTATAATATCACAAAACCCTAAGTATATATATATAATAGCCTAGCCCCCCATGTACGGTTCCCGGGTGCGTTCAAGGTTGAGCAAGGTACCTTTCGAAGAAAAATTCAATCCTACCGCGTTTCCACGGCTCTTGTCCCATACTTGGGTTTAGATTTTAGGTACTACTTACTTACTTACTTACTTTTACTTTAGGTACAGGTTGTCAAGGTAGCTACGTAATTAGGTAGAACGGTAGATTTCGTCGATGGGTGTGAGTAAGTAAAGCATGTGAAGTGATCAGTGCTCATAGTCTATGATTCTAGATCTCAATAGCAAATATGCAAGTGGAGTTGGAAGATCTTCTTCCCTCTTTGTTAGGTACCTTGCTCTCTCCTGGTCTTGTGTGTCGGTGGGCAATGTCCAAAGCTCTACTCCGTACTCTAGCTTACTACTGCTACTCATAACATAGTTAATCTAGGGGTAAATTGTATTACTCTTGAAAAGTTCTTTCATTTATCAAATCCATTTTCTTTTCTCTTTTCTTTTTTTCTAGGCGCGGGGGTTTCCAAAACTCTCAGTAGCGTACATGATATGCGTGAGTCGAACCACCATGCTCTCTCGAACCCAGTAAGATTGGAATCACAACACACAAGGCGGTATCTTACATCAGACATGGGGGAAGATATGAAGAAAATTCAAGTGCTTCTTTGGAAGAAAAGAAAAACAAGAGAGTAAAACAATCGCTAAAGTTGCAATGACATCCAGAGGTCTCTTTTAGATTTCCACCCAGCAATAATAGGAGCAGAACAGAAGAAAGGTAAACCCCATATAACCATATCAACCGCATTACCACTGTATAAGTGACAAATAGAATCCTTTGTACAAGAAGATTATCTGTAAAAGAGAAGCAGAACAGACAGCCAACCCCATGCAACAGAGCTTTGGATGATAAGGAAATCTGGGAGAGAAGAATCGAAAAGCGACGACCCGAAAATGAGACTAAGTCAGAAATAACATCCATATGATCCCTTAGGTGCGCCAAAATGCAATGCAGTCGTGATCGTACGTGTCACAAGGTCGATAAGCTGTTAAAGTAAAAGGAGATTTGTGGAAATTGGGTATCATGGTCAAAAGAAGAAAAAGAAAAGAAAAACATCATCTCAAAGAGATTATGCTTGACATGAGGAGGAACAAGGGTTTGACATTAGAATTACCAGCCTTTGGCGTGATATTCCCATGGTCCGAAATCCGTGTAATTATTCCAAGAGCCAGTCTTCATCACATCCTTGTCCTTGCTCGGGGTTGTAGTGGTCGCGGGCGCTGGTTCTTGAGTGCCTTTCGGTCCCGGGTACTCCTGGAGATTCGCCATGTCATGCGTAGTGTGTCGTCGCTTGAAGGCGTTGGCAGTGGCACTCTTTTGCTGGCGTTCCCACAAAAGATGGCGACGAAGGGATTCGGTCAATTCTGTAGCAAGCATGTTGCGACGGGTAGTGCGAGGAGAGTGGGCAACGGATTGAGGAGATGGCTTCATGATAATTGGCTTCGAGCGAGGAACACCAGGACCCTTCATTGTCAAGCTTTCCTCATCGTCATCAGCAGGGGACGCGGGGATTGAAGGACCATTGGGCGACGTAAGACGCGAGCGTTGCAAAGCGGGACTAGAGCGGCAGGCATTTTGCATCTTTAGAGGTTGGTGCATCATCATCGTAAGAAGGGAACGGCGCGAAACCAAGTTCGGTCGCGAATCCACTCGCTGGAACATCTCGCGGTCTTCAACACTCGACCGACCGCTTTCTGTGATAGAGTCTTCCCAATCGGAGTCTTCATCGTCTTCAATCGCACTTTCGGAAACCTCGTCGTCGGTCTCGATCGCATCCTCGTCACTGCTCTTGGACGTCTTCATTGGCTTCAGCGTCGCAACCTGTTCCTTGAAAGAAGCAATTTTCTTGGGATTGAGGTTGCTTCCTGGCCTTCCAAGCTGGTCCGTGAGAGAACTGCGGTGAGGAGCTTGCATTGCCATTCGATCCTCGAAAGAACTCTCGTCATCATCACCAGAGGATCCCCCAAGAGTAAACATACCACCTTTTTTCTTTAGAGCGGATGGCTTAGCGACCTGCATTTTGTTTGTGTCGGAGTTGCTCGAAAGTTTGGCCTGCGATCTATATGAAGAAGAGATCTGAGAGGGAGAGAAGCCGCGGATGATGCTGGGAGATTTGATCAACTCAGGCCTAGTCGAGAGGATTCCAGAGGAAGAAACGCTAGTGTCTGAAGCAGTGGTAGTAGCAACATCACTGTCATTACACTCGGGGGCGGTAGTAGAGCAAGATTCGGTCGACTGGTGTTGCCCGTCACTTAGGCCATACGAAGGTTCACGTCTGAGTGAAGCCACCGACGGGAGAGTGGGGGTGGGTGTAGACGGTCGCGGCGTAATATCGACGACAGGTTGCGTATATGTCGTACTCAAAGACGACAGAGGCTCCAGATTTTTCTTCTCTTTAATATTAAGCACCATGCGTTCTAGACCCATAGATGTAATATGTTTCTCTTTGGCGCGTCCCAGGTTCAAAACGGATTCCTCGCGAACCACGGCGGGTTTGGGGTCCGGTCCTTTGGGGCGTTTGATGTGTTTTTCTATGCGCTCCGCCTGCTCAGAGGCAGCCGATTCAACACTGGCAGAAAGTTCCGGTAGGTCTCCAGCCTCTGAGCGGAGGAGCGGCAGAACCGAAGTATCGCTTGAACTCTGAGGCTCCACGCAGAAGGTCTCGCGAGTCCATAGTCTCCAACTCAAATTTTCTAGACGGCGGCCTTCTTCCATATAATCGGCACATTTTGAAAATACTGACGGGTAAGCGTTAGCTAAACACTACCACAGGGCCACCATTCAGAATCAAGACTCACCCATCCACATTCCATGGAGACTCTGTGTGTTGGCCGTGTCAACTTTATGTATTTTGGCAGCGTCCACCGTGAGGACGGGGGTAGAAAAGCGAGTAGGCATGTTTGCAGAGCCACAATTTCGATTTCTAGAAATTGGTCCACAAATGGTTTCCTTGTCAATAAGTAGGTTCGGGGTCGCCGTCTCCCCCGAGCGTGGTCGTGCGGCGCGAAAGTCGGATGAGGAAGATGTTCTGTGATCCTTGTCCAGGTTGTGGTTCAACCGAAGCTCCAGTCCTTGTAGTGTTAACCCTGCCAGTGTGTCGCAGCAATTCAATTAAGCCGCAAATGGCACCTCAGCTGCCGTAACAAGCAGCAGCGTCCCGAGATCAATTGTGGATAAAAACACGATAATCAAGAGCGAGCGTCGGCAAACTAGATCGGCCGTAACAACGAATTGTCCAGAAGACGCCAAAGTAACGCTATGCGAAAGCAAGGTTGACCAAGGCCCAGTGTTGTCAAGGTACACTGGCTGATGAGAGGCGATGTTCGCGATACCGGAGTATATGGGGCTAGTTCGGTATTGTCGATAGTGGGATGGGGAAAGATTGGGGATAGTCGAGAATCGGAATGGTGAGAGAGGTGGAATTTGAGAAGAGGAGACAAGAGAAAAAAGAGAGGAAAATATGGGGAGAAGATGAGTAGTAATAGGAAGTCGTAGTGGAGCGGAAGGAGGGAAAAAAAAAAAAAAAAAAGGAAGAAAGATACTTAGTAGTGAGTTGATGGATTGGTGGGGATATGGGGGCGTATGTAAGTGACGGTACAAGGGGAAAGAAAAAAAAAAAAAAAAAAGGAAGAAAAAAAAAGAAAAAATAAAATAAAATAAAATGGCCGATGATGGGTAACTCAGTACTGTACCGAGGGGGAGGTTCGATGGTGGCCAGCAGCAATAATAACGACGGGATGGGCGGTAAGTGAAGAAAAATAATAAATAAAGAGAGAAAATAATCAAAAAGTAAAATATTAATATTAATGAATTCTACCTGGTCGCGCCTCTTTCCCCCATATTAGGCCCTGTCGTCCGTTATAATTTAGAAATGATTTACCCAATTTATTTATTTTTATTTATTTATTTTTTAATTTTTTTTTGGGTTTGGTACCATGTTACTTCCGGAGTACCCCCGTAGGTCGGTTGGTATTTCATACAGCGTCATTACCGTTGGTAACTTTACCGGTCTGTTTCCGGAGATCCACAAGAAAAAAAAAAAAAAAAAGTACACGGGCTGAGAGCCTGAGACAGAGAGAGGTAAGTACTGGGCAACTTCTCTCGGTGAATGTAGAGTATCCGGTGGGGGTTGACTCTGGGGAAGACTCAATTTTCGTCTATACAGCAATAGAGAGGGGTTTGAATGATCAAAAATTCAATTAATTTATTTTCTCTCTTTCTCTTTTGCCTGCTTCCGTCCTGCCTTCTTCTTACTCTTTCTTGAGGAATTGAGATGTCACTATCACTACTCCGGGGAACAGGAACCAGAAGAAAACGTTCTAGACAAAGCTGTCCGGCCCTGTGACCAGATCCAAGCATGACTAAGGCAGCATCGCCAGCTGGGTGGGTTTTAATGTGGTTCTGCAACTGGCAACCCAACAGTGGCCACTGACTGGGCAGGTCACTTGACTTCCCCAAAAATGGATCCTGGATGATTGGTCTGGAGAGGCTGATATTGATATCACTCGCCTTCTTTACTACTACCCAACTAGGTAGGTCTAGCACTAGGTCAGCATAACAATCAATAACTAAGTGGCTATTGATTGGTATGAGTACTCCGTATAAATGATGAGGCATTTGGAGTCTCCGTTTCTTCAGATTTTGCCAGTATGGGTAGATACAGTCCTTTCTCAGAAAATGACTCCAAAGTATCTGTCCTGCTGACTGTAAAATAAATCGAACTAAATCCGATTAAAGCTGCTTTCGCCGTGGAACTAATAATGATTCTATCCGATCTGTTTTAACCGCATCTCTTGCTTTGGAGCTGGAGACGAAACGTCCTTTCCAAAATGGGTTAAGCCCGATCGAGATTTTCTCCTTTTCAATTTTACCCCGGCGTCTGAATTCAGCACATCTACAAAGTACCTATTAAAATCCAGCTCTGTAGTATTCGACCTGTCAACGCAGTTCGATTTCAGTACTTACCCATCCCGGCTGAAATGCCAGAAACAGCGATCTTCCCTACACGGCTGCTTTTAACCGCTGGTATGAAGGTACTACTAGTAGTAGTACTATCACATACCGGGGGAAAGACATGGGTATTTCCGATCGAGATGATCGCCTTAGTCACATATCAAAGAAAAAAAGACTCCTCTCCCCTTGTCGATGGAATGTTTCGTCCACAGGTATGTGCCTTTTCCTGGTATACACCAAGTATACGCTCGATGTACAGCCCAATCGGATTCCATTTCTGGTAGTATTTCCTAAATGAGAAAGCCAGTATATCATGTGGAACATTTTGGTAGGTTTCAGATACATGAATATCAACCAAGCGGTGATACAGTATGTCTATACCTACTACTAACAATCAAACAAGATCTCGTAATCCAAAATACCTCGCGACAACAAACAACAGCATCTCATTCATCCAACAGGCGCAAAGAAAACCAACCGCCCCTAAATCAGAGTAGGTAATTGTATCACAACCCAACATCTCATTCCGCCCATAAGCAAGAGAAAGTCACAAGGCGAACGCCCTCTACCAGTAATCAATCATATCATTAGGTACATGATCACCATATCCAGTGATGATATACGCGTACTCGAGATGATACCTTGAGTGAAAAAAAATATCCTTCCAAAGGGTAGGTATACTATACCTATCACTAGAGAGGTAACTATCCCTGGGCAGCAACGCTGATATTCCTTCCCAAGTTGAGCCGCTCGTCAACCCCCCTTTCTTCCATCACGAGGCGGGTTTTGTTTTTTTTTGTTTTTTTTTTTTTTTTTTTTTTTTACGAAACAATTTTCCATCCCCATCGAGAAAAAGAACAGCAGGAGTACTCCGTGGAGTACTAAGTAGGGTAAAGGGCCGCCCCGAAACAAATATGATACCTAACTCCAACGCCACGGTTCGTCCTCCCCTCCCCTCTTTGCCCCGGTTCTCCAGGTCAGTGGTTCCGGGAAGTACGAGGGACAACCTGGAAAAGATGCTCCCGATCCGCTGTCATCTACCTAACCATGTCACGATGCAACTGCGTGGCATTGGCTGTGTTGGGTAACCCCAGATGCCAATCCATGATTATAGTGGGGATTTCCGCCCCTCGCTCTACTTGGGAGGAAGGTCGAGACCCTATTATGTATGTATCGTGAGGAGTACGGTATACATAGTCGGGGCCCCGGAGTCGTTGCAGCTCTTTTCCCGGAAGGATGAGAAGAGTACCCTACCTAGGTACTCCGTACCTACACTCTAGAGTATAGTACATATTAGGTTATTCCTGGCTTTGGGGCTTTTCTTTGTCCTTGCATTGGATGGGAAGTCATCAGATGTTGCCCAGCGAAAACGCGATGGAGGGAAGCTTTGGTCTTTAGGTAGGTACGGAGTAACTAGTTAGTTAACCTGTAGGATGGGGAGGTACACTAAGCCTTACAAATCGGAAATCCTGCTTGCTCAACCCAGTATTGTTCTACGTGCTTCACCAACAGAGTTCGCGCTTATTTGCATATTCTTCTTTCTTTCTTTCTTTCTTTCTTTCTCTCAGGATGAGGGTTACATTCTCAGAGACAAAAACTACCATTGCAAGCAGGCTGAGCTCATCCAGAAGGGAAGACAGATAAAAGCTCCATGACAAAAAAAATCTCCAGTTCTATTGGCCTTGCTCGCGTCTTTGTATGCGCAACACCATGCACACCATACAGCATTATCGGCATGTAATAGTAATTCATGTCGAGGTGCCATGGCCAACTACGCAAGCTTATTCCATGCGTGAAGTGTCCCCAGAATTTAGAACCCACAGGGGGCGGAGACACCGCTGGGCAGTATCAGAAGTGCTCAGCTGGTCATCTTCCGTGCATACGGCTGTTCCACCGGGATGGAGAGAGCCACGTAGCTGCATATTATTCCTCTGGAAAACAAAATCCCATGTATCAGGCGCACTGCAGGGTCTCCCAGGAGGAAGGGGGCAGCGTATGAATTTTCCATCACTCTACGGCAGGTGTTTTGCAAGTTAAGCTTATGACAGCTTTGGGGATAATGTACATACATACTCCGTACTCCGTACTCTCCGATGGTGGCTTTTTTTTTTTTTTTTTTCCGTCCCCTCCGGCTGCTTTTTAACGCCAAATCAAGACGAAAATCTTCCGAGGACATGAGATCCAGTCAGGCAGCCAGTTATCTCCTAATCTGATATCCGGTGTAAAACTCGTCTAGCAATGCGAACCTTCACTCGAGTATGGACTACCTGCTTCCAGGTCGGCTCCCATTAACATCCGAGGTTTTGATGCCGTAATAAGGCCCCCTCTACAATGTCTGTAATGGGCGTACAAGGACAAGCGAGACGAAATAGGCAAGAAGATAGGCCATCCATTTCGAGTGTGGCGCCCCAAACGAGGATTGACCTAGGAGGCTCCATCACAACGTGGGGGAAAAAAAAGCCTCGTTGAGTCGTGACTCGTAACTTGTCGCAGTCAGAAACTAGAGAGGAGGGAAGAGTTCAGGTATTGAATTTGAATTCGAATATATTCTGGACTCGATTCTCTAAAAGCTGGTGGCGAAAGCGACCAAGTCACAAGGACAGCAGCTCCTCCCCCGTCCCGTCACATGATGTGCAGTCGATCCACGCCGCGGTATTCAATATTGTTGTCGTGCGCCTCGCGATTCTTGGGAGCTTTGGGCATTGTAACGATTGGGAGGAGAAATGAGGGAACGGCCGAGCGGGATGCTAATGTCATGGCAGCCTTACTGGAGCGGAGCTTACGCGGTCTGCCTATCATTGCACCGGGAACACTCTGTCTCCCGCCTGTTTCTATGTTTCAAAATATCCAATAAGTAGCCTGCTCAAGCCAGAACCAACAACAACAACAACCCTAAACACCAAGTAAGAGAAACATGCAACAGTTACGTATGCTAGGTAGCTGGGAGGTCATCGCAGGTGATTCCAGCTATGCGTGGGTCTTGTCTTACGGAGCACTCCTTCCCGAGTTTTTAGAAAGGTCTGCAAGGTCGAATAATTCCATGCTAGGAAGTCTTTACATTCCGACTAGCGACGCTGTGCGCGAAACACCACGTCTGTAGTCAGGCTGCCGGTGCTTGTTTGTCGTTCCTTCAGAGCGGGACAGGTACAGAGTTCTGGCTGCTCGAAGGGCGTGTCGATCCAGGAATTGTCTGGATTCTCGCGACTACAATTGACCAGATTGGGTTGCGTGGCTGGCTTTTCGTCGAGAAACACTAATGAACCTAATGAACTTCCAGGACTTCTGGTAAGCATCTTATTCAAGGTCTGAAAATGCTCTTCGTCGCAGACCAGCCAGCCCTATACTCCTAGGTACTACTTACTGAATTGTGAACGGATACCCAATATCGAGGATCCTCAAAGTATCAATCATCCCCTGGGTTGATCACAGGGGTGGTGTATAAAGTACGGTGAACTCATCCCAGCCCCCCCCCAGAAGTTCAAGAGAGACCATAACAAACTATTCCTTCGTAGTTCAATTTTCCTTCGTGTAATTAATGTACCACTTCTTTGTGAAGGAATCACTCGAGCAGTCACATTCCTAAAATTTTCCCGGCCCACGTCCGCCGATGAGGTTCCAGGAAGGATTTTTGCCATGTAACCAATTTCACTAGGCAGGCAGGTCCCTAGCTAGGTAGCTATTTTCTCCATACAGAAATAGGGCAGCTACGGCTGAGAAAGCAAATAGATCGATTGGAAATCGAACCTTTGTTCGAGAAATGAACTACTTGAGTTAGTGATCACCAGGGCATGCAATCTTGCAGGATAGCTTCACTGCAGTTTGTCCTCCCCGGAAGTGGCCCTTGGAGAGGGGTCGGTCCCGGTAAATCAGTATGCAAGGGTTACGCGGATCGCATTCAAGGCTCTGGAAGCAAAAAAAAAAAAAAAAAAAAAAGGGGAAGGGGAAGGGAAGGGAATGCAACCTCTGCAAAGAGCGATCTGGTTGACAGGACGGGCACTTTTTTTTTTTTTTTTTTGATGTAGCACTTGGGGAGCCTGAGTGTTGGCTGGATAGCTTGGAATTATCCCCCTCGTTTCGCGTTGATTTCTAGAGAGGATACATACATACAAGATACATCGATATACTTTCTCCCTTCCCTCTCCTTGTTCCTGGGTCCCTGATCCCCGATCCAACACGCGAGGAACCCGAAAAGTACCGACGGCTCTCTCTTCCTCTTTCTCTGTCATGCCTGTTTTGTTCGAACGGTCTCCGCTTACTGGTCGATCCTTGGGGACTTGCTGGTTTTGGCGACAGCAAACGGTAAGGACGTTGAATCGGTCAAAAGCTATACTGTAATGCAAGAGGAGTATTAATATTTGCCTCGCACATCCACTAGAGAGTGACAAGCTTGCAATATATCGAAAGCAGCATGCTCTTTCGTAAGACTTGTTATTGAGCTATTGTCCGAAAGATTGAACTCTAGTGAGGAAATCAAGTCAATTAGTAGTCCCCTTGATTCACCCTCATTACCCGGGTATGCAGGAGCTCAGTTCTGTTTCCCTGACTGGCCGATCTGTGAGGTCGGACAACAAGATCGGAAGAAGCATTCAAGCCATGCACAACCCTTCCACTGGGAAAGGCCACCGCGTCGTGGGAGCGTTGCAAAGGGCGACGGTGAATTATTCGGGGAAGTAATAGATGTAGGTATGTGGTGCTGCCAGTGGATGGACCTGGGACCTGTTTGTGTTGGTGGGTACGTACGGAGGGTACAAAGTACAAAGTACATACTCAAGCTTCCAACTACTCAGGTACTTTAATACTTTCAGGTTTCCCGATTGTGTATTGATGGGAGCATACATACAGGTTGTACTGTACTTGTATATACATATAAGGTATAGACTCCCAAGTAGTATTCTATAGACAACCAGTACTAGGTAGTAGATACTAGGGTTCAGGTGTTTTCTTGTCTCCCTATCCAAGAGCCATGCGTATTATTTCATTCCCAAGTCCTTCAATGGCCAGGCCCTTCCAAGGCATCGATCGTATCATGTGCTGGCGACCATGTGTCATATTCGCTGGTTAACTAAACGGCGCAAAAGTATATTAATACGTCACTATAACATTTGTTCATGTAAGCATTGAAAATACTCATTTCTAAGGGAGTGCTGTGGGAACAGACCCAGATCAATCAAATATATGAACTTCCCGCGTTTACCTGAAACAAAGCCTCGATCGAGAATCCGATGGATTCAGTCATCAAGTCTCATGACTGCCGACGTAGGAGATATACATCGAATCAATATCCAAGCCAGTGACTTTGGCGCCTTGCCAAGAGGGAAAACATTCTGATCTGACTAGATATGTTCCTGAATCGATTACCCATTTTTAATTATACAGAGCCCCTCTAAGACGCCTCAGCAGGTGATCATCCCCCCCCCACTGGGTAGTGGGCACCGATTTGTACTTCCATTTTTCTTTTGACCCCGGACAGAGCGGCATTGGTTGCTTTGTGTGACAGCGTTTTGAGGTTATTCTTCCGAGCTTGCTTGTCGCCCGGGGTCGGTTATGGGTTGGACGCTCTGCGTCGCTATTGGGTAGATGGAATTGAAATAACGGGAAAAGGAACGGGAGGCACACGAATGGAATGCGAGGAGGCGATGGATTCTATGGCCAATACGGGTTGTTGAATCGCCTTGAGTAACATCATTCGGCGGTTTTCTGGGGCCTATCAGGACACTGACATGAGGGTTTGTGAACATATTGATTATTCCCCCCCCCCCCCCCCCCCCTCAAGGATTCTCGCGCACAAGTATTTGTCATGGAGGTTGGTTGTAACTATTTCGTATAGTTACAAGAAAGCACCCCTGGAAGTCTCTATGTCGACTCCGTACTCCGGATGTATACAAACGTTACGTCGGGAAAAGCATTTCCTACAGGACAACTACATGAAGCACGAAGATATGGAAATACAAATCGGACAACCCGCATTATCTGACCCAGAACGAGATGCTCACCGTAGTCGTGTGATGGACGGATCATCGAGATTGAAAGTAGCGGTATAGATTTTTGAGTCAGCCGCAGGACGTCAGACATCAATACTGAAAGAGGAGTGCGCCATAGAAATAAAAAAAATAAACGAACGAAAAAAGAAAGCGCATCCGACAAACCAACTCCCTCGAAGACGAATTATTGCCCAACCTCCAACCGCGCCCCTGCAAACAGGTAGGATTCTCATCTGGAGGTCCTTGGGCGGCTGTCACGCGAAGCACAAGAATTTCCCGAAGCCCGTCCCGCGGGATATCGAGAGGATGTCCGTTATTTCATACGTACGAACAGATTTGAGCCACGTCAATGATCCACGGCCATGTGATGGGCAGACGTAGCATCATCATCTAGGAGAGTGTATCGGCAGCCTCCTCTGTTGTGGGAAGAGACAGGCAGGTGTTACATGGTGGTTATCCTTTATTGTTAGGGCGCAGTTGGTTTGTCGATGCAGGACAGGGAACCAGGAACTCTCCCCTGGGACTGGAGAGGATACGGGAGACCAGAGCTCGGAAAGCAGAATGGTACCAGAGAAGCAAATTGATGCGATCGACTGGGCCTAGAAGGGGGGGGGGGGGGGGTTTGCTGTTGCATGAAAGCTAGACTGCCCCAGTTAGTTCATGAAGGTCTTGTTGCTATTTCCGTGTCTTGAGCGCCCCAGATGCATATCAGTCGGTCATCTGAACATCAACTGTGCTGGCACTGGGCAGAAGTGGTAGCCTGGAACTCGCACACAGGGGACGGGAGAACCTCACCTCTTCCTAAGTTTCTCTCGTATAGCAACCGTGATTCAGATTCATGATCCAACCCCAGATGAGCTGCTAATTCTCTGGCTATCTTCTCCTACTAGTCTTCTCTGAGTCCCCACGAGCCACGAGCCCACGGAACCGGTACACGGTATCCTTGATTCCATGCATCGCAGTCCTTGATGGCGGATCCAGTATCGATCGTCTGTCATACAATACATACTCAATGAGACTCCTAAGAAAGAAAAGAAAACGCGCCAGACCTCCATGTGATCGGACCGGACCGGCCATTTACCCCCTAATCCAGACACAGCTTCCGACGAATTTATGGTCATCTCCTTAAAAAGGCCTCATAGATCCTACGAAACGGGAAATTTAATTACCAGGCCTATGATAATTGATTAAGTACGAGGCCATGCCCGTCTCTTCCGGTACGCCCGCCATCACTCTCAGCCCCAAAGCGTTTCCCCCATTCCTTTTCGCTGAAGTCCGGGGTATCAAAGCAAAGGTACACAGAGAAATCTAGATTCCAGCACAACGGAATCAATGTCTGGAACTTGGAGTAACTACTAGTTGCGGAATCCCCATGCTAAGTTCCCCGTCGTTCATCGTAAAACTGCTAGTTTCATCAATGTTGCTTGCTTGTCCTCCGCCTCGGGTTCTAGAAAACGCGACGAGCTGCCGTGCTTCCTCGGCAACGACGTACAGAGTAGTCGTCCATCCCAGCCCCTGTGCCCTGCCATTACATGACTTCTTCTTCTTCTGTCAATACGAGGAGACTATACGGAGTATACGGAGTAGTTCGTAGAACTATATCCCCAGACACCGCAATTATCATCTAGGTAGCCGTATGACGTTACAAAGTCCAATCCGTCCTAAACACCGCAAAAGGAGAAAAAAAAAAAAATGAGGAATTTGCGCCGTGGCTAAGGCTTCTCAGACAACCCTCGCTCTAGCAACCGGGAGAGGTGGAGATGACATGGATGAGAATTGAAACCCCAAGAACGCCATGTTGCAAGAAAGGAAATTAGACTCACGCGTTTCTCTGACAGAATACATGAGGATACCCCTACTATATCAATGACTCGGTACTAGATAGTACGGACGGGAGGTTGTTACCTAACATTTGTTTAATGGGATAGATTACAGCGTTGCATTTGGCTTCTTCTCTTTCTCTCTCGCTCTCCCTCTGTGGCGTTGAGACGATATCTAGGTCAATTAATGTTGTGGGTGGTACCCTGGGCGTAGTGTCAAAATAAGGAGTGGCTGTCGCAGGTTGCATTCTTGTAGTAGTTGTTGGCTTCCCGTCCAAGATCCTACGGGTTGTCGTCTTGCTATGCCCGGTGCCAATGGTGTAATTCCTTGTAGTTGGTCATTTCCTTTCATTGCATCGACTCTGTTCTATGTACCGCTGCCCTTTCCATAGCACGATCTAGATTGATTAACATGCTAAAGCACATATAGCACCATAGACTCTCACTTTTAATTATCGGGGAGAAGAAGAATAAAAGCTGTATACAAGAAATCTAAAACTCTTGATCATCATCGCCAGAAATGATGACATTATTGATCTGTCTCTTCGTTAGCCCCGCTATTAGAAGCATTTCAGGTTACTCATCTCACCTTAAGAACCATACGACACAGCTGAGTGGCAAGCAGCAATTGCTGTCGCTTTCCAATCAAAGGGTCGATCACAAAGTGTTCTCTCATATCTATAAGCCCATCTTAGTATTTACCTAAAGCAACCGAGTAAAGTAGGGTTTCGTACCATTGTTGCCAGTCAGCATGCAGTCAACGCCCAACCGTGAGTTGTTCTCCTTTACTTGGCGCGACTTGATGGCAGCAAGGGTCTCGATAGGGCTTAAACCTGAGTTTTCAGCAAGAGCCAGGGGGACTGCATCCAGTGCATCGGCAAAGGCACGCATAGCGTATTGCTCGATGCCAGGGCTCTGTGGAGATGAACGGTCAGTCGATAGTCTACAAAGAGGGACGCTCAGCTGAGAACAAACCTTGACAGCAGCATCTTCGACAGCAATAGAGCAGGCAATTTCGGCAGCACCTCCACCGTACACAACGCGGTTGTCACGAACCAGGTTGCGAACAACGCAGATGGCATCGTGCAGGGACCGCTTGGCCTCATCAATGATCTGAGACATAAATTAGCGCCTGGTGCATATGCCCCAGATCATTTTTGATTTGTACTAACCATCTTGTTGCTGCCTCGTACGAAGATTGTAACGGCTCGGCTGTTGGCGCACTCTTCGATGACGAGCATCTTCTCCCTTGTCGTACCGAATGACATTTCACGCACCCGACCAGCTGTTCCGAGTTTCTCTGGGCTGAGGTCCTCAAAGCGAGGGACGATTCGGCCGTTTGTCGCAATGGCAATCAGTTCAATTTCAGGCCCACCGACCCAGCGGACGGCAGGCAGCTTGTTCTGTAGGAGCAGATGGTTGGCTTCGTCATCAAAACCCCATTGACAGATAACCAGGTTGGCTCCAGAGTCCTTCAGGTGCTGGATCATCTCCGTAAATTTCTCCTTCTCATAGTCTTGCAGTCGCTTGAATTCCTCAACTGATGTGATATCGAGCTTATGCTTGGTCTTTGGCTTAGGAGGTTCAAATGGACAAGTTAGGATTGCCAACTTAGCATCCCTCACTTCATCCGGCATCTGAGGGTGAGAGAAGTCTTTATCCACGATAACACCCTTGACGAGAAGGGAGTCTTCAAGGGCACCTCCAACTTTTCCGTCAACCTTGATTAGTTCAAAATCGACATCTCTGCGTTCAAGATCGGCAACGGAAAGTACTGCGTCGACGGCAATCTTCGAGAATTGGTCGTGGGATTTCGAGACACTATAAAGGCATTATTAGCATTATCTCAACACCCAGTGGGAGTCAATTGAACCCCATACATCTTGCTACCCAAGCTTGTTTTTGCAACTTTCAACAGGTTCTCGGTGTCATCTTTTGTAAACTTGATTTCATCGCTGATTTTATCGAGTTGGGCGACAGCAATTTCGCAGGCTGCATCGTAACCGTCTGCAATCCGAATGGGGTGGATACCCTTGTCGATGAGTCCAGATGCCTGTTCCAGCATGGAGGCCGCCAGAACGACTACACCAGTCGTTCCATCACCAATTTCTTCATCCTGAGACTTGGAGAGTTCGACAAGGAGCTTGGCCACATTGTTTGTGATTTCCATCTTTGTTCCGAGGTTAGGAGGGTGTTTCAAGTAAAGACTCTTGCTTTATGTATCGGACGAACCTGCGAAAGGATGGTAGCGCCATCATTGGTGACAGTAATGTCGCCATCGGGGGAGATCAGGATTTTATCAAGACCGCGGGGACCCTAAATTGTTCTTCAGAAGTGATCTCGACATATAACGCCATCCCACAGAAATCCATACCAGAGAAGTCTTCACGATATTGGCAACGGTCTTTGCGGCCACGATATGGGATTTGACGGCATCTGTTCCATGCTGTCTCTTCTTCTTCCCTTGGCTGTATAGAGGAAGAATGTTAGCCATCTGTTGGGGTGGGGGGGGGGAGTAGTCCGCAACGTACTCCCGAACAATGATGAAAGGTCGGCCCTGTTCATCCTTCATCACAGAAGCTATAAAATCCATTAGCGACCGTCTCCTGGTATCTTATCCTTGAATCCGCCATTCAAACCTTGAGACAAATCAAGCTCTAGAAAACAAAACCGGAGAATGTTAGTCCAGGGGGTCAAATGAGGGGCACTGGAAACGCACGCATGGCCATTTTGAAGGTCTGCCACCTGGCAGGGAGCCTAATTTAAACCGTTAAAAAGAAACAGGAGAATGTAGGAGGCAGACTGCGATCAAAGCCCGCTGAGTATGATGTGCAAAAGCGACGTTGGGAGTCCCAAAAATCTCGTCACCGGCGATGGTCGTCTTCCACACTTCACGGGGCTCTTTTTAGAAATTCTGGAGATTGTCCCAGTCAGGCTAGTGAGCTGCTTTCCGTATTGGGTCTAGCGCATTTCTTTCCCCCTACGCGCTTTCGCGCGATTCGGCAAGCCTGGAGATCGTCTTATTCCCCCAATATTGACCTCGATGCAATGACTTTGTAATTTACAAGATCATCTTGATATATCTGCGCTATATCTAGGAATAACTGTCAAGCTGTTTTCCCGGTTATTCAACTTTGCCTCTTCGTCACAAGCAATGCCGCGTGAGTCAGGCACCGACTTCTTCTTTGCGCGCATACCACTTTCGCATTGGACTAACTAGGGGAACAGCACCCGTGGCTGACTTGTCGGATGACGAATCGACCGGCGAATCGATTCCCTATGATACCGATGAACAAATGGACGAGGTGAAGGGCGAGGTGAAGGACGAGGCGAAGCACGATGTGAAGGACCGCGATGAGGACGGCCAGGGCGGCGAGGAAGGCGTGTGAGTTTCAGCGAAACAATCTGCTGGATGGTCAGTGCTGAAATTGGCAGTTACATTGTCGAGAAGATTTTGAGCCATCATTTCCAGCCTAATGTACGCAATACGCCACCTATCTTGCGCATTAGGACCAAGTCAAGCTGACCGTGTAACAGGGCACTCTATTGTTGCGGGTCAAATGGCAAGATTACGATGATCCTAGTGATGAGACATTGGAGCCCGAGGAAAATTTACTGTATGCCACCTTCTGCAAATGATATTTGTTAGAAACCCTGTTGATGGCTTCTATTTAGGGAGGGCGCAAAGGATATCGTTGAGGATTATTATTCCAGGCTGGGAGGGCGACCAACAAAACCCCAGCCGAAAAAGCGCAAGCCAACACCAGAAAAGACAGAGAAATCAGAACCGAAGCGGCGAAGAAAATCGCGAGCTGATACTGCGACGGAGACGGCTGAAGAAAACCAAGCACCGGATTGGGCCCCAAAATCTAAAAGCTGGGAGAATGAGGTTAAGAATGTCGATACCATAGTCCGTGAAGGTGACGGACTGGTGGCATTTCTCCACTGGAATAATGGCAAGAAGTCGAAGGTCTCTATCGAAACATGCTACGAGAGGTGTCCACGCAAGGTAAGCTTCCTATTTCATAGAGGCTCCTAGAGCTTTGGCTAACATGTCGCAAGATGCTCCAATTTTATGAACAACATCTGTAAGTTCCTTCACTCTATGCACCTCCAGATGACTAATTGTTAACATTACCACAGAGTTTTTAGGGATGCATGATTTTCACACTCTCCTGAGGGTTTCTGAGCGGATATCCATAGTTTCTGCTCTGACTAGTTAGTTCGCTCTCAACTCAGGTGGACGGGTGGCTTTTAGTATCGCTACACATGAGCTTAGGATAATTGCGCAGACAAGATATTAGGTTAGTGTTGTCTAGTTATTGGTATCAGACTGCTTCTTTTGGTCTACGTGATAAGTTGCACCTTGGGCAAGGCTGCAAAGGGATTTGCTGAATTAGCATCAAGAGTACTAGTTTATACTCTTTAAGGTAAGCAAGGAAGCGAGCACAAAAAAGTTATGATAAGTTATAACTCTGCAACTTTTATTCAACAGCTGCCTGTTCATATTCTATTTCTGCATGTTAGTTATCATCACATTTTCTAGGGCTGCTTCTTGTTCCTTTATTAATTATTATTGGTTTTATACTCGTGATATACATATCCAGGTGTGCGTGATCTGAATCTCCTTCAAAACTAGCCATAGTTTTTCTCAAGGCCTGCCTCTCTTGCCATGTTAAGATATTCCCACCGAGAATTGAAAAGGTCTGAGCCGTGTTTCTTTAAAACTCGTTCGATATCTCGACTATCTTGTGCTTCCACACATTTGTCATCTTCAGACGTCCATACACCACGCATGTCATTTGGTATTCCTTCCCCTGCTATTAAAGAGAGTAAAACCTTATCTGCCAATTCTGGGTCCATACTAGTGCAACGTAGAGCCTCAATGATTTGGTCTTCGTTCACGCCTTTCCCCATGCGAAGATAGTCATCAATCCACGCGTCAATGCCTTGGCCTGGTACTTCCTGGTCATGTTCTGGCTCTGAAATCGATGGGAAGAAAGGGAGCTCGAGAAAAAGAGCATCAATTGCTTCTTGAGACTTGGAGTTTTCTGGGGCCGAATTCTCTGTGGCCGAATTTTCGATATTCTGTGCTTTTTTCGCATTTGGGGGTGATTGGGCTGAGCCATCTACGGCCTGGGTAATGGACGTTGGAGGTACTGATGCCTCCAGAGAGTTTTGTGTACCTGTCGTGGTGTGTTGCCGATTCCCATTCCTCGATTCTATTTCGCTGGATTTGGATGGTTCTGGACTTCGTTTTCTTTTTTTGTCCCGAGGCCTATGTAATTCTGGATCGGCCCCCAGAGTCGTTGCGTTACTTCTTGGTGTGGGTGTAAGAGGGGATCTGCTGCGAGGCTCGTCACTTGGGGGCAGGGCCTCTGTGGGTTCCGCAGGGCCACCTGGACGTGAGTGTCCGCGAAGCTTCTTCAGATACCGATCTCGCCATGATTGATACGTGTGCCTAGGGTACTAGGAACGTAAATCAGCAAGCTACGCCAAAATTGAGCTGGTATAGCGCATACAATACCTTTTCCGCAAGATCCTGATAGATTTTGTTGCCTGAAATGGGAGCACTCTTGTCATTTTCGTACGGTTGCATCCAGTCCCATAGGATCTGGTCTTCCTGCATCGTATATGGCAATCTATGACCTCTGCTCGGGATGTGAGTCGCGCCTACAGGCCTTGCTGCTGAAGGACCAGCTCTATAGGCCTCAAGGTTTTCGAGTTTTCCATTCCGCACTGAGGTCTCCACGAATCGATAAGAAAATCTGGTAATCGTCAGTAACAGATGTGGTTCTAAAGGGCGTGCAAAGAGTTGTGCCTGTACGTGTTGGCTGGGAGATTTTTTCTGGCGTGATCTACCAATTGAATTTCTGCATCTTTCTCAAGGAGCTTTACGATGCCGCCATTTTGCTTGTACAATAATTAGACCCTGATAGTAGATAAAGGCTGTGGCAAAAATACCTGAATGATTTCCTTGAATCTGCTTCTCTGGGGAACATTCTGGGATAGCCAGAATGACATCCCCTGGAAAAGACCATGCCCAGTTCTCCGGGATTCTCCACCCTCCTCGTCCAGATTTGCCTTGTGTTCCATCGTCTCAGAGTTATTCCATTTAAAATGGCCTGTTTTTGAAGCGAAATTATCTTTTGAGTTGCGATTTCAGCAGGTTATCAGAATGGTTCCGTTTACAAGTTGATATCACGTGTTCACGCGTCAAGCAGTGTGTTTTGACGCACAATCAATCACTTTGGGGATTTGTGTTATAAAGAAGTCAGACCAAGAAAATCTCCTTGTTTAAGACATCCCGGGTAATCAGTAGCTTTGGAATCGGATTCTTGAGTTTCCTTCCAGGAACACTTCTTGAGACCCTTTCCAACTCGACTTGATCACGTGCCACGAATTAGTGGGGACGGTCACGTCTCGGCAGTGAAGGTGATCTCACCAGTGCAACAACCACCTTGGATTTTGAGGTCGCACTTTGGCATCACAGAAATGTCTGGCTTGTAGCTTCAAGTTAATGAATAGTCATTTACAAGCTCTTGTCCTTCTGCCCTAGGATAAGTGACTCAACAATGGGCATTCTACGAACCATCGCTCTTACAATCTTAGGATTCTCTGCTTTCGTGTTTGTTGCCCTTTTTGGGAAACTGCCATTTTTTAGGTAGGGTTCTCCAAGGTCATGAAGTCTTCCACAAGTATAGCTAATAAGTTTAGGAAAACTCCTATTGGCCTTCTTCACAGAACTATTTGGATATATATTCCCAATGGAATATCATACCTCGATTTCCGCCTTTTCGGCGGACGATTTTCGCGTTGTTGGGGCCGAGCTGGTAATTATATAGTTCATGAGAATCATCCCTTAGTTCTTGTTAGTTGTAGACTCACCCCTTCCTTTGTATGCTTGCTGATTGTTGGATAGATATTCTTTACTTTCCTACTTGTTGTTGGAGAACTTTTGTTTATTCCGAGTGCTTGGCCTCGAGTCTCCATGGTCCATCGGGTTTGCATTCCAATTGCTGTGGCCCTCCCTTACATCTTATTATACAGAAGTGTTGTCACCAAATCATTTATCACCCCAGAAAATCATGCCCAGGAGATGGAGCGATACCCTTATGACAAAGTCATCTTCCACCCCGAGCAACGTTGCAGAACGTGCGAATTTATTAAGCCAGCAAGAAGCAAACACTGCAGTTATTGCAAAGCATGCGTTTCTAGACACGACCACCATTGCATCTGGCTCACTAACTGCGTCGGTCTACACAACTATCATTACTTTCTATCCTTGATGCTCTCCTTGTCTGTCATGTTGACCTATGGCGCATGTCTTGGTTACTCTATCCTGTCTCGGACTTTGGACGGGCTTATACCTCGAAACTCGCCTGTCCGAATGAAGAAACAGAGCTGGACTATGATACTTAACATGACTGCTGTTGTAGTTGCATCTGATACCCGTGTTGGAGGAATCACGTTGTTAATGTTCATGACTGCTCCTTTAGCCTTTGCCTTTCTCCTATACCATACTTATCTTATCTGGGCGGGAATGACGACTAACGAAAGTGCTAAATGGTCTGATTGGAAAGAAGATGTGGCCGATGGGATGGCGTTCAAGTTAATTCAGGGTGACAAAAAGTCCGACTCGCCTCTCCTGGATGAATCTCCGAAGTCTTCAACTTCCTGGCCAGTGACAAGTGACCAGGTTCTTATTCTTACCGATGGGGAGCCGCCGATGGAGGGACATCAAATCCCAGTAGGCTCCAATGAAATCCTTCAGCCCACTATTCCCGACGCAGCTGTTGATCAGAGATGGGTCCAAGTAAGAAGTATGAAGGAAATTGATAACATCTATGACCTGGGATTTTGGAATAACCTGTGTCATGTTTTTGGATTTCCTGCTGGGCGGGCGATTCGTCATGATAAGGTTAACTTATCGATAATGTAAATAGTCATGAATGAGTGAATCTTAGGTACGCTTCGAAATAGTTGTGTTATTCGAGGCTCCAGGCTGTATAATTGAACCGGGCAAAGACTTGGTCTTACCTAAAATGGTAACTGGCGGGATGTGGTTCGGAACGGAAAAAATTCCCTTTTCAACAGCCTTGGATCTTGATTTCTTCTCCGCCAACAACTTTGTTCATTTACAACTATTTCCGGCGGAGGTTCTCAGAACAGTCTTGTTTAAAAAATTGACAAAGCTTGCTCCCTCATCGTAGCAGGCACAGTCAGAATGGCGGACCGGCCTCCCACAGAACTGAAGCCAAAATGTACTCCCGCGGAGCTCATGTTGAAGGTTATCCTCATGGGGACCTTGAGCCACTATGAAACTCGTGGGATGATTGACGACAAGCGTTTGGACCACATGCTGTCCGCTGGAAAACAGATTTTGTACAAGACGCATCAAGAAAGCGACGTTAGGTACTGTTGGCCTCTATAGCCTTGGTTTTGACTTGGTGTTACCTGAGAGTGGCTAACACCCCATTTCGCAACAGACATAGCCTAGGCTTGTCCCCCGACATTTGGCAAGGCTTTACAGATGTCCTTACCAAAGCTATCCCCGTCCTCGAGTCACAGTCGTTCATTTGGAAAAGCTCACCAGCAGCGAATTATGACCATTCCTCGTCAAATCTAATCGCCTACAATTACTTCTCGCTCGTGAAGGATATTGAACGTCTGAATGACCTCTGCACCATTGCTCGGAATCTTCTGGCAACCACAAAGAAAGCGCAAAATATGGCCGCTGAGAAGGGATTTGATCAGAGGGTTCTGGCTCTGGTAGATACCTGTGTGCGGGTAACAGCGCGGGGATTCGACGGCGAAACGAATGCGAGAAACGAAGAGCGTTGGCAAAAGGTAGTCAACCTTTACAAGCGTCTATTGATTACATGTCTTCAGTTCCTTCATAACTTTATTATGCATAACGAGCAACGGAAAATGGTTCTCTGGCTGGACCTTTTTGGATACCATTCGACCGGAGATTCAAACATTATCCAACCGAAGGAGCCTCTTGACCAGGCTAGCAGCCAGTCAGAAGGCCTAGCACCAATCGTTAGAACTGGCGAAAGGATAGTGAACCCTCCAATTCGGGCCCTTTACGATCAAACAGCCGAAGATCTCCTCTTAGAGACTATATCCAATTTCCCCCGGGAGCCAGCAACTATCAAGGAAGAGGCCGCCATGCTACTCCTTGCCAACATTAAAGATCACATGGAGAAGCTCCTTGGACGTGATTTGACAGCAATTCAGGAAATGGGGAAGGATCCGGATCAGGTCAAGGAGATTCGTGCGGCGCTTACTGCTATCCTAGGTGCCAAGGTCGATGGATGGTCAGACCTGCAGGACAGGGCTAAAGACCTCCCACCTGCTCTTCCGGATGACGAACCTCCACGAAAGAAGTCTATTCTCACCATTGATCGCAGTCCAACCGCCGGATTTCCACGCATCTGCTGGTCAGACCTTCCCGATCTCAACGAATATGGTGCACTCGCTGCCGGCGACGCAGCTATCATGGAGGAAGATACAACGATGCCCAGATCCGCGCAGTCTGCAGCAGAGACACTTCAAGAAGCCAAGGATGAGCTAATGGCGCGCCTGCAGGAGACCTCACAAATCGGCGGTGATGGCGATCAGGACTATGATGCAGGAGACGCATGCACTGTTGGAGATGATGATTCACGGAGTTTAGAAGCAGTGGCTGATGGAAGCATGGATGACGACGAGGAAGACGAAGACGAAGACGACGATGACTACCGTGGCCGCCCCGGCGACCAACAGCGCGGCCTGCTGACCGATATTCCTCTCGTGTTGGGTCCTGCTGAGATCGAAGCGCTTCCCATGATTATTCAAGCCGGGATAGTCGATAGCTTTGGACTGAAAGGTGGTGAAAGAACCGGGTCAAGAAATATGCAAGCCCTCAGGTGCCACATTCTTCTCACCCAAGAGACGGGCCGGAACCTGCTCCGGGAGCTGTTGATCTTCATCGCTGCCTGGGATCTTCCTGACGATGAGCTTTATTTCAAGATGATGGTGCAAATAATGGACGCAGTGCTCAAGAACGGCTTGATGTCTCATGCCTATTCGGACTTCGGTCAACCAAAAGATATCATTTCTCCGGCGCAGGCTGTTGTTGTGAAGATTCTCACACACATCTTCAGAGCCAAGTACTCTCCTGCTTCAGTGACTGGTTCCAACCAAGCCAATGCCACAAAAAACCCAGCTCCACTTTCACGAGTCGACATCCTTACCGTCCGTTACATATTTACCATCTTCCGCGGAAACATCATCCCCGAAACGTGCGCCCTAATCTATCTTCAAGGCCAAATCCGAGCCGGACGAGCCCTTCCTGAAGACTTCCCTCTAAACCTGTGGGATATGGAGCGTGTTTATGAGGGAGTCTACCAATTCCTGGAGTTCTTTGCCGTGCTTACAGAAAACAACGATTGGAAGAACCTTTTAGTCAAGTGGGAGATTGTTTACGACCTAGTTACATTGATCAAGGAGCTCGAAGCAAGCATTCCTAAAGGTCAGCTAAGTGCCCTGTCCCTTGGACGCAACAGTCCGTCCAAAGAGCAGCAACAGAGCTCTAGCCCTGGGCCCATTGCAGTTGAGAGACCGTATGATCCCAGCGACCCCGATCCCACAGATGGCAGTACCGTGTCAAGAGCCGAGTCTCCACCTATCACCGAGGACCCCTCTGAATTCGAATGGAGGAATCTTAAGAAGCTCGTGGTCCTTGTCCTCTCCTCCCTCGTCTGGAAATGCCCCGAGGTTCAAGACCAAATCCGCAAATACGGTGGCGTTGAGACCATTCTTTCTTGCACCAACTTTGATGCGCACAACCCGTATATTAAAGAGCATGCTGTGATGTGTCTAAAGTTCCTTTTGGAGGGTAACCGGGAGAACCAGAAATTGATCGAGGAGCTGGAGGCACGAGAGGTCAGAGACGACAGCGGGTTACTGGAGAAGCGAGGTCTCGAGGCCGTGATTGACAAGACTGGCAAGCTGGCAATCCGACCTCGGGATCAACTGACACCTGATAGCAGTGATAGAGTAACAGAATTGTAGAGTTGTACATAGACGTATGATATGGATGACAGCATATTCATGACATGCTTGGTGGGGGAAAAAATCGGCGCAGTTTCTTGATTCAAATTCTATTGCATTGCCCGAGATAAGACGTTCACACAAACCTAGTAGAACTACTTTTGAATATCGAATTTAAATAGGGGAATATCAAATGTTCTAATCGTAAAATCAATTTCCAAAGACATTTTGGAGCCTATTTAGTGCTGCCCTGTTAGTCCCTCCTAAGCGCATGTAGATTGCGGAATCGAAAACGCGTCAGTCCTGCTGCTGCCTCTCCTCCGCATTACACATTACAACCTCCAACAACTTGCAAGTTCTTCACTCCACCGACATATATATATTCCAGTTTCTCTCCTGGACAATCTCCAATCCATAGAATCATTTTGTTCTCGATAACCTGTTCCCCGGCAACCAAAAGGGAAGGTCTCATCCTCCTACCCCGCCTCTCCAATTCTCGTCTGGCTCACTATGTCTACCTATGAAGGTAAGCTCAAAAGAAAGCCTCACTTAACTTCCCATCACTTGCTAACCAGTTCGTTAGTCGAACACAACACGTCCGACCCCTCAAACACTCAACAATTCTCCCGACGCCGCCGTCCAGACCTCTCCACCTTCTTCGCAACCCTCTCCGAAATCAGCTCTGATGAGTCTCGCTCGCGCCCCTACGCCGTCCCTGTTCCTCGCGACATAAGCGCTGCCTTCTACTCCCTCGCTGAAGCACTGAATATCATGCGTCGCGAAGGAGGTGGCACCAGCACCAGCAACGGTGACGAACTTCCCACAACACTCAACCCAGATGGCACACCAATCGAAGTCCACGGCGATGATCTCCTCGCGCAGATGATCCAGACCCTACTGAGCGAGGCTGAGACACCGCCTAAGGAAGTTGAGGGTGTGAGTGAGGAGTTTTGCGACGGTACATCTTCTCTAGCCTTTGTTTCTCCGTCCTATCGCTTTAAAGGTTATTTATGATACTGATGAACAAGCAGTCCTCGACCGCGTCCCTCGCTCCTCCTTAAAACCGTCGCAAACGTGTCCGATATGCAGCAACCCATTTCTAGAAGATGAATATCCGCTTGTTGTCCGCTTACCCTGTCATCCAACCCATGTGTTTGATTTGGAGTGTGTACGGCCGTGGTTGCGTTTGCGGGGCACATGTCCACTTGACCGGACGGATCTTGCGAAGCAGGAACGGGAGAAGGCTGCGGCGAGGAGGAAGAAGCCTGTTGAGGATGAGGAAGATGAGTGGGACGGTATGTATGGATAGGTTGGAGCTTGGGTAGTAAATTGAAACGACTACTCTTCCCTGTGTATCGGGTTAAGCCGCCTTATTTATACCGACGAATACTTCGTAGTAGCTAATATGATTGAAGTATCTAGATCTAGGTAGAGTTACCCGTGAACTTCTTTAATTTCCTAATTCGTGAGGCTGTTTGTGTCGATTATTAGTTCTATATTTTCGATCAAGCCGGGGTGACAGCATTTGAACCTGAGCACTGCTACCATTAACACGATTGAAAGCCTAACAAATCTATTTGATCAATCGAACCAGTATATTCTAACCAAGCCTACTAAAAAGAAAATCATATTGGCGCTCAAATCCCCAAGTCGTGCCATCGTTGCAGCAGGAGGTTAACTAGTCTAGACTCTTTATGTAATCACCTCTGACTGCTCGGCCTCAGGTTCAACTTTGTTCTTGAATTTGTCATTCTCTCTTCTACGAGGTTCTTCACTTGAGAATTTGCTAATATCGAAGTTTATATGATCTGTTCTCATCCAAGCCTTGTTGACTGATATATAACTCAATATATATATATATTCATGGATGTCATGTAACCATCACCTGCAGGATCTGGAATATTAAACACTCAATACTACCCCATCGATGGTCAAAGTCGTCCGTATCTTCAGGCTTACGCATCTCACCAGATCGATTTTGATCAAAGGCACCTGAGTTAACTACCAGTCTATTCGTTAGTCTTATACTATGACATCTGTTCTCAGTAATTCGATGCCCTGGCACGATGGAGAAGATAGGATGCATCAGCTGCTTCGAGTCCCGTCTCAGGACAATCCTACGGTTCCCTTCCTCACCTCTCGAGCAGGCCTCATGATGAAGCAGTCTCCTCTGCTCGCTATCGGTGCTCTTGATAAAGAAGGGAGACCGTGGTCCTCTGTTTGGGGAGGAGAAGAAGGCTTCGCTACCCCGACCTCTATGTCCAGCTTCGACGTTAGAACTCCAGTAGGGGAAACCTACGATCCGGTGGTTGAGAGCCTACTGCTTGATCCTGCGCACAATAGCGGGAAGTTAGTCTCCTTCCTAGCTATTGACCTGGAAAATCGCCAGAGAGTCAAGCTTTATGGAAAATTAACTGCTGGTTCATTGGATATCCTGGGTGAAGATGAACACATCCAAGCAGGTATTGCGCACCTTGCCGTCCATGTTGATGGTAGTCTCGGTAAGTATCATACCCGTCTTGGGACTTTTGAGATGCCATCGCTAACATACTGTGGAGGTAACTGTCCCAAATACTTGAATGCGAAACATATTCTCCCGGCTCCACCTGATCCAAAACTGATCTCAGAGAACGCACAGTTGCCCTCTGAGGCTATTAGGTTGCTTCATCGTGCTGATTGCCTCTTTATCTCCTCGTCTCACGGGAACGAAGACATGGATACTAATATCCGCGGCGGACCTCCAGGGTTTGTCCGAGTCATCTCCAATGAGCCCAGCGGTGCGGTATTTGTGTACCCTGAGTATTCTGGAAACCGACTGTATCAGACTTTGGGTAATCTCCAGACAAATCCTTTGGCAGGCTACGTGTTCCCCGACTTCGAGACAGGAAATGCCTTGTTTGTCACCGGGAAAGCAGAGATATTGATCGGCAAAGACGCAGCGTCAGTTCTTCCCCACTCAAATCTAGCCGTGAGAGTGACGACCACGGCATCTCGTTTTGTAGAAAAGGCTCTCACATTTCGAGGCATTCCGGGGAAACCTTCCCCGTATAACCCCGGTGTCCGGTATCTGGCAACAGAGAAAGTCTGCCCCGCCACATTGAGTGATGTTGAATCACCTGTCACCGCGACACTGATCCGAAAGGAAATCATAACGCCCTCCATTGGTCGATTCCGCTTTCGCATCTCAGATCCAAAATTAGCCGGATCATGGACTCCTGGACAATATGCAACGTTCTCCTTCCAGGATGAGTTGGACATGGGCTATAGCCATATGAACGATAGTGATCCATCAAGTCTCAATGATGACTATGTGCGGACGTTCACGGTTTCATCTTGCCCAGGGTACGAGATTCCCGATGGGGAATTTGAGATCACGGCACGGAAACATGGCAATGTAACCCGCTACCTGTTCCGAGCCAACGACCGGGCCGGATTAGAGGTTCCTCTCAAGGGGTTTGGAGGCGACTTTCGACTGATGGAACAAAGTAGTGACGATATATTATTCCCCTTTATCGCGGGAGGGATCGGGATTACTCCGGTTTTAGCCCAGCTTCCCATTATTGACATTAGTCGGCTGCGACTCCTGTGGTCTGTATCGATAAAAGACATTGACCTAGTCTTGGATACCTTCAAGCGGTTTCCTCAATTGCCGAGTTCAACAACCATCTTCGCCACGGGAGGTGAGTCGCCGAAAGAACAGAGGAGTCTGGAAGCAGCGATCTCGTCGGGGGCGCAAATCTACCGTCGCAGGATGGAAGCGAAGGATGTAGATCTCTCTCTAGCGGAGAGATGGTATTTTTGTGGGAGCGCATCTCTAAAAGGTCCTGTTCTGAATTGGCTCGTGGGTAAAAAGGTAGAGTATGAAGACTTTAGTTATTAAAAGTATAACTATTTGACATAGGTACGAGACTCATAGTTAGTTAATTATAGTGGCTGTTTCTAAGAATAATCTGTCGAATTAAGTTGAGCATGCGTAGTCCTGCGAGGCTGAGTTTGATTTATGGTGGAGGCTGGAATCGCCCGTCTCCAACGATGGAGTCAAGCAGGGCTTTGCTCTCTCTCTCTCTGCCATTATTATTATTATTATTATTCTAGCTTTTCTCAGCCTTGCTGGTTCAAGGGTCTGTCTCCGAGATCTCAATGGAATAAATAATAGGCTTGGGTTTTCCACCGCATCAAAAGGCAGCAACGCAGTGTTATTTATTTACGTCTAGTTAACACCAAAACACCACCACAAATCTATTAATCTAGTGACTTGAGCAGCCAACAAGTCACTTCATCAGGATTACCTAGTATCGCCAGTAACCATGCGATCAAAATCAGTCAAACCGTCAGATTACCCGGCGTTTGCTTTCCACACGATCCGCGTCTTCGCCCTCCTCTCCGCCATCATCGTCGCCATCATCCTCTCCGTCTTCATCTATAACCTCCACTCCGCAAACCAGAAACTTCCCTGGGCCTTCCTCGTAGTAAGTTCCCACCCTCACTCTCCGATCGCGTCTTCCTAACATTGATTTCCACCTCTAGCTTATCATCACTGCCTTCCTTGCCATTCTGAACTACACCCTGACCACAATCACCCACTGTTGCTATGGCCTTTCCCCGCGCCTCTCCCTCACCACGAACTCGATCGTTCTCCTCCTGTGGCTCGCCTCCCTCGTCCTCCTCGCCTGGAGCATGTCCCACACCATCCTCACAGCCTGCACCACAACCTACTGGGCCACCTCAACCGGCATCTCCGTCTGCCGGGTCTACAAGGCGCTCTTCGCCTTCACCATCCTCGGAACACTAACCTACCTCGCCGCCGTGGCCCTCGATATCATCGTCCATCAGCGCCACACCCGGCTAGGCGAGTACGATCCCATGGCCGTCGGGCTAGCCGAGTACAAACCAGGCCGCCACGATCGCATGTCGTCCGGGGGGGTTGGCGAGGGCCTGGGACCAGAACAGCAGCAGCAGCAGCAGCAGCAGCAGCAACACCTCCAGGAAGACCGCATCCCGCTCGTGCACCACCAGCGCCAGGTATCGGAGGATGTCGACGCGCCCTATCCGAGGCCGCTGATGCATGTCCCGCCTCCGCCGTCCTATACGAGTGCGAATGTGGATTCCTCTTTACTGGAGGAGCAGTCCCGTGCTGGCGAGGCGCAGGAGGAGTATTCGGATACAGCGCCTGCTTGGAGTCAGCGCCGCGGTCCCCGGATGAGGTTTAGTGCTTACAATAATCCGAGCTATGATCATTCTGGGGAGCAGACGAGTTATGATCCTGCCGGGTATAGATGAGCTGTGATCGATAGGTATGCGGTACACTGGTTGTTTTTTTTTTATGTGTTATGACTTGTGCATGTGTTAGGTTCTGCTGTGGGTGGCTTTCATGTACGTGCGTGAATCGGGGTCTGATACCATTTCCAAGGGTTGGATATATACTAGTTTACCTACAGCTGAGGTTTAATGTGATCATACTGATACATCGTTGAACTGATTTCGTTGAATCTCATTATATATATATATATGTTGATTAAACCCCTTTTTTGTGGCAAGAGAAACCCTTGCATCTAGGCCCATGACTGAGCACAAATCATATCCTGGTATCTTAGCGTGATAGATTTAAGCATGAAGGAAAAGAAAGTAGAAAAAAAAAAAAAAGATTAGAGATAAGATAAAGATCGGTAGAATTAGATTTAGATATAGGATCAGGATTGAAGTAGATGTACGTCTCAAAAAAAAAAAAATTAAGAAACATCCTACATAATAACCTCGTTGGCAACGTCCTGGAGCAAAATTTAGTATATTCTCGAAACATGGATAAAAGAGGGAGATAACTTACACGCTTCAGTTCCTTGTATGGAAGACAGACACAGTTTTGTACGCGCACCTCGTCGCCTACACCGCATTCCTTTCCTAGAATGGTAATGCTTTGTACCTTGATGCCGTTCTTCACGATGCTGGTCGAGTGGCTGGCCATTGGGATCGGTGTGCCCTCGACACGAGCCCAGGCTCCGACTCGGCTGCTCCACCCGATGATCGAGTGCATGACACAGGCATCGTGCTTGATTTCGACGTCTTCGAGGACAATGGAGTCCTTGATACGTGCACCGGCGCCTACGACCACACGAGGCCCAATAGAGACGTTGGGGCCCAGCTTTGCGGTGGGGTCCACCACAGCGGAAGGATGGATGTAGACTGGGGGGACGATGGAGGCAGAGGGAGCCGCAAGTTCGTCTGACTGTGCTTGGAATGCCTTCTGCAGGTATAGGGCATTGGCGGGAACGGCAGATCCGGCAGTCTTGATCTGGCGCCAGAAATCTTTGGTCTCGTGGACGAAGAAGCGGTTGCTGTCAGCGAGATCGGACAGGATGTCCTGCTCCAGACGCAGAACCTCGTTGTGCTCTGATTCTTCATTGGTAGCGACGAAGGAGGATTCAAGGTTGTCGGAAGAAGGATAGGAGAGTAGACGGGGGCGGGTGGTGCGTCGCTTGATGGTGCTGCGGATCGAGGGGAAGATGCATTCGGTAGCAAAGAGGTAGACACCGCAGTTGATGAGGTTGGAGATGTGCGATTCCGGCTTCTCGACATAGTGCAGGACGCGCTTGGTGTGGGAGTCAGACACAATGCATCCGAAGTTCGTCGCGGCATCGTTGTGAACCCGAGTTCCCAGAATAACAGCCTCTGCGTCCTTCTCCTCGAAAAGCCTCAGCATTTCTCCGAGCGGGAAGGAGCAGCAGACATCAGCGTTGAGGACGAAGATGCGCTCCGGTTTCCCCTTGAGAATAGCATCGCGGAAGTGATACAGACCTCCAGCAGTGCCCAGTGCTGTGTATTCACGCAAGTACTGGATTCGGAACTGGGGGAATTCTTTGGACGAGTCCTTGATGAAGTCACGGAAGACACTCTCGTCGTAGTAGCCAATCAGGATAACTTCGTGGATATCGGGAATCTTTGCAAGGGCCTTGAGGCAGTGATTGATAATTGGGTGACCAGCGACTTCGAACAGAGGCTACAGGAGAGATTGGCGCATTGTGTTAGCCGATGCCAATCGCATGGGGGGTTTTGCTGGACGGAGGAGGGGTAAAACCAACCTTGGGAACGTCGAGAGACAAAGGCCTAAAACGTGTTCCTCTCGAAGGACCGCCCACCTAGCAAGCGGATAATTAGTTATGAAGAGAGCAAACCGCATAAATTTATTCTAGCAATGCCTACCAGGATCACAGCCTTGGTGGAGGCCACGTTGGTGTGTTCCCGCACTGGAACCTGAAGCATTGTGGATAGAGGATAGAAGCACAACAAGGACAAAGGGAGAATCCAACGATTAAGAATAAGCCGTGAAGAAAAGGGGGGTTATAAATACTGGGGAAATAGGAATTATGAGGAGAAAGAAAGCACGCACTGGGCAGAAGTTGAAGTGACAGCAGAGCAAGTCAGTTGATCGGTCGGAGGCCCACCAACAGCACAACTCTAGACTCCCAGGAACTTCACTTCTTGCTTTGGATCGTGGCGTTTTCTCTCCCCTTCGTTAGCTCGACTAATTCAACGAGTTATGGAGACTTTTTGCCGGAGCCCATCAGGAGAACCATGTTGAATTGAAGATGTATCCCGTGATGTACTTAGTAAGCAAAGGGGGGGTTAAAGATAAATTTAAAATATAGCCTATAATACCTATATAAAGGTAATCTAATCCCTGAAAAATAACCTAGTTAGTTAGTTAAATAACTAGAAATTTACTATTTAATAAGTAATTAAAATAAATTTTAGAATTATAATATTACTACTAGACTAGGTAGAAGACTTCCTAAATATAATATATTATCTAGCTCTATTCTAGACTATATTCTATTAGTTAGACTATAAAAAGGAGATACTAGTAGGAATACTATTATTTTATATTATAGTAAATAACTTCTATAATACTATTAATATATTCCTGTAGTAGTATAGTAAGACTAGTAGAGGGGCTTTTAGATTAATATTTGCTACTAAAGATATAATAAATATAACTAATAATAAAGAAATATTCCTGCTATAAGATAAGGAAATAAAGTATAAGTATAGATATAATAATATAGAAAGAATAGACTCTAAAAGAAGTACTTTTAAAAACTTATATTAGTTATATAATATATATTTTTAAAGGTATGAATAAATATAATATTTTTATCTATTCCTAGAAAAGGTACCTAAGGACTTTAAGGAAAGAAATATAATAAGAAAGCTAGTTAATATATAACTTAAGATAAATAAGGCTCTAGCTAAAAAGGTAGCAAAGGAGTAAGAATAAAATAAATAAGATCTAGAATAACTAGAAAAAAGAAGTAACTAAGGAGTAAGTTAAATAAAAGGTAGAAATAAAGGTAAAGTTAAAGCTTTATTTAATATTTAATTTAAAACTATACTATACCTATTATAATACTTTATTATTCTTAACTTAAGATTATTAATTTATATATTTAATAATTTATATTAATTTAAGTAATATATAAAATTAATATAAAATAATTATATATAAATAGAAGACTTAAAAATACTTATTATAGAATATAAAAATATTAGTATATAAGTTATAACTTAAAAAAATAAAGATATAAAATATAATTATATAATTCTTAAGAATATAGCTTATTATAAAGAAATAATATATAATCTAATATTACTTATATTACTAAACTAAATAAGTATCTATTTTAAGAATAATTTTAACTCTAATCTACTTTATATCTCTAAAGGTATAGTAGCAGCCTATCTTAATAAAAAATATAGCTAATTTATAATAAAATATAATAATAAATTATATAATATAATAGGCTAGGTAATATTCTAAATTATTACTAGTATTAGAAATATAAAATAGTAGTATTTATATCTTGGATATCCAGGACTATAGGTATTAGATTATCTAGTTAAGAATATTAAGGGGGTAAAGATTAGAGAATCTACTATAGTAAAATATAATACTTATAGTATAGTAAAAATAAAGTAAAAAATTAATTAAAAGGATTATATTACTATAAAAGAACTAGATTTATAATTAATAATTAACTTTTATAACTTTAAAATAGGAATAGATAATTATTAAGCCCTACTATTAATTATAAATAGATAATTAGATTTTATATAGGATTACTACCTCTTAAACTAATATATAGAGATAATTAAAAATACCCTACTTAACTTATTTACCCTCCTAGAGAGGTAATATAATATTAAATCCTGAATAATTAAGTTAAATAGTAAGATAAAGAAATAGTTAGAAGACTTTATATAATTTAAAGGAATAAGATTTAATTACTTTATTTTATATATACTAGCCTAAAATAGAGGTATAGAGTATTTAGGGGGTATAATAAAAGAGAAGGTATATATAATAAGATAGGGAGTAAAACTACTTATATTTTTATAATTTAAATATATCTATATAATAGTATATTTATATAATTAAATATCTAAATATTAGGTAAAATAAAAAATACTAATTAACTAATTTTATATTTATATTGCCTACTAAGATAGAGTAATAGTAGAATATAAGAAACCTTAAGGAGCTTACTTAAAGATATATAATTATAAAATATTTATAATAATTAAATTATAAGTAATTATAATAATAAAGTATAAAAAGTAATTTAACTTAAGAATATTTATAAAATATATAGTAGGATATAAATCTATTAATATCTATTAAATATAGAACTTAAGGAAGGAAAGAAAGATTATTTATATAAGAAATATTATATTTAATAAGGAAAAATTCTTCTTAGGAGATAGAGATATATTTATTTAAGTAATAAAGAATAACTTCCTAATAATTAAAATTAATAAATTTAAATAAATAATTAAGGATATTAAAGTTAAAATCTATATTTTAATCTAAGGAGTATTAAATATAGATTATCCTATAATAAGAGATATTTTAGAAGATAATTTTAACTTGCTTAATTATCTAGTTTAAATATCAAGATTAGTACTTAAAGCTATAGATAAGAATAAAGATACTAATATAAATAAGTAAATAGCCTATCTAATACTACTAGGTAGTAGTCTAGAATAATTAGCAGTAATATTAGCAGGTACTTATTAATATAAGATAGCTAAAATTAAAGAAGAAATTAAGTTAAATAGAAGCTATTAAATTATATGGAAATTAGTATTTATAGTAGGGAGGTTAATATAACTAACCTAATAAGATAGAATACTAGCCTCTAAGATAGAAATATAAAAATAGAATAAGTAACTAGAGAGTTAAATTAGGACTTACTTAAATTAACTACTAATTCTTCTAAAGATATACTATTAAGTTAAAAACTACTTACTATTTAAAGAATTTATAAAGATAGAGTAGGACTATCTAGCTAATTATAAAATAATAAAAATATAGATAAAGATAGATAGACCTAAGTATATAAAAGTACTAGAATATAAATAAGTATATATATATAAAAGTAATTAAGATAGTAATCTAATTAAATATAAAATATATCTAGTAGTAAGAGAAGATTAATAAGAGAATTTAATAAAGAACTTATATATTATAACTCTAGTAATAAGATCCCTCTAAACCTTTCTAGTAGTAGTAGCCTAATTTAATCTAGAATTAAAGTAATATAATATTATAAATATATTTATTAATATAGATAATAATAAGGAAATATATATAGAAATACTTCTAGAATATTAAAAATTAGATAAAGTATTAAAGCTAAAAAAAATACTATATAAACTTAAATAATCTCCTTATTTATAGTAGATAACTCTCTAAAAGATTCTAAAGTTACTAGGATATAAACCTATCTTATATAAACTATATTATATTATTAGAGATAGGATCCTAATATTCTTTTATATAGATAATATTATATTTACTTATTACTAAAAATTATTAGTATAAATACAGGTGTCACGGCGCAAAGCCATAGTACCTATCTAGTTAGATTCTACCTTGACTATCCGCCCTTATTCCTGTATTTAAGCCATGTTACCCTTAATCCTATTATAGCTCTTTAAGCTATATCCTATCTATTACCTGATACCTACTATTCTACTATTCTATCTAGATTAGCTTCTAGTTAATAAATATCTAAATTTAATTTTATTCCTTAATATTATGTAGCTCTTCTTTACTAGAAGTTAATTATTATTATTATACCTGCCTTGCTATCTATATTATCTAAAGGTATAGAAATTCTCCTATATAATACTCTTAATAAATTAAGATAATATATTACTAAGATATACTAGTTCTTTATTACTACTATAGAAAAATTTTATAAATTATTTATTTTATATTTTATTATTACTAATCTTCTTAACTATATTTAATAGAAAAATAATATAATTAAGTATTAGAAAATATAAATTAAAAAAATTTAATAAGAGTTATTTAAAATACTTACTTAAAATAATATATTTTCTTAATTATTATTTTCTTTTAAAAGAGATATTAATATTACTACTCCTCTTATTATTATTATTATTCTTATTATATTTATTTCTATTATTTAAACCTTTAAATAATTTCCTAACCTTAATAAATTTAATAATTAATAAAGTAATTTAAGATACTTTATTTCTTAAATTTACTAGAAAATAATTATAAATCTTAATTATTTTTTAATCCTAAATAGTAAAATAGCTTATATAATTAATTACCTTAAAAGAACCTTATATACTTAAATCTTATTATATATTTAAGATAGAATCTATAAATTAAGTAATTATATTAAAATTTTAGAAATTTTAAAGAAAGCTTTTAAAGATCTAAATTTAGAAATTAATACTTATATTAATTTATTTTATTTCTAATAAATTTATTATAAGTTTAGTATTTTTTTTACTAAATTCTAATATCTTATATTAGAAAGAAATATAAATAAAGATATTTTATTTATAATTTTAAAATAAATTATTAGCTAAAAATTTTAAAAAATATTAATATATTTTAAAATTTTATTATAATATTATAATTTTACTAATTACTTATAAAATCTAGAAAATTATTATTATTATTATATAAGTACTATCCTACCCTTATTTATAAAGAATTCCTAGCCTTCTTAACTTATTTTAAAACTAATTTCTACTACCTAAATTCCTGTAGTTCCTATTAATCCTACTATTACTATTACTTCTACTAAAGATTTAATAGATCTATCTACTATTTATTATCTTAATTATTAAATCTAATACCTATATTACTACTATAGCAGTACTAACTATCTAGTAGGTAGCTACTTATACCCTAACTAAAGACTAACTAGCTATATCTCTATATCTACTACTAAACTAGACCTATACTCCCTATTAATTAGAATCCTGCCTACTAAATACCCTATATTCCTTAAATTAGAAAATAAAGTATCTCTAATCTAAATTATAATTAGAGATATCTCTAGTACTCCCTCTATTTATTAAAGGCTATAATAACTAGAATAATAATAGAGAAGGAAAATTACTAATTTAAATTAATAATCTTATCTATTAACCTAGAAATTCTTAATAAGACTCTACTAATCTTTATTATAATTAACTTTAGAGCTA